TGTAGTAGGACCCCGGTCTCGGTCGGTGCAGAATGTCGATTTTCTCGGCGAGCGCGAGAATCTCGTTTAAGTTTGAGAGACCGCGTAGCATGATTTCATGCGAGATGTCCAGCTTCAGCCCCCCGACGTAACGGTCCACCCGCTCCGCTTCGTGCATGTAGCCGACTTGCTCGCATAATGCGAGAAAACCGCTCGTGTAGTCTTGAACCGACCCGAGCTGCCGCCAAGTACGTAGTTTCTGACGCGCCGAAATTGAAGCCGCGATCGGCTCGAAGCACGTCCGAAGCCCTGCGCACCACGCATCCCACGTGCTGTACTGGGCGGTTTCGCAGAACGAACTCCATGTGACAGCTGGACCCGCGGGCCCTTCCTCTTGCGACGGTGGCTCGTAGGCGCGCGGCGATGTTACGATGACTCGCCACCAGTCCATGGCGGGGCCCCTCAGCAGCGAGACGGCGTATCGGATCTTCGCTGCGTCCGACTCGATGTAGTTCGCGTCGAAAAAAACGTTGATCATGAAGACCCACAATTGAACCGTCGGACCTCCTCGCTTGCTTGGATCGAAACAGGGCGGGCGCTGCGGCTTGAGTGGCATTGGCGTCATGATGACGTCGTCGCCACTTGTCGCTGCGAATTCCACGTGCCGGCGAGCCTCGAGCGGCTCCCGTGGGCTGGGCGCCGGCCTGTTTCTCTCCATGCCAGGCATCGAGTGGGCGGTGCCATCACTGGCTGCGCTTAGGCGCCGTCCGACGCTGTCGTTGTGCGTCGGTGTGCCTGATGAAATGATGATCGGCTCCTCCGATTGTGCGGGTGCATTTGCGGGTGCGTGTGGTGGTGCTGGAGCATTCGCCGTGGACTACTGTCGAGCGGAGTCGCGTTCCGCCGTGAGTTTCGGAATCTCGAGTTGCGAATCCTCGAGTTGGTGTACCAGACAGTCGAGCTGCTCCTGCGTCAGCGTCGCGAGCGTGAATTCAGCCATGGCGGGAGTGTCGTGGCCGTGCGTGCTTTTGAGAGAGCACTACGAGCGGCGGTGCTGTGTCGCTGAGAGACGTCTACCCCCCCTCCCCCCCTCCCCCCCCTTCCCCCCCAAATATTGAGATAGTGGGGAAGCGAAGGTGTAGATGTGGTCCGAGAAAGAGATCGTAGGCTCTGAACACCAAGTGTTACGAGTGCAATTGAGTGAGCGAGCGAGAATTGCACTATCGAAGCAAGAGTACAATGAGCGAAGGCATGAGCGAAGAATATATAGCGAAACTACAGTGGTAACGGTAATGTGTGGTAACGGTAATGTGTGGTAACGGTAATGTGCGGTAATTGGGGTGCGCGACGGGCCTAACGTCGAGGTTGGGAAATGCCGAGGCGGAGGTCCGGAGCGCGGGTTACCAACCGAGCCGTGAGGTTGGGTTGTGGCGTGAACAGTGGCGGGAACAGTGTCGAGGCGAGTGGTAACGGTTTACTGTTTGAGTGCTAGTGGAGGGAATAGTGGTGTACGCGCTCCGAAGGGACGAGGAGTAAGGAAAAGAAGAGTTGAATGACAAAATGTCAAGAAGAGTTCTTTTCGGTTAGATTGTGTGTGAATCGGTTATGTACGATCTTCTTTCATCGATCTCTCTTGTGCCAGACACGTCGTTCGCCCTATTTACTTCGTCACTACGATGTACGTCGAGGGCGGGAAGAACGGTCTTGCGACTTAGGCCCTATTTACGTCGATAAATAATCGAGCAGATCCATGTTAACCCTAGGGAGAACAAGAATCTTCGTCGGTTTGAGGTTCAGCGGAATGAGCTAAACGCGAAAGGTACTCTAGCTTAGCATCAATGGCTTGAGACGCGTTGCGAGCCAGACTAGTTACGGCAGGAGGATTACAGAAGGGTGGCCTGCACTGCATGCCGACTAATAAACCCTGGTGATTGTCTCTCGGTTTATTGAAACTTAAGGGCGTATTCCTACGGCCTCCTATCAAGAAACCTCCTATCAAGAATGCACATTTTGCCTGGTGAAAGTAGCGAGAGATTTTGGGTTTAGGGAATTTTTCAGTGTGAGCTTGATAAGAGGTTTTCTTGATAGGAGGATAGGAATACGCCCTAAGAACTCAAATTGGTCATCTAGTACTCTAGTCAGAGACACCGTATCCAGCAGTCATAATTCTAAGTCGTGATTCTGAGAATCGGCTGTCAAACAATATGTTTAATATATACCCTGCGTGCTGTAGGTACTGTAGTTATTATTATTAAGAGTTGGTGGTGCACCTTCTTTGTTGCTTTGCTATATGTACCTTGTGTGCTATAGTGAAACCGCCTCTCCTTTCTCGTAACACACCCTTTCCTTGCCTAAACTCTATCGACACTTTCTCCTCTTCATCCTAGCATGGCTCCTCACCTCTAGCTACTATCTTGACATCGGCCACAATGTCTAGATCTCGTGGCCAAGTCGTTCACCATGAGAAGGGCGTACATATTGTGTCTCCGTGCACCCCCTTGCCAAGCGGACTCTATGGTAGTCTACCGTGTTCACCTTGTCCAACAGCTCATGCTCATGATGTCAGTACCCACGTATACTTCCCACTAACGTCTGGTCATTTCGCCAGGTTCGTCAGTTTGCCTCACAGTTCACCCTGCTGAAAGACACTTCTAATCGGCCAAAATTGTCCACTACACCCTGTAGCTGTCAAGGGACTCTGGTTGGACTAGTAGTGCTGGTGATGAGAAGGGCTCGGAATCATGAGGAATTTTCCATTGCTACACAAACCGCACAGGAGCAACTAAACCTGCCGTCAGGAGCACAGGTACTCATGAGCTGTCAGAGGCAGGAATGCTGGCAAGGCAGGTCGTTGCAACTTGCCAGCATTCCTGCCCCCATGCTCATGACCCAAACATCAATAACACTACACACTAACAGCACTACCCATTTCAGCACTACCCACTTTGACATTACGGTAAGTCCAATGCCCATCCATGACTTGAAGGAGTGGTATCTCGGAACACCGCCACACTCTGTCACTCTTGCCGAGCACCGCCGTATCATGCTTTCACTGCTTTCACATCATGCTGCAGCAGCAGCAGAGGGGATTTTGACGCCCATGAGCTGCCCGCCCCAGATGACACCTGACGCACTGTTCCCAGCCAGCACAGCATATCCGCTCACCGTGCTGTTCACGCCGTTGCCCGGCCCATCACCTGGGAAACCACCTGAAAAGCCACCTGCAGGAGGCTGCTGCTGCCCGCCCTGCTGCTGCACCCCCTGCTTGCCGGGACCACGGGCCATTGCGCCCAGCCCCATGCTCCTGCTGCCCTGCCCGCTACGCGCGCCCCCCGCGCCTCCCACGCCCCCAGCGCCCTTTCCGCCGCCGTTGCGCCCTCCGCGGCCCCCGCCGTTGCTGCGCGGCAGCGACGCGTTGGGGAGCACCGCGAGCAGCGCCTCGACGGTGGTCGCGTCGGCGTTCTCGAGGAACGCGCCGAGGCGCGCCTCGGCGTGCAGCAGCCACCAGCCGGAGCGCTGCAGCCAATCGGAGGCGGCGAAGGGCAGCGAGAGCACGGCGGCGGCGGACGCGGCCGAGTCGCACACGGCGCCCTGCACGATCGCGATCGAGTCGGGCGGCCCGGCGGCGGCGTCGCCTCCAACGAGAAGCGCGTCGACGAGCAGGTTGTAGTTTCCCGTTGAGTTCCTGCGGGGACGAGCGGCGCGGGGAGGAGGGCGCGGGAGGCAGAGAGATGCAAATCGGACGAACGGCGCGGGGCGACTCCTCAGTGAGTGGGAAAAGGGAAATGAATACGCCTCGTGTAAGCATTGCGCACAGTAAAAATCTAGGGAAGAATGAGTGGGGGGGTCGGGTGCAGGCGGGGCTTACTTGAAGACGGTGAGGTGGAAGCGGCCGTCAACGAAGGTCAGGTCTGCGGAGCAATTCTTCAGCTGCGCGCCAACGTCCGCCGTCAGATTGCCGACGACCGTCAGGTTCAGCGGAGGACCGTGCGGCTCCCCGCCAGGGCCGCCGCCAGGCCCGCCGCGCCCACCAGGGCCTCCGCCGCGCGACCCCCCTGGCGGCCCCTGACCACCAGGCCGGCCTCCGCCAGGCGGGCCGCGCTGCGCGAATGCGGACGTCACTGCGAGGAGCGTGAAGCAGACGATAAGCAGTGTTTTGGAAGCCATGGTTGCAGGTTGCGCGTAAAAAAACAGGTTTCAAGTGTGACGGAAACTGCTTTGCGATCGTTAGCTGTGGGAAGAAACTAGGTGAGATGGAAGGGAAAGCTGATGACTGGAAATGTTGATTTGACGGCGTTTTATGCAGTTCTCTTTGTTCCACCCCACGGCTAGTCAACGCCCCAGCAGTTTGACCCGGTTTTGCACCTTGTCACTTTCGGGCATGTGATTGGTTTACACAGTGTTACAGCTTGCCATCTCTAAACCTGCTGGTTCGGGTCTGGTAAGGAAGGTCCCACTGACGAGGGGTTGAAAATGCCTGAACAAACTCGAGTCAGCGAATCGTGCGTGGAGAAAACAGCTGACCACTACAAAGTATACGCGCTATAAGAACAGCCGTTCTATAACATCTTCCTTACTTCGGGGACATTGCAACATCCCAAGGTGTTTCTTACCCATGACATAGCAATTACAAGGAATTCATCCAATAAAACTTTCTATTATGAAGATTACGTTACCGCCATGTTCCTTCAAATATTCTCGCTCTGGAAAATGTGAAGCAGTTTTTAATACTGAGTGAGGAAAGGCAATTCTTGTTGTTTAGTGAGTTGAGTGACATTTTCAAGAAGCTTCTGTGGTTTGATTGGTCCATGGATGGGTTAGGTACGGTTTCATGTGACCAAATCAGGATTACTGAACATTGACTTGCGACCCGTTGAATTCCAGCAGTCCAGTTAGCCTGCCCCCAGCTAAGTTAGCAAGCTGGATTGACGAGCTGCTGATCGATTGATTTCTCTTTTGCCAGTCACGTCGTTCGCGCGTTATTTCTCAATAATCTGGTTAGAGTATATTTCGTCGCTGCGATGGGCGTGGAGAGCGGGAAGAACGGGCTTGCGACGTATTACCGAGGAGCAATCGAGCAGATCGATGTGAACCTCAGAGAGAAGACCAAGAATCTTCGCCGGCTTGAGGCCCAGCGAAATGAGCTGAACGCCAAAGGTGAATTCACGTCTTAAAGACCTGAGTTGAGACGCGTTGTGGTCCAGACTACGTACGGATCGGCTTGAATTTGTTCCAGTTATTTCAAGTACGACACGTCAATTATATTTTTTTTCGGATTCTTACAAGTCCAGAAATGAATTCGGCGAATCTGGTTATAACGGTCGTTTTCACGCATCGTGATGTCGGGTCACTCACGAGTCTGCTGTTCAGCCACGCTATCCAGATCTCGTGGCCAATCTGTGACGCATGAGAGCAAAGGACATGCCAGTTCGTGTGTCCGTGCACTCCCTTATCAAGAAGCCTCTATTATGTATCTGCGTCTTCTCGTGCAAACGTCTTCGCTTATTATGATGTCTGACGTGTCAGATCTTGTAACCGTTTTCCTTATCACAAACCGTGCCTCCCGTCTCTCCCGTCACTCCCATGTCTCCCTTTTCTCCCGTCCGACCGTTCCCTCCCGTCTCTCCCGTCTCTCGCGTCTCTCCTTGCGCCCTGGAAATTTGCTCGTTCTCCGTGTCTCCCTGTTTCGTTTCTCATGCTGTTGTAGTCTCATGATTCCCCCCACCAACTGACCGTCCTTGACGGCATTCATGTGGGCCATCCTCCGTGCTAGCAGTGCGGGCGTTTAAGGAGGAGCGACTGTCCTGTGCTGTCCCAGCTTATCGTGTGCGTCCCTTTAATTGCTCATCCGTGGTACGTGCAGTGCGGGCGCTGAAGGAGGAGCTGCAGCTGCTGCAGGAGCCGGGGTCGTACGTGGGCGAGGTGGTCAAGGTCATGGGCAAGACTAAGGTGCTCGTCAAGGTGCGTCCCCGCCAGCAGCTGATGTTTTGTCATTATCCAAGTCGTTTGCTTGCTTGCTGCTCCTTTCAGCGTGTAAACCGTCTGAATTGGTGCTCTTTCACCCCATTTTGATGTCTTCACGCTTTTCTCTGATTATTTTATTTGACCTAATTGTCTCTGATCACCCCCCCAGGTGCACCTCGAGGGCAAGTACGTGGTGGACGTGGACAAGGGCATTGGTTTGAGCCGGTTGGTTCTCAGATGCATGCTTAATAGGTGCTTTTTGGATGCCTGTATTTTTCTCTCCCCCAGGTGCACCCTGAGGACAAGTACGTGGTGGACGTGGACAAGGGCATCGACCTGAATCTGTTAATTCTTCAAGTGGTCTGGCTCGATGTATTCTGAACGTCACCCTGACAATTTCCCCTACCCCTCTCCCCCCCCCCCTCCCTCCCTCCCTCCCCCCCCCCCAGGTGCACCCCGAGGGCAAGTACGTGGTGGACGTGGACAAGGGCATCGACTCAAGTCTGTTGGTTGTCAGATGAATTTGTATTGAGGTGCATTTTGGATTCCTGTATTATCCCCACCCCAGGTGCACCCGGAAGGCAAGTACGTGGTGGACGTGGACAAGGGCATCGACCTGACGAAGCTGACGCCCAGCACGCGTGTGGCGCTGCGCAACGACAGCTACGTGCTGCACCTGGTGCTGCCCAGCAAGGTGGACCCGCTGGTGTCGCTCATGCGCGTGGAGAAGGTGCCCGACTCCACCTACGACATGATTGGCGGGCTGGACCAGCAGATCAAGGAAATCAAAGAGGTGAGGCGGGCGGGTCAAGGAGATCAAGGAGTTGAGGCAGGCAGATCATGGGAATTAAGGAGCTGAGCGTCAAGGATATTGACAGTGTTGTAGTGGATTCGTTTTTCCGCTCTTAGACTTTTCTTTCCTCACATGAATGTCTCCTGATGTTTGGGGGGTTCAATGCCTTCGCTCTTCCTTACGTTCTTCTGCTGCATGCAGGTGATTGAGCTGCCCATCAAGCATCCAGAGCTGTTTGAGAGCCTTGGAATTGCCCAGCCCAAGGTAAGGCTTGCCCCTGCACTAATTTTCAGCAGGCCTAGGCCACTATCTAACAGCTGTTAAAAACAAATAGTGTCTTTGATTTACTGGTTTTTCCTATGCACCGTTTGGATTATATTCGAACTGATGATTGTTGTCTGGCATTTCAGGGAGTGCTGCTGTACGGACCCCCTGGCACGGGCAAGACGCTGCTGGCTCGGGCGGTGGCGCACCACACGGACTGCACGTTCATCCGCGTGTCGGGCTCAGAGCTCGTGCAGAAGTACATCGGCGAAGGCTCTCGCATGGTGCGCGAGCTCTTCGTCATGGCCAGGTGGGTTGCCGACACGGGTGGGTCGGTTTCACCTGTCCGTTTCCACTGTTCCAACCCGTTTCTTCCCTAACTGGTTATTTCTGCATTTTTTTTTTTTTTTTTTCATCCAGGGAGCACGCGCCGTCGATCATCTTCATGGACGAAATTGACAGCATAGGGTCGGCTCGCATGGAGTCAGGTAGTGGCAACGGGGACAGCGAGGTGCAGCGCACCATGCTCGAGCTGCTCAACCAGCTTGACGGCTTCGAGGCCTCCAACCAGATCAAGGTGTGTTATGAGTCGACTTAGAATCTCGCATAGAGTTGAGCAGTGGCAATGGGAGGTGCAGCGCACCATGCTTGAGCTGCTCAACCAGCTTCATGGCTTTGAGGCCTTCAACCAGATCAAGGTGTGCCCGTCGAGAAATGCTGTGCTGCTACTTTTTGTCCTGCTTGACTGCTCTCTTTGCGCTCCTTGTTTGTACTTACTGTCATTTGTTTCAGAATATGAAGGTCGCGTGACATGGGCTTACATCTGATTCGTGTGGTCTCTCTTTGATCCTGTGTGACGGCCACTGAACAGGTGCTGATGGCAACCAACCGGATTGACATTCTGGACCCAGCGCTTCTCAGGCCTGGCCGTATTGACCGCAAGATTGAGTTCCCCAACCCAAGCGAAGAGGTCAGTGGATGTTTTGGAGGCGTTTGTTCCTGCTAAGGACTGGTTTTCTAGCAATTCGTGTAGTTTTTGAGTGTGACCTGTTTTCCCCGATGCTTAGTATTTTGTTTTTTTTTTCCTTCCGGCTTGATTTCTGCTGAGGTATTTTACCACTTTCCGATTGCCATATTTGTTGTGTTGTCTGGTTCAGTCTCGTGTGGACATTTTGAAGATCCACTCTCGCAAGATGAACTTGATGAGGGGCATTGACCTTTCGAAGATAGCTGCAAAGATGAATGGAGCGAGTGGTGCTGAGCTCAAGGTGAGTTTCAAAGGCCGTAAAAATTGTTTGTTGTCGTGGGGGAGAGAGGGAGCGGGGGGGTTGGTTGGGACAATTTTCTCCTTTGAGAAGCTGTTTATGAATCTAATTTACTGTCATGTTTGCACTAAGAGGCTGTTTGGTATCGCCATCTCCTCCTTTCTGCATGCACCCTCCAGGCTGTTTGCACGGAAGCTGGCATGTTTGCACTACGGGAGAGAAGGGTCCATGTGACGCAGGAAGATTTTGAGATGGCAGTGGGGAAGGTCATGAAGAAGGATTCGGAGCAGAACATGTCTCTGAAGAAGCTGTGGCGTTAGTCGTAGCTGTGAACTCGAGCCATTTGTTTGTACATTTTCATTTAGTTGAAGCCCACACTATCAGCAATGTATTTCACTCCCACATAGTACTTCCACATAGTAGTTGCTTTGTTCAGGGTTACTCAATTCGTGCCTTCGCGCACGCTGTATCGCGAAAGAATCTGTCGTGGACTTGTGACGTGGCATCACCGTAGTCCCCAGCAGCTTTGGCTTAGCGAAGGAGACGTGGACCTTTCGCATCCAGTCCAGGGAGGAACCCCTCGTTGGCCCCTGGAGCGCGACAAATCTCAAGGCTTGCGTGGCTTCCCCGAGTGACCAATTGGCTGCCCCTGCCTGCGGTTGGTTGGCCCACCTCCCCGTTTTATGACCTCCATGCCAAGCTCTGATAGCAGGGATTTGGAAAATTTTGTGAACCGTCGTCACTAGTTTGATTCCTGACGTCAATTCACAAGTCTAATTCTGCAGCTGTCGCTCTGCCTGGACGTCGCGTCTCGGTAGTTTCAGTGCGTTCTCCTTCTCATTTCAGTTACGTCACAACGCCATGGCCCTCGCGTGCTCCATGTCGTCAGCAACATCCACATTGAAGCTGTCCCTCGCTCCTCCCAGAACAGCCTCCACCACACGCCGATGCACCGTCATCTGCCAAGCCGAGCCCATCCGGCGACCAGGACCCGTCGCTCCGCAATCAGCGGACGCTCCAGCAGCCGCGGCTCCTGCCAGCCCAGCCTCCTCCGCAGCAGCGACGGTTCCGGCAGGCGTGACGGTGGAGTATCAGCGGCAGGCTGCGAAGGAGATGGTGGCGTATTTTCAGGAGAAGAAGTACGAGCAGGACGTGCGGGACGGGAAGGTGCTCGGCTTTACCACCAAGAACGAGATCGGCAACGGACGGTACGTTGCGGTTTTTCCGGCTGTCGCATTCTCGCTGTCTTGCGGTCCATCGCATGCATCGTCGACCCCGCTGTGGCACCAAGAACGATAAGCTGTGCATTGACGACTTGCCTATTCTTTTACGTAGGATTCAACGCTTTATTGACCAGAGAAATCCACGGTATGAGTTGTCGTAACGCATTACGAAAATTTGTGAACATCACCTTGGCATGAAGGGAGTTTGTACATTGTGGTCGTCGGGAAGTCGGGTGCTTCTTATCGCGTTCCTCGTGGACACTTTATGGTCGACACACTTTGCCTTCCATGAAACCACAATTAGGTTGTGAATGCACTGCGTATGAGCAGCATTGAGCTTTTAGAAGTATAAGGTCATTCATTGTGGTGTTGCTCTCATCCTGTTGTGGGTGCTCCCTTCGGTGTTTATGGATTGGAACTTTTCCCCCATCGCACCCCTCCGCTTTCTCACGCTTTTCGCTCAGTAAGTCTTTCCCCTCACGACTCGTCCCGCTTTTTCCAGCCTCTCTCTTTCCTCTAACAACCAATTTTGACTTTCTGCCTTTCATTAGGTTGGTCTCCACCTCGTGTCGTCCTCTTCTTTCCTTTATCTCCTTTCCCATCCCCTCCTCCAACCCCGCTCCTTACCCCCCTTTCCTCGCCCTCCCCTCCTGTATCCCCGGTACCATCTTCTGTGTTGGCTATGTTGGTATGCCTGCTCAATCCTCGTATTGTTGCCGCCATTTTTTGGAATCTATTTTGTCCTTGCAGGTGGGCTATGTTTGGTCTGGCAGTGGGTCTGCTCACAGAATACGCCACAGGGGTGAACTTTCCAGACCAGCTCTACATTCTGCTCTCCAATTTCGGCATTGTTGACTAAGTTTCCGTGTGAACACGTTTCTATACAATTGCTGCAGTAGCAGACTGCATGCTCTTTTTGCCCATGCCACGAGCTTTCTTGTTTGTCCTTCAGAAGACGTCCGGGTTTCCATCAGCTGTCCCTGCACAGTGCAAATTATATGCCAATTTTGTTGGCGTGCCATAATCACCCGCATTGTGGGTGATCTGTGTACTACTGTTGCATTCTTAATTGAAATCCTGCAAGCAAGTTCATCTGCCCGAGGCTGAACCGAATATCCTAGACTGTCTTGCCACTTACCGGTTCCAGCAACAGGAGCCTATGCTACAGGTGTAGCAGCATCTGCCACGTGCTTGTTTCTCCAGGGCATGTGATGTGATGTGATTGTCCATGCTTGTCAATCATACTTGAACGTGTGTCGAATGCCATAGATAGATTTGTCAAATGTTGTAGCCTATAGTGAGGTTTGTCTTAGGGGGTACAAAACTTAGGGTTAGCTATATGTACCCCAACCAACATCAATGCATCATTCATTCCTCATTCTGACATGGTATCAGTTAGGTTAGGATCCTGTGGGATCCCGTTTCTCCGTTCTCCGATCGTACCACCCGAGCCTGATCCTAGCTCTCGTTTCGCCCGTCTTGCCCGAGCCTAGTGCCGGCCCGATCTAGTCCCGTTCGTTCGTTACCGCTCGTTCTTCCTCCCGATCTAGCGTAGCCCGATCTAGCGTACCGCTGCCGGTCGCGCTGCGCTTTCCCCCCCTGATCCCCGTCGACCCGCGCTTCCCCCCGCTGCCCGTCGACCCGCGCTTCCCCCCGCTGCCCGTCGACCCGCGCTTCCCCCCGCTGCCCGTCGACCCGCGCTTCCCCCCGCTGCCCGTCGACCCGCGCTTCCCCCCGCTGCCCGTCGACCCGCGCTTCCCCCCGCTGCCCGTCGACCCGCGCTTCCCCCCGCTGCCCGTCGACCCGCGCTTCCCCCGCCGCCCGTCGACCCGCGCTTCCCCCCGCTGCCCATCAACCCGCGCTTCCCCCCGCTGCCTGTCGACCCGCGTTTCCCCCTGCTGCCCGTCGATCCGTCGCCCTGGCCCGCGCCCCAGCCCGTCTCCCCAGCTCGCGCCCTAGCCCGTCGCCCAGGCCCGGCGCCTTTGCCCTACCCGCGCGCCCGCCACACCTGACCTACCCGCCCGCTCTTGCCCGCTCTTCCTGCCCGTTCTCCCTTGCCGCTGCGCCCTGCTTTCCCTGCCAATTCCGTTTGCACACTATGGCGACCCCTCGCGTCCTTCGTTTCGATGCTGACGGTCGCCCGCTCGATTTCCCAGTCTGGCTTCTTCGCGCTCGCCGCCTGTTAGAGAGTCAGGTCCAGGCAGGCGAGACCCTCTGGGCGCACGCTACTGGTGCCCTACCTGCGCCCCCCGACCCTACGCCTTTAGGACCTGCCCCTGACGACGCCGCTAGAGCCCGCTTTGCCACTCAGCGAGCTGACCAGACGGCTTGGACGTCACGTGACGCTGCGGCCTGCATCGCGCTCAGCAGCCTCCTCCCTGAGTCTGAGGAGGTTCACTTCACTCAGGTTCGCACCGCTGCTGCGTACCTCACTGCGATTAAGGCCCGCTACTCTACTCCCGCTGCTGTCTCTCTTGGCCGCCTGTTCCTCCCGTTCCTGTTTCCTGACCTAGCGTCTTTTGAGCGCTCTGCTGACTTGATCGCTCACCTCCGCTCGCTCGACGCTAGTTACCGCGCTGCTTGCACTGAGGCACAGCTTGCACTGCTTCCTCCCCCTATGGCGATTACTATCTATTTCATCGCCACTAGCCTCCCTGACCGCCTTGCCTCCGTTCGCGACGCGCTTCTGCTGAAGCACCCTAGTGAGCTCACCGTCGAGGTCCTTGAGTCTGCACTCAAGGACGTCGAGAGCAACCTTCGCTCGGTAGCCGCTGCCTCTGGTGCTGTGCCCCCCCCACTCTTCCACGGGTGCACAGTCCCGCAGTTACCCACCTTTACTGCCTCACTTGCCACTGCCGCTACTGACGCGACTGCAGCTGCTGTTACGACTGCGTCGCGGTCCCGCGGTAGGAGTGGCAAGAAAGGCGGTTCTGGTGGTGGTAGTGGAGGTGGAGGCGGAGGTAGTGGAGGTGGCGTTGCGCCTGGCGGCGGTGGAGGTTCAGGGCCTGGAGAGGCGCCTCGTGCAGTGACTGGTGACTCCACTGCGCCTGCTGGTGGTGGCGACGCCCGAGTTCGTCAGTCGCCTCCTGTACTTCCTGCCCCGGTTGGTGGAGCAGCGGCGTGGTACCAGGCTCAGCGTCAGCAGCAGCTTCTGCAGCACCAGCAGCCCCTCTCCTCGCCCTGGCCCTGAGCGTGAGCGTTTCTTTTTGGTGGTCGTTGACGACTACTCCCGCTACACCACAGTGTTCCCCCTGGCGAGGAAGTCTGAGGTGACTTCTACGCTGATCAGGTGGTTGCTTACCACCCAGGACACTCGTGGTCGTCGTGTCAGCTGTCTCCACTCCGACCGCGGGGGCGAGTTTCGCTCCGGCATTCTCGCTGGATTCTGTCGCGAACAGGGCATTCGTCAGTCCTGGACGCTTCCGGAGTCCCCACAGCAGAATGGGGTTGCTGAGCGTCGCATAGGCCTGGTCATGGAGATTGCCCGCACCTCCTTGACTCACGCCCGTGCCCCCCATTTCCTGTGGCCATACGCGGTCAGGTACGCCGCGCACCAGCTGAACCTCTGGCCACGCGTCTCTCGGCCGGAGGCTTCACCGACCAGTCTTTGGACAGGGTCCCCTGGTGTCGCGTCGAGGTTTCGTGTCTGGGGGTGCTTGGCTCTTGTCCGCGACACCTCCGCGGACAAGCTCTCGCCTCGCGCCGTTCCTTGTGTCTTCCTTGGTTTCCCTGAGGACTCCTCTGACTTCACCTTTTACCACCCTCCCTCTCACCGGTTCTTTGACTCCCGTGACGTCCGTTTCGAGGAGTCCACCCCCTACTACGTCAGGTACCCCAGTCGAGGTCTCCCGGTCCCTCCCCCCCCTCTCTTCCTGACCGCCGCTCCCCCGCCTGCTCCCCCGGTACAGCCTCCCCCCCCTGGTCCAGCCCCGTCTGGTGTGTCTCAGGCTAGCCCTCCCCCTTCGGTAGCCCCCCCTGTACAGCCTCCCTCCCCACAGTCTTCCTCGCCGCCTCCTGCAGGTGCTCCCTCTCGGGAGGTTGGTCCTGCGACTGTCCCTGTACAGGTCTCTGGTTCTGGGGGTGCTGGAGTTGGAGCTGAGCCGCGGGTTGCAGAGGACTCTTGTCTTCCGGGGGCTGGTACTGGTCGTGCGGAGTCTGGGGGTGCTGCGTCTGGGGGTGAGGGTGTCCCTTCGGTTTCTGGAGAGCCTGGGTCTGGAGCTGGTGTTGGTGCTGCCTCTGGGGGTGGTGTGCTTGGTGCTTCGGAGGTCGACTCTGGGGCTGCCGCTGCCCCGGACACTACTCCTTCCCCCCACCCCTACCCGACCAGGTTCCAGGCTCGTGTTCGCCGTGCTCGTGAGGAGCAGCTGGAGTTGGAGAGAGAGGAGAGAGAGTTGCAGCGGCTCGAGGAGCAGGAGCGACAGCAGCAGGAGCAGCAGCAGGAGCAGCAGCAGAGGCAGCAGCCGCTGGAGCAGCAGCAGCCGCAGCAGCCGCAGCAGCAGCAGCAGCAGCTGCTGCCGTCTCCTCCTCCTGTCTCGGGTCTTCGGACCCTTGGTCTCCCGTCTCCCTCTCCTTCCTCCTCCCCCTCTCCTCCCGTCTCTGGTCCTCCGCTTCCTCCTCCTGACCCCTCTCCCGCTGTTTTCCCTCGTTCTCAGTCTTCGTTGTCTCCTCCTCCTTCTCAGACTTGGGCCTCTCGTCGCTCCCCTCGTGCTCGTCCCTCGTCTCCTGTTCCCTTCACTGACCTTCGTACAGCCTTCCTTTGTTCTCGTCCACCTCGTCCGTCTCCGTCTGTGCTTCCGTCTCCTCCTGAGTCGGCCCTCACTGTGTCGCTTCCTTCTCCTGTCACTGACTACTACCGCACGTACCGTCCTGTTCTCTCTCGTGTTCTCGCCTCTCTTGTTACCCACCCTCGTGCCTCTGTGTCCTCTGTGTCCGCTCTTACTGCCGCAGTCACTGAGTTTGCCTCTACCCGCCGCCTTGACTTCGCCACCGCTCTTGTGGCTGCTCCTCCTTCCAGTCCTCTGGCCGTCGGGGGTGTGTCTGCCCTTGGCTGTGACGCCCTAGAGGACAGGCAGTTTGAGCTAGAGTTCCTGGCGGCCGCTTCCCCTCATCTCTGTGCCATGCTCCTCGCCCCTGAGGGTGACCCCGACGCCCTTGACATTCCGACTCCTCGCACTTACGCTGAGGCAGTGTCAGGGCCTTGGGCCTCTCAGTGGAGAGCTGCCATGGACGCAGAGATGGCCTCCTACAGATCCACAGGCACCTACGTCGATGAGGTTCCCCCTCCGGGGGCGAACGTAGTCGACGGCATGTGGATCTACAGGGTGAAGCGGCCACCGGGATCTCCTCCGGTCTTCAAGGCACGCTACGTGGCTAGAGGTTTCAGTCAGCGCGAGGGAGTTGACTTCTTTCAGACCTTCGCGCCCACCCCGAAGATGACCACTCTTCGGGTGTTACTACACGTAGCAGCACAGAGAGACTACGAGTTACACTCTCTCGACTTCTCTACTGCTTTCCTTCAGGGCAGTCTTCACGAGGAGGTCTGGTTGCGTCGTCCCTCTGCCTTCACTGGCTCTTTCCCTCCTGGGACCCAGTGGAGGCTGAGGCGACCGGTTTACGGTCTTCGTCAGGCTCCTCGTGAGTGGCACGACACCCTGCGTTCTACCCTGTCTGACCTTGGGTTCCAGCCGTCTTCTGCTGACCCGTCGCTGTTCGTTCGTCGTGGCCCCACACCTTTCTTTGTTCTGGTCTACGTTGACGACCTTGTTTTCGCCACCCCTGACAGGGTTGCTTTGGCACACGTGAAGTCCGAACTGCAGAAGAGACACACCTGCACTGATCTTGGTGAGCTGCGCCACTACCTTGGCCTGCAGATCACCAGGGACAGAGCTGCTCGCACCATTACACTTTCACAGTCGCACATGGTGCAGCAGGTCCTTCAGCGGTTCGGGCTTCAGCACTCCACAGTACAGCGCACACCTCTTGCTGTTGACCACAGACTCACTGGACCCTTTCCTGACGAGCCGTTCGAGCCTAGTGGTCCCTACGCAGAGCTTGTGGGTTGCCTCATGTACCTGATGACTTGTACTCGCCCGGACCTCGCCTTCCCTCTCAGCGTTCTTGCGCGCTTTGTTGCGCCAGGGAGACACCGTCCTGTTCACTGGACAGCAGCTGTGAGGGTGGCGAAGTACCTAGCGACGACGTCAGGCGTGGGGCTAGTTCTTGGAGGGCAGCAGTCTGTCGTACTTACTGGTCACTGTGACTCCTCTTACGCTGACGACGCTGAGACTCACAGGTCTACTCAGGGGTACTGTTTCAGCCTGGGTTCTGGAGCTGTTTCCTGGCGGTCCACGCGCTCCTCTTCGGTCTCGACCTCTACAGCTGAGGCTGAGATCTACGCTGGTGCCATGGCGGCACAGGAGCTGCGTTGGTTGACCTTCTTGCTCACCGACCTTGGTGAGCGGCCGAGCTCTGCACCGACCTTGTTCACTGACAACAAGGCGTCTATTCTCCTTTGTCGAGAGCCACGACTGGAGAGCAGAGTGAAGCACATTCACGTCAGGTACTTTCTTCTGCGAGAGTTGCAGAGGCGTGGACAGGCTCGCTTTGAGTTTGTGGAGTCCGAGGCCAACACTGCAGACATCTTCACCAAGGCGCTTCCGCCTTGTGACCACTAGAGGTGCTGTGTGCAGTTAGGCCTTGTTGACACTGGTTCTCGTGTTGCTTAGACTTGAGTGTACTGTTTACTTTGCTTTCTATATACCTCTGTTACTTCTTGGACTGGCCTTGTGGCCACTGTTGTTTGTGCTCAGACTGTGTGGTGACGTTGTGATCCACCCTGAGCTTCGTTTCTTGGACTGGTCTTGTGACCGTACTCGTTTGGTTCTGCTAGACACCCCTCACTTAGGCTATGGGGGTGTGTCAAATGTTGTAGCCTATAGTGAGGTTTGTCTTAGGGGGTACAAAACTTAGGGTTAGCTATATGTACCCCAACCAACATCAATGCATCATTCATTCCTCATTCTGACAAGATTGCAAGAATGGGGGCAAGTACCGTAAATGCTGATGTCGACATGGAGGGTGGGGCCCTCTGGGTTGAGGCCCCGTACATGGTGGATGCACAGTTGTGATTGAGCTGCGTTGGGGGGGGTGGGGGGGACATGGGATGCGGGATGGGGTGTCTTAAGGGGGTGTTTTAAGGGGGTGTCTAATTGGGGTGTCTCGACTGGGCGTGAACTTAGGGTACCTTGAGGGTGTTGTTTATGTGTTTTTCTCTTTCTTTCTCCATCTCCCTTCTACTAGGTTTTAGGTTTTATGATGCACGAGAACTGTATCTTCGAACTTATGTTCCCAGCCCAGATGGAGTCGTAAATGCTGATGTAGCTTTGGACAGTTTGAAAATATACAGTACACCTCTAGTATGGTGTGAAAAAAAATAAAACAAATTAGAAAAGGCAATAAACATAGATTATGATAGATTGAATTTATTAGTGATGGTAGTCAACCTTTTGGTACATAAGTCATGAAATCATGGTTTGTTCGTTCTATATGTAAGCTTAGTGAAAATTGCATGTACCATTTCGCCCTTTCTCACATCCCACAAGCCTTTCGTGGGTCCGCCATGACCTGCTGCTACGGAGAGATCCCATTCGCACTGCACTCTCACATGACCGTTGGGCTTGTTCTTTCTCCCTGAATTCTCCGATGGGTTTCCCTGGTCATGCTCGTGGATCGCATCTACCCTGTAAGCGATTGGCCTGAAAATACCGCGTCTCGTTGTGGGAGACAGGTATCTGCACTCATCGAGTTACGAAGTTTTGTAGTTCACATTCATATCAGCAATTCGTGCTGCTCGTTTAGGTTCCTTCAGATCGGCGAGTTCGGATTTCGTTGAATAACAAATCGTGGTAAAAGATCCAAACGGAAGAACTACTTCGTTATGGCGGATGTCAGCGGGAGCTCGCAGCGATTCAAGGCGGAAAGCGATGAGATTTCCAGTCTTTTCAATATGGAGTCTGTTCCCTTGGAAACAGCTGGCATAGTGGCTGGCGGTCCTCCACCTGATCCGAGCGGAAAGGCTGAAACAGTGGTTCCGCTTCTCCCAGTTAGCAGCGCGCCGAGTAACACCGTGGATCCGAGCACTCCGACGTCTGCCGTAGCTAGCATGGCGACTTCGGAAGCCCCGCCAGTTTATAATACTCTTAATGGTAGGAGAAGGATCTCTACACACAGCACATGAGCTTGGTATTCTCGTGATTATAACGACCGGGTGCGCCAATCTGATGCGTAGCATGTCTGAATTTGTTGGGATTTCGAGTCAGTATGCTCAAATGTGGCTTCTGATTGGTTCTTGCAGAACCCGTTATCGTCACCTTGAAACGAGACGTGTGGCGTGTGATACACAATCTCCGGAACGTGGTGTTGCCGATGGGACGAGGCGAAGGGGCTCACAGCTCCATCCGTGACTGGGACTTGTGGGGTCCCTTCTTCTTCATCATCTTCCTCGCCTTCATCCTCTCATCCTCAGCCTCGGAGAACAAGGTACGAGATTTGGTTTAATCAAGCTATAGGATTCAAACAACCGCCACGTCCCCCCGCTCCCCCCTTCAACACCCCACCTCCTCCCCAGCCCCCATCCCCAACTTCCCCCTTTCCCCTCCTCAATTAACTGTTAACTCCATCCCTTAGCTGAATTTAGAATATGTAATGCGGTGTTTGCACCATAATCTTTACAAATAATTTATGAATCAAGAAGTGGTGAATTTGCAATCATTTTAATGGGGTGGGATGGGTAATATGGGGAGTATGTAGAGGTTTGCAGGTATATTTTGGCTTGAAAGGTATGAGGACTGTGTGTTTCTTCATGTGGTCAGGGACTAACACTTAACGTGACAAGCACATTCTTTCTCTCACATGGATTTTCTTCCTGTGGCAGTCCAAAGTCTTCGCGGTGGTCTTTGGTGTCCTCTCCTCTGGGGCAATCATTCTTACTCTGAATGTGCTCCTTCTGGTAGGTTCCTCTCCTTCTGTGTGTGCTGTGTAACCTCTTCCCAATTGCTGATTTTTTTTCTAACTCACTGGTTTCATTGCTGCTAGGCATTTCGTTATTCTCAGCGTCCTGTTTGTTTTCCTTTGGGTTTGTACTACAGGGAGGGAGGATCATCTTCTTCCAGAGTCTCAGTGTGCTTGGCTACTGCCTCTTTCCACTTGACATCGGAGCCTTTGTTTGTCTATTTATCTACAGCAAGTGGATTAGATTCGCAGTTGTCACAGCCACCCTCGTTTGGAGCTCCTCCGCAGCTTACCCGTTTGTCTCGGGGGCTGTGCCAGAAGCTAGAAAGTTTCTAGCCGTGTATCCAGTGTTCCTCCTGTACATTTCTGTAGCCTTTCTAGTCCTAGCAAATGATTAGGAGTGATTACTCTATAGTGATTGGCAGAAACCTTCTGCCCTTTTCTACCCACACGTCCTTGCATCTTTCTTGGGGGTGTGAGCTGAGTAGTACCCTATACGGTAGTTGATAAACGTAACTTGTCATTATCTTCTTGACTCCAATGGGTATCCTCGTTTTTCACTTGTTTCGAGTTTGTCACTTATGGAGTACTAGGGAATATTCTTGTCACAACCAACAGCTCTTGCTGAGGCTTCCTTGCATGCCTGACGCATGGCGGGCTTTAGTGCCGTCAGTTACGGCGGCTTCTTTATGATACCCTTCGCGCTCACTTTTCCACTGATATTGGGGTTCGTGGAATCATGCATCATTGGAAGGCTGCAGCGCGAGCATCGCGAGAAGGCGTCGACCCGCCAGCTGTCTACCTGGATCTAAGGCCAGACAGGTGGAGGGAGCCAGCTCGACAGACTCTCGTTGCATGCGCTGTTCGCAGGGAGAGCTTTGGGTGTTTGTAGGCTACTGCGAGCTCTTTTTCCGGCGTGAAATGCGCCCTGTCAGAGCCCCGCAGAGCCCCGCAGAGCTCCGCGGAGCCTGATGGCGGTGTCGATCGACAGCGCACCGCGTCGGTTGCGCGTGCGTCGTGGAGGTGGTGGTCCCACTCCTGCGTGAGAGGGGAGGGCTGGCTAACCACTCTGCCTGCCGCAGGGCCAGCCCGCCCACTAGGCCAGCGTGCGCGATATTCCGTTTCTTTCGTGAATCGTGACTGCTCGCCAGCTCTGGTCAGCGTCCGACGTCGCAGCGAGCCCGGGAACGACGTCGCCTCGAGAGTGAATTGTCAGGGTTGTTCACGGAGCGTGGTGCTTTCTTAAAGATTGGGAGTACTGCACACGCGAGTCCTGCTGGACGAGTGAGAGACATCGTTTTTCCGAATCCTGCTATCTCGCGGCTCCCAAAGCAGGGTCGCTGCAAGGGTTTGATACACCAGGAGGTATTCAGTGCTGTGCTGCCCGATTTCGAGTGCTGTGCTGTGCACGAGGTGCAAGGGGTGTGACGGACGCTACTGATTCCGAAAGAGAGGGAGACGCCAGCATGCCGACGCTCTCTGAGGATGCGGTGTATCTCGCCAAGAGGGTGCGTTGCTGTACCCTGTTTCGTTGCTCTGCTCGTTTTATTCTTATCGTTTTATTCTGCTATTGTTTGCTGATTTCTTGTATTTTTTCTTGTAAACGTTTGCAGTTCATGTCAGTGGTCGCGATTGGTTCAGCGGCCATCGTCACTCTGCCGTTTCTCCTGTCCGCCGCCTTCGTGTTCTCGCCTCTTTTAGGCGTGCTTGCTGCGTACAGCTTTGTCAAGGTATGGCTGTTAGCAGTTGGACCGTTTATTGGATACACATGTCAATTATAGTCGTGATTGTTTCTTGCACCAAATCTTACTGCTGTACCGCTCTGTACCTCTCTCTACTCTCTGTGTGCAGTCCCGTTCACCACAGCAGAAGCTCCTACAGGGCCCCAGCAGCAGCGCGGGCAGAAGGCCGTGGCAGCCGTCTTCAGGCATTCCACACAAGCATTTCCAACCTGAGCAACCTTCCCTCTGCCTGCCACAGCCTGCCAGCACCAGCATGGACGTGCAACGTAGTTCCCCCTTGCCTGCTGCAAGCGAGCCAGTATCAGGGGGGGTAAGGGGACCGGGCAGCTGGGCTGGTGGATTTGGAGAGACCCAGGCGAGGGAAAGGACCAACCTGGATGCTGCTCGCCGATTCCCTCCTCCTCAACTTGCCGTCCCGCTCGCTGCCCCTTCTCAAGCTGTCCCCTCTCAAGCTGTCCCCTCTCAAGCTGTCCCCTCTCAAGCTGTCCCTTCTCAAGCTGTCCCCTCTCAGGCTCAACCGGCCTGTACTGGAGCTATGCATTCTCAAGCTGCCGCTCCTCATGTGACTCCTACCGCTCCTGCTGGCATTCGAGCTTTTCCCTCAAGCCCAGAGTCTGTGCATGTATCGGGGTTTCCTAAAGCGAGGGCAGTGGCTGGGCTGGGCAGCATGGAAGGACCGAGGCCGACAGTGCGAATGAGAGTCCAGGCGATTGACTCTGGTGCGGCTGAGGAGGGGGTGGCAGTAGGAAGAGGGTCAAGGGTGATGGAACAGCAGCAGCTGGGAGGGAAGGAGGATGAGGGAGAAGAGGAGGACGAGGGTTTCACTCTGGTGCTTCATCACATTCCTAAGGTGAATATTCTTGTCAAGAGAAAGGTATCATTGTATCGATGGCGTTTTACCAGGTGGGTTGTCCTCCTTCATGAGTTTTTCAGCTCTGGCTGACCCAAGCATTGTTCCGTGGTGTCCTTATGAGCAGGACTTGACTGGCGTGGCACGCGTTCGTGGGGGTGAAGCAGCAGAGGCAAGAGAGGCAGGAGAGGCAGGACAGACAGGTGAGGAAGCAGAGACAGGGGAGGCAGGTGGTGCAGGAGCAGAAGCGCTTGAAGCAAGCAAAGAGGAGATGGCAGCAGCAGGCGTGGCAGGGCAGGAAGGCGGGAAACCCGAGGCAGAGGTGGAGGAGAAGCGTGTGGTGGATGGGCAGGGCAGGGGGAGGAGTCAGAGGAGGATCAGCTGTTGGTGGAGAAGGAAGTGCAAGAGGAGGGAGTGCGGGTTGCGAGTGAAATAAAGAAGCTTGAGAAGGTGATTTATGGCAACACGATTCAGAGCCCTGCATCGCCCAGGCTGGAGGCTGAGCTGCTGTGTGATTTAGTGGGGTTGACCCCCCCTCCTCCATTGTCCCCTCAGCCGAAGCTGCCCAGGCAGGCACGTGCTTCGAGGAAGCAGGCTGCGGAGGGACAGCTGTGGGAAGTGCGGCGTGCCAGCCAGCTGGTGGAAGCAACCAAGGAACAGCTAGGTGTTGCATGAGGCAAGCTTGCTTGGCTTTTTAGTCGACTCAGAAGTCACTTTGGAAGGGCACCTGTGGGAGGTGTGGTGCGGCGTGCAGCTCGGGGTTGCGTGGCAAGCTTTGCTTGGAGGCATTTGTGTTTTGATGGTTACTTACAAGCAGTTTGGCGGGCTGTCAGAAAATGTGATTTGGCGTGGAGGATGTATGAACCGATGTAGGTATATTGAACTGATTGGAAAATGTAGGGCTGAAATTTTATTCCATGTACAGAACACTGTAAACACGTTGCTGTCATCTTATCAAATCCTCCACATCTGAGGAACGGATTTCTCCAAGAATGAAAGATGTGAGCACAAAACGCGGCAACCTTGGGAGTTCCGCATGGTCATTCCCAGGCAGCTTTCTTGATCATCCGAGCCACCTTCCACCCTATCGTTCCTAGGATCGTAGAGGATGGATCTCTCTTTGAATTCCCTTAGAGCGTTGCGTACGCCTTTGACCACCCCGTCGGTCGCCGGCGAATTCACCCTCGCGTGCTCATTGTCGTACTGCACTGCTGCCGTTACTGTCGTCTCGTGTCCTCCAGTAAATTCCATGCAAATCATTTGCGAACGGAACCACCGAGTCCAACGTCAAGGTTGTAGAGTCAATACGCGATGGGGAGATGAGCGCATATTCGCGAAATCTCCACTCGAGCAGGGTTACGGTGTTGGCCGAAATTCGCTAGTCCGTGCTAAGAATCTCGCATCCGACCCATACGGTAAGAAGGCTGCGAGTCTGCTTCTCTTCGGTGTTACCGCTCTGTCTCAGCTCCCGCGTTTTCCCCTGGTTCCATTGAAATAAGTTGTACTGCTGACTACCTGCTGTCATGATTCCTCTCGTTACATTTCGTCACGCGACGACGGGTCTAACATCATTGCACAGCATGACACGAATGAATGACGTGGTGCGACGTGGCATGGCATGACATGGTTCTCATTCACGACATGGCATTGCATGCATGGAACTTCCATGGCACTCGCATGGCACTCGCACTAGTTGCACCCATCAGTGTCATGCAGGGCACCTGGCAATCCGCATGGCAGCACCCGGCGATATTCGAGTCACTTATGGGACATCTCAAAACTGATTGCACCCACCAGTGTCCTGCAGAGAGGACATGTTGAACCGGCACCTGGCTTTCCGCACGGCAGCCCCCGGCGACCTGCAGCGCGTGCATTCCCTGGAAGAGGCCGGATACCCTGCAGATGAAGCAGCCTCCCTTGACTCTCTAACCTACCGCATCCACCAAGGTGCCATGCACGCTTCACTCTCCTCTCCACGCTTCTCTTGTCGAGCTGTTTGATTCAAGTGTTCTCTTACCAGTCTGATCTGCTTGAATGTCGGCCGTTTTTCAAGTCAAACCTTTTCCTCATACACTCCTCTTCCCCATCCCCTCCCACCCCCCCTCCCCCTCCTCCTCCCCTGCCTCCTTCCCTCGTTTCCTTTCCCTTCGAGCACGTTCCGAATTCGTTTGGTCACACCTGACAATATCTCATAGCGGTGCACTACACGTGGACTTTCCTCTCCCACTCCTTCATTGGCCCTCCTTCGCAGCCAGCTCGGTGTTTCTGGTGGCGACACTTGGCAGCGAGCTAGTGGGCTTCGTGTGTGGCACTCAGACGCCCAGGGATGAGCTGGATCACGCCTCCATGTTCACTCATGACCCACAAGGAAGTACGTGCATCACCCCACAGGCAATACCATTATCCACAAGCAGTACTCTCACTCACCTCCCTCATTTGACCTATGCTTGCCTGTAAAGCGACTTCATCCACAATATTGCACAATGTCGTGTGCAGGGACCTTGTGCATTCATTCCGTGTGTGTGGACGAAAAGCACCGTCGTCAGGGCATTGGATCGCGTCTGTTGAGAGCATACATCAAGCACGTATCGACCATTGAACAACCTAGTTTGCACTCCATCCGACTGTTAAGCAAGGAGGTAATGATAATCATGTTGATGTTTGTATATATGTTCAATATCATTTATTCTGATTCGTCATTTACGCCTTTGATTGGATTCCCATTATTGGATGTGTGCAGCCACTGATAGGGTTCTATGAAAAAATCGGCTTCACCTTGGTGGGGCCTTCAAGTGTAGTTCATGGAAGGGACATGTGGTTTGAGTGCTTGCACATTATTCAACAAAATTGATGTGAGTGAGTTGGGGATTGACTTGACTGCCATGAAATTTGCTCTGTTTTTCTAACGCGTTTTTTATTGTACAATTTCAGAGCGTGGTCGCCAACAAAGGATTGCCTATATCGAAATAGCACATCCGAGCATGCGAAAGCGTGACTTCATTGACCACGCGGCGATTTGGTTTTACGATTGCCCCAGCGACGGTTGCGGCAGTTCGCAACCGCAAGTTCGCGTTTCGCCTGCGAGCCGCAATTCAAGTCGCCGCGCAACCGCCAATCTGCGCCACACGGCATTTCGCATGGACCCCCCCCCCCCCCCACCAATTTCCGGGATTTCAAGGAAAACCATCTGTTTCACAATTTAGCCCACAGGAATTCTCGCTCATTGTATCCAAGACCCCAGTCAAAGCGGTTGCATGTCTCAAGGCGTTCGCACAGCGGCGATTCACGTAGCAACCGTCTTCTGCTGACTCGGTTCCATCCGTGCCGATCGACAGTCCACCAAAGGAATCGTGAGGAGTCGTAAGTCGGCAATCGTCCCTGGAGCTGCGAAATGGCAAGCTGCTTCCTCCCAACGACTCCCAAAGTCGACGGCCAATTTCCAGCATCCCCCGTCTTATTTCACTTCACAAGCTCCGTTCAGTCGCGTTTTGACGTAGCAAAAGGATTTTTCTCGCAGGTAGGCTTGACGACGCTGTAGTTCTTGCCTCCATGGCGGCCATACCGTCTCGCCAGCAAGGCCTTCATTTCCGCCTCTGAAACCATAGCAGCTGCTTCTTTTCTCCTCGAACCACGATCTAACACCTCCAACTACCCTCATTGACACTTTTCGCCTGCGCAGAGTGAGAATGGTAGCAAGAAGCAGGCACCTCAACACGCTCCTGCTGCTGATGCTGCCACTGCTCGCCATCGTATCAGCTGGTAAAACGCCTGAAGGTGGCAGCGGCGAGCAGCAGCTGCCGCAGCATGATCAGAGAGGACTCGTGGCCACGGAGCCGACGGCCTCGATCAAACTGCGGGGAGGAGAGGCAAGCAGCGGCCGGCTCCTCGCATCCTCAATTTTTCCAGCCCATGGATCTTCCGCAAATTTATCCCCTTCCTCTTCCTCGCCACGAAAATCCCAATCGTCTCCACGTTCACCACCCTCCACCGCCGCAGCAATCAACGCCTTGACCCGCGGCACCCCCTGCTCCAACACATGCCCGGACGGCTATGTGTTCGAGCCTGTCGCTTCGGGCCTGACGGATGATGTGTATGGCACCGTGCTGGTTCTCCTGGATGACGTGCCCGATGCAGACACAGACGCAGACACAGACACAGGCAGGGCGACGCAGGATGGGGCTGCTGGGAAGGGTGGTAGGCGGACTGTTGGTGGTAACAGTGGGGCTGGCGAGGAGATTGGGGAGGACGAGGATGATAGGGAGCTTGGGAACGGGCGCGCTGGAGTTGATTTGGAGGAGGTGGAGAAGGAGACTGAGAGAGATAACAGTTGGGCGGATGAGTTGATGGAGCTGGGGCAGGCACAGGGACAAGGGAAGGGGCAGGGAGAAGGGAAGGGGCAGGGGCAGGGACAGGGGCAGAGGCAGGGGCAGGGCAAAGGACAGGGGCAGGTGAAGAAGCAGAGGTGCAAGTGCGTGGAGCCATACCATGTGTCGCTGCGGTTCTCCATCTGCCCTTCCAACATCACCCTCTCGCCCCGCCTCAACCCCGCCATCTCCTCCCGACCCGGCCGCCTAGCCCCAGTTCCTCCGTCATCCCCTGCCTCGTCCGGTCCCCCACCTGCGCCTGACAGGCGGGCAGCGGACGCTGACACTGACACTGACACTGACACTGACACTTACAGCTTCTTCCCGTGGTTCAAACCCAAAGGGCGCAAAGACCCGCTGCGATCACAGCAAGACGAGGACGACGATGATCAGAACCTTTCGTATCAGGGCGACAGGCAGGGCAGGGCAGGGCAGCAGGGGAGTGATGCAGCAGGGCGGGGCAGTGCTCCTCCGGCAGCCATGTCCCTCTACCGACCAGAGCTTGAATACCGTTGCCTGCCCCTGCTGCTCCCTTCATCCCCGCCCCTCTCAACTCCTCCCTCGCGAAACCCACCTGTCACTGAAGCAGTGCGGAATGCGACAGCAGCAGCAGTGGCGACGCTGTTCGCGGCGCCTGCCCTCGCGCGCTTCGCAGGGAGCCTCATGGTGCTGCTTTCATGCAACAACGCCGCCACTGGCGTGGCCGTCACTCCCGTCGGCCTCAAAGGCGTGGACCTTACCATCTACCCCCGCCCCGGCTTTGACGGCTTCCTCCCGGAAGAGGAAGAGGCGATCTGGACGTATCTGAGAGGTGTTGGCAAGGGCGTTTATGACTGCGACGTGGGGCTGCGGGGTCCTGGTGCAGTGCAGAACGGTGTTGCGGGTTTGCGGAACGGTACTAGTGGGTATGGGAGTTTGGGAAAGGGTTCTGGAAGGGGGAATGGGAGTATGGGTCGTACCCTTCCTGGTGGTTTGTGGGAAGAGAAGATACCTACTGGGCCTTCTCTCTTCTGGGTGTTCTTTGAAGTGGTCGATGTTACAGTGCCCAACAACAGCAGGAGCAGCAGCAGCAACGTCACTGGCAACACCGTCACCGTTTCTGATGACCCTTATGCTGCTGCGGCTGGAGCACCCCCTGTGGACGGCTGGCCTGTATCAACTGAGGATTCTTCCAGCAGCAGCGGCAGCAGTGGCAGCACCACTGGTTCTGCTGCAGCTGGGGGCCTCTCCGCACCTTTGATTGCAGCCATTGCATTAGCTGCCGCAGCCGCTGCCGCCACTGCCGCCATTGCTGCTGTCCTGCTCTTCTGCCCCACCTCCTGCTGCGGTGGCAGGAGGAAGCACCGCAGGAGTGACAGCGCGAGCAGCAGTGGCAAGGGCGGGGGAAAGCTGTTTGGGGCGAATCTGCGGGTCTTTGGAGGGAAGGGGTTGGATGGACGGGTGGGGAAGCTCAATGGATTTTACAAGGCGTTTGGAAGCAAAGGTACGCCCTGCCCTGCCTGCTCGGATAAGCTGACTTTTTTTTGAGACGTCTCAACCACAATCTCTTATCATTTGGAAGCGAACTGTTCAGATAAGCTGATTTCTTTTGAGACGTCTCAAAAAAATCTATTATCATTTGGAAGCAAAGGTACGCTACGCCCTGCCCTGCATGCTCAGCTATACTTATTTCTTGAGTAGATTTTGGAATCGCCATAAATTCTGAGTCTCCATGAACTTGATATACTCGTTTTCTAGGTGAGTTGAAATCGATGGGTAGCAGCTTCTTCGTTACACGAACCTGCTTAGTACTGGCACATTGTTTTCTGTGCTGAAACCCCTTGGTGAGTGTGCACTTACACACAAGTGTTTTTGCCCCTTCTGTTCTCCTCCATCGCCCGTTCCCACCCTCCATTCCCCCCTGCTCATCTCCCAGCCTTTGCTCGCCTCGTACCCGACCCAGACGCCATCCTCGCTACAGGCGCACTCGACATAAGCTACGCCTCAATCGAGGCCGCCACGCACCGCTTCAGTGAGAAGAACCTTCTGGGAAGGGGCACGTTTGGGCGCGTGTACAAGGCCACTCTGCCCAACGGGCTGAGGCTTGCTATCAAGAGGCTCGACCTGTTCGTTGCTGGGGGGGACGTGGGGCGAGGAGGAGGGGGAGCTGGAGGAGGGCGAGGGGGAGGCCAAGCAGGGGTGTCCAGGGAAGCTGCCAGGAAGCTGTTCGTGCAGCAGGTGGGTGGTTTGTCTGTTGTGGTTCATGTTGTGCTCTCGTGTTCTTTCTCGTGCTTGCATGGCCCATGCTTCGTTCACTCCTCCCACATCGCCACTGCTCTCCTCTCTTCCCCCTCGCCTTCTCCACCTCACCCCCCATCTTCTCCTGCCGTGTTCGCTCGCTCTCTCCTTCTCAGACTGCGGCGGCGCTCTCACTCACGTGTCAGCCAAAAGTCGTGCCTCGTGCACCCTCTTCCTTCTCTCCCAACAGAAGGAGGCGCTCTCTCTCATGCGCTGTCCCCACGTGGCGCCACTGCTGGGTTACTCCACAGACGGAGTCAGTACCGTGATCGCTTGCAAGTTGATGTGCTCTTACTCGTGCACTGCCCATGGGAGGCATCTCAACAGTTCTTCTTTGTGCGCTCACCCTCTCGCTCCAACCAACCCTCCTCTCTTCCCATACTTCGGCCCCCTCTGCATGTAGAGGCACTATCTCTCATGCGCTGCCCCCTCGTGGTGCAATTGCTGGGTTACTCCACAGGTGGTGTCAGCGCCGTGCTCGCATATGAGTTGACGTGATCCCACTCTGCACTGCCCTTGTGATGGGTGTCATGTCAGAAGTCCCATTTTGTGCCCTCAACCTCTCCTTCTCCCCCACCACCAACCTTATTCCCTCAGGTGGAGGCGCTGTCTCTCATGCGCTGCCCCCACGTGGTGCCACTGCTGGGTTACTCCACGGATGGAGTCAGTGCCGTGCTGGCTTATGAGTTTGTGCCCAACGGCAGCTTGCACGACCACCTGCATGGTACGTGATGTGAGGTGCTGTGCGGTGGGGTGCTTTTCTTTGCTGTGCTGTGCTGTGCGGTGCGGTGCTGTGTTGTGTCGAAAGAGCCTACGTCAACTACATTCCTATAGCATCTCGTTCCCCTCAGCCCATACGCCCTTCCACCCCTCCGTCCCTCCTCCCCTCCACCACATGCCAGGCTCCGGGAGGCTGGACTGGGCGCACAGGGTGAAGATCGCCGATGCCGTGGCCAGGGGTCTGCAGAGCCTTCACCCATCTTTACCCCCTTTCCCCCTCCCCACCCCTCCACCCTATGGCAGGCTCCGAGCGGCTGGACTGGGCGCACAGGGTGAAGATCGCCGTGGCCATAGCCAGGGGCCTGCAGAGCCTGCAGCCCGTCTCACGCACCCCCCTCCGTCCCTCTGCCCTTTCCTTGCATGCCAGGCTCGGGGCGGCTGGACTGGGCGCACAGGGTGAAGATCGCAGTGGCCATAGCGCGGGGCCTGCAGAGCCTGCACCAGCGCCTCGTGCCCATTGGCCCTGCCTCCCCTCCCGCGCAACCCCATGGGGGAGACGCCACCCGGGACCCATCCCACCTCCGCCCACCACTGGCAACCAGCCAATCAGCTTCATCCACCTCACCTTACACCACAAACCCCGGCTACAGCTCCAACCCCACTGCCCACCACACTTCGTCTAATGCCTCCCCTGACCCGCTGCAGAACAGTGCCTATGCCTCCCCCCACAGCTCCCTGCCCTCGTCCCTCGGCGGCTCGCCCCACAAGCTGGACACGCTACAGGAGAGCCCGCTGGAGGGGGAGGGGGATGGGGACGGGGAGGAGGAGTTTCTTGTTTCTGTGGGTCAGCGGGATGGACCGAGTGACAGTGATAGCTACAGCAGCAGTGGGGAGTTTGAGAGCGGTGTGGGGAGTGGGGTTGGTGGGGTGGGGATGGACGGAGAGGGGGAGGAGGGTGAAGGGGAGGGCGCGGGGGGTAGGGAGGAGGTGGTGGTGAGGGACGGGCAGCGGTGGGTGAGGGCGGTGCATGCTAACCTCAAGAGCGCCAACGTGCTGCTTGATAACTCGGGCAATGCCAAGGTCAGTTTTTGAGTCGTCTTCAAAATGGTTGCGGGTGGTGGTTGTGAGTGGTGGGTGCGGCGGTGGGTGCGGGCGATGCATGCGCACCTAAAGAGCGCCAATGTGCTGATTGATAACTCAGGGAATGCCAAGGTCAGTTTTGCGCTCAGGGTACGTGTGCTCTGGATCCACACTCGTCAACGTGAGTCCACTTCCCCTTCCCCATCAACACCTTCTCCCTCCCATCCCCACTCCATCTCCCGCCCCTTCCTGCTCCCCCTCCCGCTCTCGCTCCCCCATCCCCCTTAGAGGTGACGGACTATTGCCTTTCTCGCCTGGCGGAGAATGCTCTTCCTCTCCCTTTCCCCCCTCCACATCCTCCCCCTCCCCGTGCCCCCCCGATCCCCCTTACAGGTGACAGACTATTGCCTCTCGCGCCTGGCAGAGGACGCTCTTCCCACCAGGCGAGGCGGCAGAGCCACTGGTGCTTCTGGTTACCACACTCATTGACGCGTGTCCTCTTTCCCTCCCCTCCCCCCTCAACCTCCCCCTCCCCTTGCCCTCATCCCCATCCCCTCCACAGGTGACGGACTACTGCCTCTCGCGCCTGGCGGAGGACGCTCTTCCCACCAGGCGGGGTGGCAGAGCCACCGGCACCTTTGGGTACCTCGCTCCCGAGTAAGCGCTCTCAACTGGGAGGTAGAAAGACCTGGGTGGGGTGGGGGATGTGCACGTGAAGTGGGCTATTGTGAAGGGGTTACTGAGAGCGCGCTCTTGCGTAAGAGCAGGGAGGGTGGGCATGGTTGGCAGATTCCTAGCGTGTGACTCTGTGGAAGGAGGGAAGGTGGGGGATGGAAGGTTTGCAAGTTGTGCCTTGCCTTAGAGCTGCTGTGGGGGAACCTATGGGTAGCCTGTGGGGTCAGACCATGGTGATGGCTATGGGAGTGAATGGTTGTGCAATTGCGGGTTATGCTGGTGATGGGCGTGGATGTAGGATATGGATGTCCTTTGGGTGAGTTATGATTGCCTTTGCTACGTTGGACTTGTCTTGGATTCTTTATCAATGACGCCCGCCCCCTTCTCTGCTCCCCACGCACTGTCGGCTGTGTGTGGTGCAGAGGGGTGCTGTTTGGTGTGAACACGCAGCGCAGTGACGTGTACAGCTTTGGGGTGATCCTACTGGAGCTCATCACGGGGCGAAGGCCCATCGACCTCTCCAAGCGGCCAGATGAGCAGTCCCTCGTCTCATGGGTGCGTTCCTTCTTTCCCATGGGTGCGTTCCCATGCTGCATGCACTCATCAACCACATGCATGTCCTCCTTCAAAAGCAACATGCCGCCAATGCATTGAATACCCATTGCACTTACCCATCCACCATACATATGTCCCCATAAACCAGTTTCGCTTATTGATTCTGCTCACATTTCCTGCCACCCAGCCCACCACACCAGGCTGTGCCGCTCCTCGTCCGGGACGAAGCATTCGCCATCACACACCCTGCCTTGCTGGTTTTTTTTAAGGACTAAAAAATCGTTCCCATGTCTCCCCCCCCACCCCTTCCCCCTTGTCACACCAGGCCGTGCCGCTCATTGACAGGGACGAGACGCTTGCCATTGCCGACCCGGCCTTGCGGAACCGCTTTCCACCAACCAGCTTCCACCACCTGGCCACTGTTGCCGCCGTTTGCGTGCAATCTGAGCCGTCCTTCCGGCCAACCATGACCCAGGTCCTCGGATCGTTGGTCCCTCTCATAGACCTTGCCGAGCAATGGAAGAGCCAGGGGAAGCCGCACGCCGGGCCCGTCAAGTCTGCTTCTCCACCTTCATCTGGGCTGGCGGAGAGTGGTGAGCTTGGTCCTGGTGGCTCACCCAGGCCATCGTTTCCTGTGGCCAAGTGCCTGATTTGTCATGAGCATCCGCGAAACACGACTGTGCAGCCGTGCTCACATAATGTTACGTGCGAGCAGTGTGCGTCGCTGCTTGTTTCTCGGAATAAGCAGTGTCCTCTGTGCCATCAGAAGATCGAGAGAGCTGTCACGAAGGGAGGAATGGTGTTTTCACGTAACTAGTACGACTGATATGCATCTGTATACTAATTCGGATTCCCAAAGACCATGTTCTTTGTAATTTGTTTGACTCATGTACGAGGAAGGACAGAAGGTGTATTTTTCCCAAGTGTCTCGGCGGCCCCGCTTGGCTTACCAATCGTTGTTATCGAGGCAACCAGAATGGCGGTTGAATTAGTCGGTCTGGGGCGCCAGCCAGTCATATTCATGCCGAGCCACCTCGGTAGATCTAGGTTTGGGCGCGGCGTGTCAGGTTGCAAGCGACCATCAAAGCAACTGCACCTCGAGCATTGTCAGCCGCACACCAAGCACATGGCAACTAGCAACTTCCACCGCCGCTCAGCTGGCGATAGTCTGCGACACCTTAGAAACACCCAACCAATCGGAGTGCTCTCCCGTGCCTCGACGACAAATTCATGAGCATAAGCAGACGGACGGATCTTTCCGCTCCGTCAGTTTCTTGGGTCCCTCTTGTCCGTCAATTCCCCTGGGGTCCTGGCCTGGACCTTCCCCTGCTTGGTTCCCCCGCCAACAAGCCAACAGTCCTTGATATTTCCGATGTCGCTGTTTTTGTGGTTCCACTTCCATTTGCATTTCAAGACACTCGCCTACTACAACACATACGATAGAAAGACAGCCCAGGCAGTCTCGAGGGCGGGGTAGTCTAGAGATTCTACTTACCTGCCTCTCGTCCGCCACTGGCCCTGAAGGCGAACTCCTCTTCGCACTCGGCTAGCCGTTCCCAGCCCCCGAGTCACCATCACGACGGCATCAAACGTTTTCGTCCCGGGAGCGGCGACAAAGCGTTCCAATCGACCACCTTATAATCTATTCGTCCGTGGCTAATCTCAGAACTTTTACCATTGTCGACCTCTTTTCCTTAGAAAGGACCAGTTAATCCGAGCATCTAGTCCAGACAGTGGGCTTGCGAGGGTTACAGATGGTAGTTCACCGGCCGAAACAGCACTGCAAGCAAGAGCTGCGAGAGCTCGACGTGTTGCCAGTCAGCACGTCGAAAAAGCACCACCACCACCACCATCACCACCACCACCACCACCACCACCACGAGCAGCAGCAGCAGCACCAGCTACAGACTTATCGTCAGGGCTACGCAAACGAGGCGGCAGACGGTAACGATAACGGCGACGACGATCCGCTGCCGGTGGGCGTGAGCGCGCTGGATTGGGCGTTCAACATGCTCCGCTGGTGCCCCGCCAGCGACCTCGAGCTCCGCTCCTGCGAATGCCGACTGCTCTCGTTCGTTAGGTGCGAATACCAGGTCCCCGTGCATTAGGTGCGAAGAGCAGGTGTGAATATCAGGTTCTGGGCGTGAGCGCGCTGGATTGGGCGTTCAACATGCTCCGCTGGTGCCCCGCCAGCGACCTCGAGCTCCGCTCCTGCGAATGCCGACTGCTCTCGTTCGTTAGGTGCGAATACCAGGTCCCCGTGCATTAGGTGCGAAGAGCAGGTGTGAATATCAGGTTCTGGGCGTGAGCGCGCTGGATTGGGCGTTCAACATGCTCCGCTGGTGCCCCGCCAGCGACCTCGAGCTCCGTTCCTGCGAATGCCGACTGCTCTCGTTCGTTAGGTGCGAATACCGGGTTCTTGCTCGCTAGGTGCGAATTCAAAGCACCCGTTCAGCCCCGCCTTCTCGCTCCTTCCCTCCCTTGGTCCGGCTCTCCTCGGTCTGGCATTATGAGCGAGGCTATCACCTTTAGTCAGTCCCTCTTTGCTTGATAACCGATAAATCGCGCATTTGTCTCTCGTGGCATGATAAGCGTACCTAAGTGTTCCTCACCTTCCCGGATACCCCCGCGTCGCGCAGGACCCCGCATCGCGTGATCCAAATAGACATCGGCCACCCGCCGGCCGTCCGCAAGAAAGCCACCGTCTGGCCGTCAGACAAACCGCTAGAAGACACCCTGTCGTGGGGCTGGAAGAAGGCGGCGGAAACCGACGGCGGAAGCGGCGGCGGCGGAGGCGGCGGCGGAAGCGGCGGCGACGCGGCGGAGAACTGCTTCATCAACACGCTGGTGGTGGGGGCGACGACGTGTCGCGGCGACGGGCGCGGCGACGAGGAGGAGGTGAACGGCAAGCCGAACCTGGTGATAATCCACGGGTACGCCGCCGCGCTGGGGTTCTTCTTTCGCAACTACGACGCACTCGCGGAGCACTTCAACGTCTACTCCATCGACCAACTGGGGTACGTGCGAGGCTCACGTGAGGAAACTGACCAGCTCGGGTGCGTGGCTCACGGTAGGAACTGGCCAGCTGTGCGTGGGGGGGATGAGTTTGTGCGTGGTTGGGGTTCTTCTTCCGTGTTTTGAGTCGACTCAAAACACGGCTGGGGTGGGGTTCTTTTTTCATAACTACGACGCACTGGCGGAGCACTTCAACGTCTACTCCATCGACCAACTTGGGTGCGTCGGCTGATGGGAGGAACTGGCCAGCCGTGCGTGCAGGGGAAGAGTTTGTGTGTGGTCAGGATGGGGGGAAGGAGGGGAGGGGAGGAAACCGATAGTCGAGAGGCGGAAGAGAGCATGACGCAGGAAGGGGGAAGGCGTGCGTAGGCAAGAAGGAAAAGGGCGTTGTGCATGGTATGGAGATGAATGGGATGGATGGATTAGTGGGGAATGGATCAGCCCATGTGGTGTCGTAGCCGATAGCCTTGGCGGCTTTGCTTGAAGCAATGAATGCAACCAATGCAATGGACGCACCTCTCCCGTTCTTGTGTGGCTGCATGGCAGGTGGGGAGCATCCAGCCGTCCGACTTTCACGCCCGCTTCACCTGAAGGTAGATCATCAGTAAGGCAGATCGTTTGTTTGTTTGCTTCTCTTTTTTTTTTTTTTTTTTTTTTTTTTTTTTTTTTTTTTTCGCTTCACGTTCTCATTCCCTCCCTCACTCCATCCTCTTTCCCCACCTCACTCCCCTTTCTCTCCCCCCTCACTCTCCCGCTCACGTCCGCTTGTCCTTCACCCCCTTGTGTGTGCGCGCGCGTCCCACCAGAGGCGGAGACATGGTTCGTGGAGGCACTGGAGGCGTGGCAGAGGAAGATGGGGGCTTAGGCGCTCAGGCGCCTCACACCCACCTCACTCCCCCCTCATTCCCCCCTCATTCCCCCCTCATTCCCCCCTCATTCCCCCCTCATTCCCCCCTCATTCCCCCCTCACCCCTCTGTGCGCGCCCCACCACCACCAGAGGCGGAGACGTGGTTCGTGGAGGCACTGGAGGCGTGGCGGAGGGAGATGGGGCCATTTTTCCCCGCACTCCCCCCTCACTTCCCCCTCACCCCCCTTTCACTCCCCTTTCCACCCCCTGTGCGCGCGCCACCAGAGGCAGAGACGTGGTTCGTGGAGGCGTTGGAGGCGTGGCGAAGGGAGATGGGGCTGCGGCGCTTTGTGCTGCTCGGCCACTCATTTGGGGGCTTCGTCGCCTCACGATACGCCCTCAAGGTGGGGCGCTCACTCACCTGGTGCTGACGGTGCCGCAGAGGGCACTCAGGCCAACTCAAATTGGAAACTCGGTCCATTCGATAGTGCCTCCCCCCACGCTGTCTCCCCCCACGCTGTCTCCCCCCACGCTGCCTCCCCCCACGCTGTCTCCCCCCACGCTGTCTCCCCCCACGCTGCCTCCCCCCACGCTGCCTCCCCCCACGCTGCCTCCCCCCACGCTGCCTCCCCCCACGCTGCCTCCCCCCACGCTGTCTCCCCCCACGCTGCCTCCCCGCACGCTTCCTCCTCCCTTGTCGCCCTTCCACATGCTGGCCTCCTCACATGCTGCCTTCCCTATTGCTGCTCGTTAATTCTGCCTCCCCTGCGGCCTCCCTTCTCTGCCTCCCCCGGAACAGTACCCATCGCGTGTGCGCCATCTGCTGCTGGTGGGGCCAGCAGGGTTCAGCCACGAGTCAGCCAAGATGCAGCAGTTCCGCTCCACGTGGAAAGGTTTCGCCTTCCAGTGCTACTGGGACACCAACATCCCACCCCAGCAGTTCATTCGGTACGCTCGAACACCAACCCCACTCCACCCACAATTAAGCTTAGCACAAAAAAAAAAAAAAAATCTCAGGCAGGACAAGGTTTTTACCCAGTTTTAAACTTCAGGATGATTTTCCCACCGTCCACGTTGTTCCTGTCCACTCTCGCCTTATGGAGTCGCGCCACTGACTTTTGAGTCGACTCAAAAGTCACTTCATGATTTTCCCACCGTCCACCTTGTTCCTGTCCACTCTCGCCTTATGGAGTCGTGCCACTGCAAATATTCTCTTAGTTGGCTGAAAGTCACCCTCCCCTCCCACAGCTGGTTGGGACCGTGGAGTCGGGACATTGTGAAGAGCGCCACAACACAGCGGTGGTCCGACCTGCCACCACCACAAGAGAACATGACCCCCGAGCAAGTGGACGCCTTCTGTGGTACGTTAAGAGTGTCTTTTATCCAAGGGAACAAGTTTTGAGACGTCTCAAAACTCACCACCGCGAGAGAACATGACCCCTAAGCAAGTGGACGCCTTCTGTGGTACGTTAAGAGTGTCTTTTATCCAAGGGAACAAGTTTTGAGACGTCTCAAAACTCACCACCGCGAGAGAACATGACCCCTAAGCAAGTGGACGCCTTCTGTGGTACGTTAAGAGTGTCTTTTATCCAAGGGAACAAGTTTTGAGACGTCTCAAAACTCACCACCGCGAGAGAACATGACCCCTAAGCAAGTGGACGCCTTCTGTGGTACGCTCAGAGTGTCTTTTATCCAAGGGAATAAGTTTTGAGACGTCTCAAAACTCACCACCGCGAGAGAACATGACCCCTAAGCAAGTGGACGCCTTCTGTGGTACGTTAAGAGTGTCTTTTATCCAAGGGAACAAGTTTTGAGACGTCTCAAAACTCACCACCGCGAGAGAACATGACCCCTAAGCAAGTGGACGCCTTCTGTGGTACGTTAAGAGTGTCTTTTATCCAAGGGAACAAGTTTTGAGACGTCTCAAAACTCACCACCGCGAGAGAACATGACCCCTAAGCAAGTGGACGCCTTCTGTGGTACGTTAAGAGTGTCTTTTATCCAAGGGAACAAGTTTTGAGACGTCTCAAAACTCACCACCGCGAGAGAACATGACCCCTAAGCAAGTGGACGCCTTCTGTGGTACGCTCAGAGTGTCTTTTATCCAAGGGAACAAGTTTTGAGACGTCTCAAAACTCACCACCGCGAGAGAACATGACCCCTAAGCAAGTGGACGCCTTCTGTGGTACGTTAAGAGTGTCTTTTATCCAAGGGAACAAGTTTTGAGACGTCTCAAAACTCACCACCGCGAGAGAACATGACCCCTAAGCAAGTGGACGCCTTCTGTGGTACGTTAAGAGTGTCTTTTATCCAAGGGAACAAGTTTTGAGACGTCTCAAAACTCACCAACGCGAGAGAACATGACCCCTAAGCAAGTGGACGCCTTCTGTGGTACGTTAAGAGTGTCTTTTATCCAAGGGAACAAGTTTTGAGACGTCTCAAAACTCACCGCCGCGAGAGAACATGACCCCTAAGCAAGTGGACGCCTTCTGTGGTACGTTAAGAGTGTCTTTTATCCAAGGGAACAAGTTTTGAGACGTCTCAAAACTCACCACCGCGAGAGAACATGACCCCTAAGCAAGTGGACGCCTTCTGTGGTACGCTCAGAGTGTCTTTTATCCAAGGGAATAAGTTTTGAGACGTCTCAAAACTCACCACCGCGAGAGAACATGACCCCTAAGCAAGTGGACGCCTTCTGTGGTACGTTAAGAGTGTCTTTTATCCAAGGGAACAAGTTTTGAGACGTCTCAAAACTCACCACCGCGAGAGAACATGACCCCTAAGCAAGTGGACGCCTTCTGTGGTACGCTCAGAGTGTCTTTTATCCAAGGGAACAAGTTTTGAGACGTCTCAAAACTCACCACCGCGAGAGAACATGACCCCTAAGCAAGTGGACGCCTTCTGTGGTACGTTAAGAGTGTCTTTTATCCAAGGGAACAAGTTTTGAGACGTCTCAAAACTCACCACCGCGAGAGAACATGACCCCTAAGCAAGTGGACGCCTTCTGTGGTACGCTCAGAGTGTCTTTTATCCAAGGGAATAAGTTTTGAGACGTCTCAAAACTCACCACCGCGAGAGAACATGACCCCTAAGCAAGTGGACGCCTTCTGTGGTACGTTAAGAGTGTCTTTTATCCAAGGGAACAAGTTTTGAGACGTCTCAAAACTCACCACCGCGAGAGAACATGACCCCTAAGCAAGTGGACACCTTCTGTGGTACGTTAAGAGTGTCTTTTATCCAAGGGAACAAGTTTTGAGACGTCTCAAAACTCACCACCGCGAGAGAACATGACCCCTAAGCAAGTGGACGCCTTCTGTGGTACGCTCAGAGTGTCTTTTATCCAAGGGAATAAGTTTTGAGACGTCTCAAAACTCACCACCGCGAGAGAACATGACCCCTAAGCAAGTGGACGCCTTCTGTGGTACGTTAAGAGTGTCTTTTATCCAAGGGAACAAGTTTTGAGACGTCTCAAAACTCACCACCGCGAGAGAACATGACCCCTAAGCAAGTGGACGCCTTCTGTGGTACGCTCAGAGTGTCTTTTATCCAAGGGAACAAGTTTTGAGACGTCTCAAAACTCACCACCGCGAGAGAACATGACCCCTAAGCAAGTGGACGCCTTCTGTGGTACGTTAAGAGTGTCTTTTATCCAAGGGAACAAGTTTTGAGACGTCTCAAAACTCACCACCGCGAGAGAACATGACCCCTAAGCAAGTGGACGCCTTCTGTGGTACGTTAAGAGTGTCTTTTATCCAAGGGAACAAGTTTTGAGACGTCTCAAAACTCACCACCGCGAGAGAACATGACCCCTAAGCAAGTGGACGCCTTCTGTGGTACGTTAAGAGTGTCTTTTGGAACAAGTTTTGAGACGTCTCAAAACTCACCACCGCGAGAGAACATGACCCCTAAGCAAGTGGACACCTTCTGTGGTACGTTAAGAGTGTCTTTTATCCAAGGGAACAAGTTTTGAGACGTCTCAAAACTCACCACCGCGAGAGAACATGACCCCTAAGCAAGTGGACGCCTTCTGTGGTACGCTCAGAGTGTCTTTTATCCAAGGGAATAAGTTTTGAGACGTCTCAAAACTCACCACCGCGAGAGAACATGACCCCTAAGCAAGTGGACGCCTTCTGTGGTACGTTAAGAGTGTCTTTTATCCAAGGGAACAAGTTTTGAGACGTCTCAAAACTCACCACCGCGAGAGAACATGACCCCTAAGCAAGTGGACGCCTTCTGTGGTACGTTAAGAGTGTCTTTTATCCAAGGGAACAAGTTTTGAGACGTCTCAAAACTCACCACCGCGAGAGAACATGACCCCTAAGCAAGTGGACGCCTTCTGTGGTACGCTCAGAGTGTCTTTTATCCAAGGGAATAAGTTTTGAGACGTCTCAAAACTCACCACCGCGAGAGAACATGACCCCTAAGCAAGTGGACGCCTTCTGTGGTACGTTAAGAGTGTCTTTTATCCAAGGGAACAAGTTTTGAGACGTCTCAAAACTCACCACCGCGAGAGAACATGACCCCTAAGCAAGTGGACGCCTTCTGTGGTACGCTCAGAGTGTCTTTTATCCAAGGGAACAAGTTTTGAGACGTCTCAAAACTCACCACCGCGAGAGAACATGACCCCTAAGCAAGTGGACGCCTTCTGTGGTACGTTAAGAGTGTCTTTTATCCAAGGGAACAAGTTTTGAGACGTCTCAAAACTCACCACCGCGAGAGAACATGACCCCTAAGCAAGTGGACGCCTTCTGTGGTACGTTAAGAGTGTCTTTTATCCAAGGGAACAAGTTTTGAGACGTCTCAAAACTCACCACCGCGAGAGAACATGACCCCTAAGCAAGTGGACGCCTTCTGTGGTACGTTAAGAGTGTCTTTTGGAACAAGTTTTGAGACGTCTCAAAACTCACCACCGCGAGAGAACATGACCCCTAAGCAAGTGGACACCTTCTGTGGTACGTTAAGAGTGTCTTTTATCCAAGGGAACAAGTTTTGAGACGTCTCAAAACTCACCACCGCGAGAGAACATGACCCCTAAGCAAGTGGACGCCTTCTGTGGTACGCTCACAAAACCACCCTTGAGACGAGTCTTTCATCCAAGGAAACTCGACTCGTGAACTAATTGGTGGTATGCATGGTGGTGAGAACCATTGCCTTTTACCAGCGCTCTTTTGTGGTGAGAGGTGGATAAACCTGCTAGGATGCGCAGGTTTATCCACCTCTCATCAACCTAACGTACTGCTCTCCCTTCCCCTTCTCTCTTCCTTTTCTGCCCCCCCCCCTGCATGCCAGACTACATATTCCAGACGCTCTCAGTGCCAATGAGTGGACAGCAGTGCAACAGTCCATGACCTTCCCTCACACCTTTCCCTCTTGTGCTGCTGTGCCCCTCTCTCTCCCCACACCCCCCTACCCCTCCCCCGCCAGACTACATATACCAGACGCTCTCAGCGCCCATGAGTGGCGAGCAGTGCATGAAGTTCATGACCTCACACCTTTTCTTGTGCTGTTATTCTCCTCTCTCCCTCCCCCTCTCCCCCTTCCCCCCCTTCAGCGCCCATGAGCTGACGGCAGTGCAACAGCCCCTCACGCCTTTCCCGCTTTTGTTGTTATTACCCTCTCTCTCCCCCTACCCCACCTCCCCTCCGTACAGACTACATATACCAGACGCTCTCAGCGCCCATGAGTGGCGAGCAGTGCATGAAGTTCATCTTCTCCCTCGGGGCCTTTGCTCGCCGCCCGCTCATCGACAGGTGTGTGTGTTTCTGAGAGAGAGAGAGAGAGAGAGAGAGAGAGAGAGAGAGAGAGAGAGAGAGAGAGAGAGAGAGAGAGAGAGAGAGAGAGAGAGAGAGAGAGAGAGAGGGAGACAGTGGGTGTTGCATGACACATGATTTCTTGCATGAGGGTGGGGAGAAGGGGGGGGGGGGTTCTGTGGTGTATGGTGGCTGCGTGCTTGCTGTGCAGCGCATCACTTTTAGTGCTCTGACTGCCGTGCTCTAGGCAACTGTCGCGTGCTTGCCACTACATACATACCTCAGCAACGTTAAACCCCCCTCCCTTACGGCATGACGGTTTGCATGCTTGCTCCCGTGCCCTTGTGTGAATGGATGTGCGTGTGTTTGTGCCCATGTGATGTGAATCGGTTTGTGCCGGTGCAGTGCGGTGCACTGGAAGGCGCCGACAACGTTTATCTATGGGGAGCAGGACATCATGGACCATCGGGCAGGGCTGGCAGCGGCCAAGCAGATGCCCGTACCGGCTGAGGTGTTCAACTTGCAAGAGGTATGTGTGTGCTTGCAGTGCGGTGCGGTGCGGTACATGACGGTGCAGTGCGGTACACTGGGCGCCCACCATCGGGCGGGGCTTGCAGCAGCCAAGCAGATGCCCGTGCCGGCCGAGGTGTTCAACGTGCAAAAGGTACGCATATGTGTGTGCAGTGCAGATAACGGTGCAGTGCGGTGCAGTGGAAGGCGCCCACCACCGGGCAGGGCTGGCAGCCGCCAAGCAGATGCCCGTGCCGGCAGAGGTCTTCAACGTGCAAGAGGTGCACGTGTGTGTGTGTGTGTGCTCGTGGTGCCTTTTATGCTGTGTAGAACCAGGAGAACCAGAATCTGGGACACAGTCACATGAGATCTATGATAAACGGCCTGCGAGAGTTGTGCACTTCAAAAGCACGTCGCATGGCAGCTTCCTCTGTTCAAGTCCTTGGCTACTACTGTAGATGACTCTTGTGATTAAACCTTCCTGCCACTTCTGTCTCTCCTCCGCCATGCCCTTGCACTTATCTCCAGGTTGGCCACATGCTATTTTTAGAAAAGCCTACTATTTTCAGGGATGCTATTCTGTATGCGTGTCGAGACATTCTCCCTGCAAGCTGCTCCACTGTGGATGCGGCATGGAAGCATGTGGAACCCCACCACATCCCCCTCACCACCTGCCATAAGATTCACCTTGACATGACATCAACGGTTCTGATCGCGCCTCAAGGAAACAGTGGTGTGAGAAGACTAGCTAGCGGCTGGGGGATTGGTTGAGATGGAAAGTGATGGCTTGTTCTAACAGGCAGCTTATGTTGCCAGCTGTTGAGCGGTTATGATGTATAATGCGGGTAAATAACATGAGAGCTCAATCCCTTTTTCTCCTGCTTACTCTTCATTAAATGCTGAGAAGGGATGCCATTTCTGTATGAATTCTGTTTTGTTAGAATATGTTTAACCTGTGTGCTATTAATGAAGATAGGGTTTCTTCTACCACTTATTTAGGAGCGGGATGTGTGCTCCGTCTCTCGTGGACGAAATCCACTAAAGCCAGCCACCAGTTTGTGGTCCCAGTTATTTCAGCCACTCGTTCAGCTTCGTTACAAGCACGACCTCGCTTCAACAAGCATGGATTTTCGATAGTAGTACCAAGGTGTGTTTCGCGCTCGTCTGACACGCCCAGATAAACCCTAGGCGATCAGATTCGCGTCCTCAAATTCGGGTTTCCAAGTTTGAACTACCTCGGAGGGGTCTGTTTGTGACTCGCTGTGGTCTGATTCGACCCAAACTTGCCAGTCGTAAGCTCGCGGTTGCTCCTCCCCGTCTCGTCTCTCGAACAGGTGGTCGCAAAGGAGCGTTCAGTTGCCATTCCTCCCATCACCTCCGCTGGCCTCTCATACTCAGCGAGATCGATAGAACTTCCCTCTAGAACCTCGCTCGTTTACGCATCCCCGACCGAATCGGTCTCGTTGTCTTTTCGCTGGTGTGCGGCTGTCGGCCTGATTCTTCTGACTTGCAGTCTTCCACGGTGTTTCGCTAGTCGCTAGGAATGCTATCGCCTTCTTAGTTTGAGGTGGGCCTGATCGGTTGTAAGGAGGGCTGATTGATCAATGCTGCTTCCACCTCAGTTGCGATAGGCCATTCAGATAGGCCGATCAGATAGGCCCTCACGATAATGTGGGAGCGGCCATGGAGGGCAACAGAGACGAAGCCCACTTCTGAGTCGACCTAAAAGTGATCACGAGCCGTTCAAATGGGCCCGTCCGATTGCGAGCCGTTCAGATAGGCCCGTCCGATTGCGAGCCGTTCAGATAGCCGTTCAGATGTGGGATCGGCCATGGAGGGGAACAGAGACGAAGCGCAGAAGGCGAAAGGCCTCGCCGAGACGAAGCTATTGGCTGGCGACGTCGCAGGGGCCCGGCGATTCTGGGAAAAAGCCAGTCGCATGTACGCGTCGCTCGACGGCCTTTCGCAGATGCAGGCAGTCCTCGACGTTCACGAAGCCGTCGCGAAGCGGTTACCTGGTGTCGGTCAAGGCGAGGTGGACTGGTACCTCGTTTTAGACGTTCCCGATTTCTGCGACGACGACGCGTTGATAAAGAAATCGTATCGGAAAAAGGCGTTGCTGCTGCATCCCGATAAGAACAAAGGCGCGGGGGCGGAGACCGCGTTTAAGTACGTCTCAGAAGCCTTCGGTTGCCTGTCCGACAAGGTGAAAAAACAGCAGTTCGATCTAAGAAAGCGAGCCAGAGTAGCCATCGGAGCGCGCGGCGGGCACCACTCCGCCGCCAGCGCAGCAGCCGCCGCCGCCGCCGCCGCGAGTCGGCATCAGACCGCGGCAAATCAGCAGCATGGGGGCAGCGGTCGGGGGCACGGTGCAAAAGGAGGCGCAGCCTCGGGCGCTGCGGCAGCTCCGTTTTACACGCGGTGCCACCATTGCTGCGCGAGCCTGCTGTGTAAGCAGGACTCGCGCGGGCAGATTGTGAAGTGCCTGCTGTGCGAAAAGATGTTCCTAGCTGTCGAAGTCGACCCTCCCAGCAAGGCGAAACCTGCTGCTGCCAGTGGTGCTCCTGCTGGCGGTAAGGGGCGAGCGCAGCAGAAACAGCAGGAGCAGCAGCAGCGGCAGCAGCGGCATCAACAACGGCAGCAGCAGCGACAGCAGCAGCAGCAACAGCAGCAGCAGCAACAACAGCAGCAACAGCAGCAGCAGCAGCAGCAGCAGCAGCAGCAGCAGCAACAGCAGCAGCAACAACAGCAGCAGCAGCAGCAGCAGCGGTGCCACTGCGGCCAGCCCCCCAGCCGCCGCCACCTCAGCCGCAACAACCACCACCGCCGCCACCCCAGCAACAGCAACAGCCGCAGCAGCCGCCGCCGCCGCCGCAGCAGCAGCAGCAGTCGTATCAGCAGGCATGGTGGCAACCGCAGGCGGGCGGGCAGCAGGGTACGGCGGTGCCGCAAATGGAGAGCGAACGCGCGGGTTTCATGAAGAACATGACTGAGAGCGAGCGCGCGAGTTTCATGAAGAATATGCACGCGCAGTTCTGCGCCGCCGGCATGATGGGGCGCGGGGGGCCTGCGGATCGATGGCAGCACCCGGCGCAACCCGCGCACACGGCGCAACCCGCGCACCCGCCCCACGTTTCCAATGGTTTCTCTTCTGCTGCCGCCGCCGCTGCTGCCGCCGCTGCCGCTGCAGCAGCAGGTGGTGCGGGAGGTGGTGGCACAGGAAGCACGGCGGCCGGGATTCCCGCGTTCGGCGTGCCTTCGTTTCCGAAGCCCCCAGTCTCGTTCGGGGGACAGCCGGCGGGTTTGAACCAACAGCAGCAGCAACAACCACAGCAGCAGCCACAGCAGCAGCCACAGCCGCAGCAACCCGGCCAGTCGCAGCAGCAGCAGCAGCAGCAGCAGCAGCAGCAGCAGCAGCAGCAGCAGCAGCAGCAGCAGCAGCAGCAGCAGCAGCAGCAGCAGCAGCAGCAGCAGCAGCAGCAGCAGCAGCAGCAGCAGCAGCAGCAGCAGCAGCAGCAGCAGCAGCAGCAGCAGCAGCAGCAGCAGCAGCAGCAGCAGCAGCAGCAGCAGCAGCAGCAGCAGCAGCAGCAGCAGCAGCAGCAGCAGCAGCAGCAGCAGCAGCAGCAGCAGCAGCAGCAGCAGCAGCAGCTATCCAGGCCCGTTCTCCCAAGCACCATCAAACCCCACACCAGACCACACCGCCTCACACCCTTCCCAACCCTTCGAGCAACCTTCCCACGCGCAGCAGGCGCCCCACATGCAGCAGGCACCCCACGCGCAGCAGGCGCAGGCACAGGGCAGCCTGTTCGAGCGGTTCTGCTCGCCGGGACCCGCCGCGTCGGGGTTCCGCCAGGCGTTTGTGAACGACGTGTGGGACAAGGTGCAACGGGAGCGCATGGACGAGCAGGCGGAGGGGCGGCGGCGGGACCGCGAGAGGAAAGAGGCGGAGGTGGCGGAGCGGAAGCGCGTGGCGAAGGCCGCGAGGGACGCGGAGAGGGAGCGGAAGAAGGCGGCTGCTGCTGAGAAGGCCGCGGCGGTGGCTGCGGCGGCTGTGGCGGCGATGGGGGCGGGCGCGGGGAGGGAGGGCGGAGGCGGGCAAACGAAGGGAATGGCGGGTGAGGCGGTGGGGGGAGAAGGAATGGGCGCGCCTGGTGCAGGGGCGGGCGGGGCGGGAGATGCGGGAGGTGGTGAGGCGGGAGGAGAAGGGCGGAGTACGAGGAAGAGGCAGAGGGGGAGGGAGGGGAAGGAGGATGTGCTACTAGGCGACATGTCTGCTGCCGTGCATGCTGCCATGGCTGCCGCGCGCGCTGCTCTGGGAACGGGCGGGATGAATGGTGTGGAGGAATTAGGAGGGCATGAGGCGGAGGGGGAGATGGGGGGCGCGGGGAGGAGGGCGAAGAGGACCCGTAGGGAGGAGGAGCAGCCGTCGGTTATCAATCTGGATTCAGATGGGCCGGCTGAAATGGAGGTGGATGGGGTAGAGGTAGGCGGGGTGGCAAGCAAAGCAGCGCCGGGGGCAGGAACAACAACGGCAGCAGCAGCAGCAGGGGGAGCAGCAGCAGGGGGGGCAGCAGCAGCAGCGGAGGTCACAGTAGAGGTGGTGGCGGATGCAGCGGCAGGTGTGACAGCGGAGGTAGTATCAGGCCCGAGCGTGGCACCAGCAGCTGTAGCGAGCAGGGGGCGTGCCGCTACAGCTTTCCCTGGTGCAGGTGCTACAGCTTCCACGACTGCTACAGCTGCTACAACTGCCTTCTCTGGGAGAGACCCAAGGGCGGCCGCTCAGTCCCTGCGACAGGCGTCCCTGTTTGAAGTCATGGGGAACACGGCCCATGGGCCAAACCCCATCTCCATCTCTGCCCCTGCTCCTGCTCCTGATCCTACTTCTGTGCATGCTCCTGCACCGGCTGGCGCCGCTGGTAACCGCGGTAATGTTACAGCTGCAGCAGCGGGTCGCAGTGGTCGGGCGAGCGTGCTTGACCCTGCGGCACCGGCAGCAGCTGCGGCTGCTGCTGCTGCGGTGAGAAGCAAGGAGGCGAGTGGAGAGGGCGGGGGGACGACTGCTGCTGCTGCTGCTGCTGCTGCTGCTGCGGCTGCCAGGGGTGCTGCTAATGGTGTGAATGGGTTGGTGGGTGAGAAAGGCGGGCAGAAAGAGGAAGGGAAGTCGGAGGGGGGTGAGAAGGTTGAGGAGGAGGAGGGAATGGAAGTGGCGGATCCGGATTTCTACTGCTTTGACAACGACCGCGAGGAGGAGAGCGTGCAAGAGGGGCAGGTATGTGCAAGAGGGGCAGGTGCGTGCAAGAGGGGCAGGTGCGTGCAAGAGGGGCAGGTACGTGCAAGAGGGGCAGGTGCGTGCAAGAGGGGCAGGTATGTGCAAGAGGGGCAGGTATGTGCAAGAGGGGCAGGTATGTGCAAGAGGGGCAGGTATGTGCAAGAGGGGCAGGTACGTACATGCAAGTGTGGTGGATAATGGGAGTCGATGCGAATGCATGCTCCCCTCCCCGTCTCCCATCCGCACCCCTCCAGCCAGGTGTGGGCGCTCTACGGCAAACGAGACAGTCTCCCTCGTTTCTATGGCCTCGTGCTCCGCCCCTCGTGCTCAAGGCAATGCACCGCCCTGCCCTTGCGAGTAATTTTTTAGAATTCTCAAAAGTCACTCGTTTCTATGGCCTCGTGCTCAAGGCAATGCACCGCCCTTCCCCCTTCCACTCCTCACTGCTCCTCTTCCTCTCCCCCCTCTCCCCCCTTCTTCCCCCCTTCTTCCCCCTTCTTCCCCCCTTCTTCCCCCCTTCTTCCCCCCTTCTTCCCCCCTTCTTCCCCCTTCTTCCCCGCTTCTTCCCCCCTTCTTCCCCCCTTCTTCCCCCCTTGTACGCGCTTGTTCTCAAGGTCTCCCACCCCCGCCCCTCTTCCTGCGCCCACCTTCTCCTGTGCCTTTTCCCCCGCCTCCCTCCTGCACCCCTTCACCAGGTGTGGTCCTGTACGACGATAGAGATGGCCTCCCCCGTTTCTATGCGCTCGTGCTCAAGGTCTCCCACCCCCACCCCACTTCCTCCCCTTCCCCCCCCTCCCTGCTCCTCTCCCCCAGGTGTGGGCTCTATACGACGATCGGGACGGCCTCCCCCGCTTCTATGCGCTCCCCACCCCTTCACATCCCTTCACCGTACGGCGATAGAGATGGCCTTCCCCGCTTCAACGCACTCTTGCTCAAGGTCTCCCACCGCCCCACCCCACTTCCTCCCCTCCCCCAGGTGTGGCCTCTATACGACGATCGGGACGGCCTCCCCCGATTCTACGCGCTCATGCTCAAGGTCTCTCACCGGCCCACCTTCAAGTGCCGCATGCAGTGGCTCACCCCCCTCCCCTTTCTTCCCCCCTTCCTCCACCATCTCTTCACCAGGTATGGGCTCTATATGACGATCGGGACGGCTTGCCGCGTTTCTATGCGCTCATGCTCAAGGTCTCCCACCGGCCCACCTTCAAGTGCCGCATGCAGTGGCTCACGCCCCTCCCCTCTTCCTCCCGCCGCTCCGCCTCCTCCTCCCTCGTCCCTCCATGCGGGTGGTTCCGCTTAGTATCCCGAGGCAAGACAATTGACAACATCAGTGTGTTTGCCTTCCGCTTGCCGGGGGTGAATATTCACCCGAACTTTCCTCTGGCTGTTTTTCCGCAGCCGGGGCAGGTCTGGGCGGTGTTTACTGACCGGGTGCTGCTGCAGCAGCGGCGAAACGGGACAGGTTCGGGGGGAGGTTCGGGGGTAGTTTCGGGGGAGGGGTTGGACAGGTATGATATGGTGCAGGTGGCTCGGGAAGGGGAGGTGAAAGGGGGCGTGGCAGCGGTGGTGGGAGCGGCGGGGTTGATGGGGCTGCCGGAAAGGCCGGAGGATGGGGTGAGAGGGCAGGTGGTGGTATGGCTGCTGCGGCGCATGGAAGGATACACCAGCATTTTCCAGGTACGCCCCTGACCTGCCTCTCACATCTCAGTTTTAAGTCGACTTATAAAACGACTTATTACATGTGGCTGTTGCGGCGCATGGAAGGATACACGAGCATTTTCCAGGTAGGCCCCTTGACTTGCCTCCCACATCTCGGTTGCACATTGGCACCCTCCGTCCCTGCTTCTTCTGCTCTTGCTGCCGTTTTTGTCCGTCTTATAAGCCACGTCTATCCATCCCCATCCCGCATGTCAATCACTTCATATCATTCTGTTGCCTGAAGCACTGACTCGTGTAGAGGGAACCGCATGACAACACATAAAGCTCCTCTTTGTTGCCTGTCATTGTGCCCATGGCAGCGCACGAGCGAGTGCCTGGCAGTGGATGTGACAGTTTTCTCTCACTTCGTCCCCACGTACAAGTGCAAGGGCAACGAGGCCAACTCCAAGGGACTCCCCTCCCCGCCTAAAGGAGCCATGGAGCTTGACCCGGCCGCCATCCCTCCCGTCATCTCACCCATTACCACGTCAAGACTTGCGTGAATTGATTCCTGAGTCGACTAAAAAAGGCAATGAGGCCAATCCCAAGGGACTCCCCTCCCCACCTCGAGGAGCCACGGAGCTTGACCCGTGAATTTTGGGGGCCTGCTTCTCCTGAGGCCTGGTTACTACCACTAACATTTGCATACCGTCTTGTAATTTACGGTACAGCCATCTCTGTGGAAACGTGGGAACACAATCATTGTAAAGGATCTGAGATCTGAAACAAGTGTCTATAACCGAATTAGTGCTCAACCAATGTAGGACTTGCGCAAGTTTCTATCCAAGCGTCTACTATCGATTCCCGCAAGCCCACATCGGGCACCGAGGAAGGAGCACCGCCTTACCAGCCCCCGCCGCGCCGCACCGCGGAGCACCACGGCCAAGTTCGGCATACGATGGAGGCTGGCTCCCATGATCCGCCATTGCGAGTCCAACCTCCTCCATTCGCCATGGGCCTGCCAGGCACGGAGCAATTTCTTCCATGCGAGTGTCCATTCCATTCCGTTCGATACAATCTAGGTCGCTCCCAGTCGCTCCGTCAAGCCAGGAGGCGGTCATGCCGTCATTCCTTAGCAGTCATGGCGGCCATGCTGACACCAGCTGCGCTCGAGCCGCCGTCGAGATGCCTTTCATGAGTCCGTTGAGGCATATGCGAGGCCCTCCAACGCGCCGATTACCAACCATTTCATTATCCTCCGACGCGAGATAGTCTAGAATCTAGATGCGCACCAGGTGGCTCGGTTCCCTCAACCGCCAAGGGAGTTGAAGCATCGGCTTGCCTCAACGCCAGGCGGATGGACTAGATGCGAGCCGATGACTCTCATGCATTCGTCGCAGCATGAGTCGCGGTGGTAGGGGGAAACCACGTGCATTCACTCGATCGCGAACCGCCGATTCTATTGGATTGATGGACACGAGGCTTCGCTCCCCCGTGCTCCACTCGTGCTGGTTTTCCCTTCGAGCCTCAGCTACTGCGCCACGTTCGCCGCGGCACGCGTAGCATGACTCCCACCCCATGCGAGCTGATTCAGCACCGTCGCCGGCTCGCCATATGGAGGCATACGATGATGGGGCCATGCTTAGTCCGCACACTGAGGTGTATTTCAGAAGTATGGCTCAACGTCAGTCATGCTTCTGTCTGTCGTTGAGAGGCGGGAGGAGGCCCGACGCACCATGGCGCGCGCGTTACCGGCGAGCCCTGACATTGTGAGGGAGGGAGAGTCGAATCGACGCGACATGCAGCGGCGGGCTGGCGCGACTCGGACGTCCCATTCGCGGCACTCCAGCGACAACGAATGGCGCCTCGAGCACAGCAGCGACGAGTCGCCGTCGCTCTCTCCCTCCCGCGCTACCGGCAGCTGCCCGTCGCGCTGCCGATTGACTGACTGAAAGACCGACGGACGGACGGACAGATGGACAGAGCGAGTATAAGACGCCTCTCATTCTCCGGAAGCCGCTTCACGGTTGTCCTCGTGTATTCTTCCTTCTTCCCTTCGCTTTGAGCATCTTCTCTCGTCGTCCGTGTTTTCCGCGCGTTCTTGTTCGTAACAACTGCCTTCTCGTACGCGAGTCGCGAACACTATGGGGAAGCTCGCGGTGGTGTTGGCGGCGGTGCTGGCGGCGCTGCTGGTGGGCGCCTTCGCGGAGGAGCAGGAATTCCTCCCCGGGCAGCCCAAGGAGAGTGTTCGGGGAAGCGGAGGGCGCGTGGAAACGTGGAGCGAAGATTTCAAACAGCTGCAGGTGAGAGTAAAGAATTCACCGGAGCTTTCATCACTGCCTGTATTTGTGGAAGCCTGCTCTCCTCCTCTGATTCCTCCTTCCTGCCCTCTCCATGCTGACCTTTCTGCTGACCTCCCTGCTTCGGGTACCACGTCTCACGTCACACCACGCCTCTCCCCTCCCCCTCTGCGTGTCTCACATCTGACCTCCGCCTCTGCCCGCCGCATGTCTACAGGTAGCGGAGGTGGGAGCAGCAATGATCACTGTCGAGAGCCAGTCGCTTGCACTGCCCTCCTACTCCGATTCTGGCCAGGTGAGTGTGCAACGGGCGGTTTTTTTCCACACTGACGGGCGGTTTTTTTTTTTTTCTGGCTGTGGGTTTCTTTTCCGTTCTTCCTGCCCACCGTATTTCTTCCTGCCCGCTGCTCTCTCCTCTGCCATGCTCCGTGTCGCCAGGTGGGCTATGTGTTGAGCGGAGAGGCCATGGCGGGTCTCCTCAGCCCCATGGGTGCTCCTACCACTGTCAGGTACGTTGGCCTGTGTCTTGTCTATAGTGATAGATAGAACCTGCAGTCGTTTGTCGTTGGCCTGTCGTTCGTTGGCCTGTGTCGTTAGTCGTTTGTCGTTAGTCGTTCGTTCGTTGGTGCTCTCTCCCTAAATTCCTCTTTTTCTGTTTCCTCCTTTTTTTCCCCCACTGCAGGCGGCTGAGGGAGGGCGATGCGTTTGTGATTCCGAGGGGGTGGGCGCGCTGGGTGTGGAACAACGGCCAGCAGCCTCTCCGCATCGTCTCTCTTGCCGACACCTCCAAGGGCCCTTGCCCCTGCCGCTACACGCCCTTCCACCTCATGGGCGCGCAGAAGGAGGGCTTCGGAGGCATTCTACACGGCTTTAGGTCAGTGCGCATGGCACAAAATGCGTCAAGGCAGTTTTGACAGTTTTGAGATGCCTTGTGTGACGTAATTTTCCTGCCCGCCAAATTCTAATTTCCAACCCTCCCCCCCCCCCCCCCTCCCCCCCCCCCACACGCCTTTCCTCGCACCCTTCAGCCGCGACCTGATGGCACATTCATGGGACGTGGAGAAGGACGTGCAGCAGCTGCTGGAGGGGCAGAAAGAGACTGCCTTCGTGAAGGTCACCCCTCAGCGGTGAACTGAGCTAGAGCGTTGGTAGGTAAACACTCAACTCTGGCTTCTTCTCTCCGTTCCCTTATCCATTTCAGCAAGGATCTGATGGCACAGGCGTGGGACGTGGAGGAGAAGGACGTGCAGCAGCTGCTGGACGGGCAGAAAGAGACGTCCTTCGTGAAGGTCACCCCTCGGCTGTGCGCGGAGCTGGAGCAGCTGGTGAACTCGCTCGAACAGGCAGAGGTGTTGGATGAGGAGGAGGAGATTGGGGAGGAGACCGAGGCGTACGGGGGGAACGACCAGCCGCACTTTGGCAAGGGAGCTAAGCGCAGTGTGAGCATCTTTGCGGATTTCACCTACAACCTCAAGACCCGCCAGCCGGACATTTATGTGAAGCGCGGCGGCACGGTGACCATGGCCAACGGGTACAAGCTCCCGGCGTTCCGCAAAGTGGGGTTTGCAGTGGCGCGCTTCAGCCTGGAGGGCAACGCCATGACGGCTCCCAGGTGGCTGGCGAATGCTGCTTCGACGCTGTATGTCACCAAGGGCAAGGGGCGTATCGAGATCACGTACCCTGACGGGAGGCAGGCGCTGAGACACGACGTGAAGGAGGGTGACTTCGTGGTCGTTCCTGCCAGCTACCCCCATGCTGCTGTGAGTGGATAGGTTCGCCGCTTAGTTGTGACTTTCCTTCTCCTACAATCGTGAATCTTGTCCTAATTATCCATCCCTTCTCCTCTCGTTTCTATGTGCAGCTGGCCTATGGGGAGGGTCTGGAGTGCATTGCCATGATTCCCAAGAGCCGCCCGCAGGCAGGGTTCCTGGCGGGGGCGAACTCGGTGTTCCGCATGCTGCCTCGCACCATCCAGCGCGCCGCCTTCAACGCCGATGAGCAGCTGCTGGAGAAGCTGCGGGCCACCAGGCAGAGCGAGTTTGGCATCCTGCCGCCCAGGAAGAGCAAGGGAGAGGGGGAGGAGGAGATGCCTGTGCTGATTGAGCAGGTGGTGGGGTTTTGAGTGGCTTGCTGCGTTGTGTGGGTATGAATGGGTTTTACCGTAGGACCACTGCAATGTACATAGTGTGAAGTCTGGTTGGAACCTTACAGATCAAAATGAGTTGGAAATATATGATGCACTAGCGAGTTCGCTGCAAGCGGGTTTGATATGGGATAGAAGATGGATTGCGCTGAACTAGGAGCCGTGTCAGTTCGGCGGAGTGAGCAGGGTTACAAGAGTTTCCACCCAGCAGCGCCGTGAATCCCGAATTCGTTTTGAGGCGAACGCTCTGATAGGCTTCGTACACATCTGAGTCTCGCCGAAATCGTTTAGGCCGAACGATTTAGCCTTCGCGATGCTGCAATAACCGTTCTGGCCGAGGCACACCAACGGACACCTCCCTGCAACACAATTAGTTCCCGTACTAGAACCATCAAGCAATAAGCGACACGCACCGTGCGTGACACAAGCCTAACCGTCTGAAGTGCTGGAAAGCTGTTATTCAGTAGGGCAACCACCATGTCGCGCGCGACTCGACTGCTGCATGTCGTTAGACTCGCAGACAGCCGGTTAACTGCCCCAAGCTCGACTGTGGGCCTGGGGTGTCAAGGAGCTGGAGCATAGCTGACTCCGATCAGTCGATTCGTATGCAGTCTTTTGGTTTAACCGTCGGTCGATCCATTCAGAGCAACTTCGCTGCCGCGCGGGCTTCCCCGCCCGTGCCCGTGTAGACTCCAGGGTTGTTGCGACTCGGATCGGGCCACCGATTGTTCTCTCTGCATCCCGACTGCACATCCTGTCGGCGAGAGTTGCTGGAGCGCTTATCGAAACGGGTCGGCAACCATTGGCATTTCGCACACGTGTCCCCACGTGTTCCGCGTGTCCCACATGTCTGTGTCGGCGAGATCTGGAGCCTCGCATCTGCTGGAGTTCCCCCTGCCGACCGACCATTGACATCATGTCGCTCTCCGTGTCTCACGGCAGCTTGCAATGCGCTGCAGCGGCGAGGCGAAGCAGACACCTCGACGGGGAATGTCAAGCGGGTGTGCGAGGAGAGAAACAGGTTGGGAGTGGCGATGTGAGGGGAGCAAATCTTGTAGGCAGCATGGCAATCGACAATGACCTTTGCCGTGCCGTCCTGACTGCTCATCTCCTCCATTACGGCTGCAGTGATGATTCCTCAGCAGCAGCTGCAGCTGCAGCAGCAGGAAGGGTGATTCCTCCTTCATGCCAGAGGAGACGAACCCGCCCTTAGCATCATCCACGCACCGCAGTTCGCGGTTTACCGTCACCTATAAAGCCGCCATAATGGCTACCCTGAAGTCATCAGCTCGCTCACTGCTCCCTCTGAGTCTCTCTCTAACCAATTCACTCTCCTCGCCAAGCCCCTCAGGCTTCTCACTTCTTTCCTATAATTTCCGCGCCTGTTATCGTCTTTCCTCATGGCGACGGCTGGCATGCGCGTGCTGGTGCTGGCAGCGCTGGCGGTGGGGCTGCTGGCGGCGGCGGTGAGTGGAGCGCGGGACGCCATGAAGATAGCGAGGGCGCTGGTCCCAGGGGGGCAGGCGCATTCTCGCGGCTGAGACCTTCGCTCACGACGCCCCTCTGCCCGGCTACCTCGACCACATCCCCCGCCGCCAGGCCCTCGCCACCAGTACGCAACACTGCTCCCTCCTGCCCTTCCTTTACAGCTCCCCTTGCATCTCATTTCTGCCCTGCCCTGCCCTTTGGCTTGGCTCCATCACTCTGCTCCCCTTGCGTCTCATTTCTCCACTCCGCGTGGCTCTCGTTTCCATTCTCCCCTTGGCTCTCACTCCTCTGCTCTTCGTGACTCTCATTTCTCCACTCCCCATGGCTCTCGCTTCCATGCTCACCCTGGCTTTCATTTCTCTGTCCCCAGTGCCCCTTTTTTCTCGTAAAATACAGCATGGCGGTGCGTAATGCTGTCCTCAATTCTTACATTGTTCCTTTTACCTTTCTCTACCCATAACCTCTTGCCTACTCCCCAGCGTGCGGGCGCACGATGGTGACGATCCGGTCGCAGTACCTGGGGCCGTACAACCTACACAGTTTGACACCACTCGTCCCTTCTTCGTTTTCCCCCTCTTCTCCCCCCTCCCTCCTTCCCAGCCTGCGGGCGCACGACGGTGACGATCCGGTCGCAGTACCTGGGGCCGTACGACCTGCACAACAACATCTACAACATGACCTATTACAACGGCTGCGCCTACAACGTCACCAGCCCGCTGCGCGTGTACCAGTGCGCCAACTTCGGCAACGTGTGGGAGGGCAGCCTCGACAACCCCGCGCCCAACCCCACGCAGTACCAGACAGGCGACATCTTTGTGCAGTCGTCGACGGGGTACTGTGAGGTGCACATGAACCGCGGTGCTGACGGCACTGTGCAGATGTTCCCCAAGGAGACGGTCAACATTCTGTATGCGTGGACCAGTGACTGGCGCCCCTGCGCGTCGGAGCTGCGCTTCAGCAACGGCAACAGCTACTCCATGGCCGACGTCTCCGAGTGCCAGGCTGCTGCTGCCATTTAGACCTATCGTGCGACTCACGTGGCTCTGTCTGAAAAACTTGAGATGACAAGCACATGAGGGATGTGACTTGTGGTGCAGCAAAATGTGTCAGGGATGTGGTGGAGGGCGGAGATGGGGGATAGGTAATAATGAAATGTGTATTACTGGAAAATGTTAATGAAGAATTTGGTGAATTCTGCCTTCATGACTATTCCAACACGGATGCGGTTACGACCATTCTTCGCTTGCAACGCCAGTTCTCTTCGCCAGTCGCCGCTCGTCCCGCGCCAACCCAGCCGAACCAGTTTCCCCGAGTGGGGTCAGCCAGCCAAATGACGCTTTCCTCTAGTTTTTTCACCTCGTCACTTGTGCTGCTTACGAGATCCGCCATGGTTTGCAGTCAGTATACCAGCTCTTTAGCGTGTGGGAACTTAGCGAATGTGGCTGATTCTTGTAGCGTGCTCGCATTGACTAAAATCGGCGCTTTTTTTCTCTCCGAGAATTTCCTCGATGGGCTCGCCGCTTCGAGCCTTGCTTCGTCCGCACATTCAATATCCTCTATTTCTCATGTTCCTCCTTCTCACCCGCGCTCCCAGTGCTCCTGAAGGCCGAAAACTCATAGAATTTAGCAGACGACGAATCTCGTTAAGCGGTTTAACTTATAACGAGGATGTCGCCGCGTCAGGCGTCGCCAGCGCGACAACCGGGGACAGCGTTCTCGACGCGGTAGTCGACGCGACAGGATGTCGCGCTCGTGGCGTTCGATCCGCTCTTGGCGGAGGTGGAGCAGCAGCGCGACGACCAGCGTCCTCACAGGCACCCCTGCTCTCAGATATTAAATATATTTTTTTTGTGAATTTTTGTTTTTTTTTACTCTCCTCTGCTTCATTCTCTCCGCTCTGATGCTGGCTCGCTGGATCATCCAAAGACTTTCTCTGTTGCGTGGACTCCTCTTCCTCTCGCTGTGCCTTGTGCTCTCTCACCATGCCTTGTGCGCGTTCATCAGGCTTATTATGTGTTGAAGGGCGAGGCTATGTCGGGCCTCATCAGCCCCATGGGAACACCGTTGCTGAAGAGGTATTTTTCCGTACCGTCAGGAAACATTTCACCTCACCACCATTACATGTAAGAATGCAAGTTAATATTTGGACCCACAAAACTATCTGAAACTGGCGCAAAAAAAACTGGTACTCGGCCAGGGCTGTCCCATCTGTTTTCTGTTGCACTTCATTTGATGCAAAGACAACAGCCACGGTCCATACCGTTCATAACGTGTATGTTGATTCGGGTTGGGAGTGCCTTTATGAGACATTTTCGTTCTTAAAATACGCACCTGTCTTGTTGGGTGTCAGAGCTGGAACTAGAAGCGAGGATTCTTAATTGTTGAATGATTGATAGTGGGGCAATACACTAGCATTTGAAGTAGTTGTGACACTTTAGGACAGGCCTTGTGTATTGGTACGTAATGCGTGTTTTTATAACGAATCGTAACAATATTGTCAGGCGAGCCAGGTTACAGAGATTTCCGATTCAGCAGCATGGCGAAACTAGGAAACAGCTGGCGACAAGTTTCTTGACAATCCCCAGAACCATTTGGCCTTCGCCAAAACTCGTTCGTGCAAACTGATGCGAGAATAACTGTTTGCTAGAGGCACACCAACAGACACCACCCTCTGAGAGAACCAGCTTGCCGCATTTTCTAAAATTCCTACCGATTACTTGCAAGTAGAACCATGAGGCGACAAAGCGACATCCTCACAGCTCCGACCAGACAGCAGCCTAACCGTCTGAAGTGCTGAAAAGCCGTTGTTCAGTAGGGCAACCACGATGTCTCTCGCGATTCGTCTGCCGCATGTCGTTAGACTCGCAGATAGCCGGTTAACTGTCTGTCGACCGAGCGACTGGATGGTCAGAGGAGCATGAACGACTTGGGATCGTGGCTGATCCGATCAGGCGAATCGCATAGAGTCGTTTGGTTTAACTGTCGATCGATCCATTCTGCGCAAACGTCGCTGCCGCACGGACTTCCACGCTGTGTCTCTGTCGACTCTAGGGTTGTTGCGACTCGAATCGAGCCGCTGATCGTCTCTCTGCACTGCATCCCGACTGCACATCCTGTCGGCGAGATCTGCATCCTCCCGGCAGAGCCGCTGGAGCGCTTATCAGGACGGCTTGGCGACCGTTGGCGTTTAGCACACATGTCCCCACGTGTCCCACGTGTTCCACGTGTCGGCGAAACTGCAGCCTCGCAGATCTGCGGGAGCTCTCCCTGCCGACCGACCTTTGGCATGTCGCCCTCCTCTCCGTGTCTCACGGCCGCTTGTAATGCGCTGCAGCGGCCACGGGATGCGGTCATTCGGAATTTCAAGCAGGTATGGGGGGAGAGAAAAAGCAGGTGGCAGTGGGGATGTGAGAGGAGCAATTCTGCAGGCAGCATGGCAATCGACAGTGACCTTTGCCGTGCCGTCCTGACTGCTCATCTCCTCTCCATTGCCGCTACAGTGATGGCTCCCCAGCAGCAGCAGCAAGAAAGGTGATTCCTCCTCCGTGCCAGAGGAGAGGAACCCGCCCTTAGCATCATCCACGCACCGCATTTCACGATCTACCGTGACCTATAAAGCGGCCATAATGACTACCATGAACTCATCAGCTCGCTCACTGCTCCCTCTGAGCCTCTCTCTAACAGATTCACTCTCCTCTCCAACCCCCACACGCTTCTCGCTTCTTTCCTCTAGGCTCCGCGCCTCTAATCGTCTTTGCTCATGGCAATGGCTGGCATGCGCGTGCTGGTGCTGGCAGCGCTGGCGGTGGGGCTGCTGGCGGCGGCGGTGAGTGGAGCGCGGGACGCCATGAAGATAGCGAGGGCGCTGGTCCCAGGGGGGGGGCAGGCGCATTCTCGCGGCTGAGACCTTCGCTCACGACGCCCCTCTGCCCGGCTACCTCGACCACATCCCCCGCCGCCAGGCCCTCGCCACCAGTACGCAACACTGCTCCCTCCTGCCCTTCCTTTACAGCTCCCCTTGCATCTCATTTCTGCCCTGCCCTGCCCTTTGGCTTGGCTCCATCACTCTGCTCCCCTTGCGTCTCATTTCTCCACTCCCCGTGGCTCTCGTTTCCATTCTCCCCTTGGCTCTCACTCCTCTGCTCTTCGTGACTCTCATTTCTCCACTCCCCATGGCTCTCGCTTCCATGCTCACCCTGGCTTTCATTTCTCTGTCCCCAGTGCCCCTTTTTTCTCGTAAATTACAGCATGGCGGTGCGTAATGCTGTCCTCAATTCTTACATTGTTCCTTTTACCTTTCTCTACCCATAACCTCTTGCCTACTCCCCAGCGTGCGGGCGCACGATGGTGACGATCCGGTCGCAGTACCTGGGGCCGTACAACCTACACAGTTTGACACCACTCGTCCCTTCTTCTTTTTCCCCCTCTTCTCCCCCCTCCCTCCTTCCCAGCCTGCGGGCGCACGACGGTGACGATCCGGTCGCAGTACCTGGGGCCGTACGACCTGCACAACAACATCTACAACATGACCTATTACAATGGCTGCGCCTACAACGTCACCAGCCCGCTGCGCGTGTACCAGTGCGCCAACTTCGGCAACGTGTGGGAGGGCAGCCTCGACAACCCCGCGCCCAACCCCACGCAGTACCAGACAGGCGACATCTTTGTGCAGTCGTCGACGGGGTACTGTGAGGTGCACATGAACCGCGGTGCTGACGGCACTGTGCAGATGTTCCCCGGGGAGACGGTCAACATCCTGTATGCTTGGACCAGTGACTGGCGCCCCTGCGCGTCGGAGCTGCGCTTCAGCAACGGCAACAGCTACTCCATGGCCGACGTCTCCGAGTGCCAGGCTGCTGCTGCCATTTAGACCTATCGTGCGACTCATGTGGCTCTATTTGAAAAACATGAGATTACAAGCACATGAGGGATGTGACTTGTGGTGCAGAAAAATGTGTAGGGATGTGGCGGAGGGCGGAGGAAATTGGGGATGGTTGGTAATAATTTGTGAAAAGTGTTACGGTGCTGGAAAATGTTAATGAATATTCCAATACTGATGTGGTTACACTCCGCTTTACCGAAGTCCAAACCACCACTAACGATTTTTCGAAACATGGAGGCGATGCGGGCGAAAGCAGCACAACTGTTCGAACACACTTCGTTCGCAACGCGACTGCCCCAAGCTTCGCCAGTCGCCGCTCCTCCCCTGCCATCCCAGCTGAGCCAGTTTCCTCGAGTGGCCACCTTGGAGCGCACGTACGTCACCCCACAGGCTCGAGTGGACCCTCGTGCGGTGGCTCGGTATAGGTTAGCAACCCGCTGTACAGACTGACCTAAAACAAATACGGTATGTGAGCTATTCGGAGAAGGACGTAATGAATTTTATATACGTTTGGTAATGGATTAATTTGGAGTGTTTCTAGTAATGTGAACCTGCAACTAAACTGCACTGTAAGAATACAAGAAATACCGTTGCAACAGTGTAGCCTTTTCAAAACTTGCTAAGGTCAATGCCAGCCTCCTTGGCCATCTTATCGAGCCCCTTCCACTCAAGTGTCTTAATCGCCTTGGTGCTCAGCTTGAGGCGCACGTACCGCTGCCCCTCCTCCCACCACACGCGCTTGTACTGCAGGTTCGGCTGCTGCACCTTCTTGGTGCGGTGGTTTGAGAAGGAAACTGAGTACCCATTGTTGCGCCTCTTGCCCGTCAGGTCGCACACTCGTTCTGAGGAGTTGAAAGGGAAATGGATGGTGGGGAAGGCAAGAGAAGGGGGAGGATGGTTAGAGCAGGACACTGAGTAACCGATGCTGATTGCATCTTCTTGGTGCGGTGGTTTGAGAAGGAGACTGAGTACCCATTGTTGCGCCTCTTGCCTGTCAAGTCGCACACTTGCTCTGATGGTTGGGTGGGATGGTGGGAAGGCAAGAGAGGGGGAAGGATGGTTAGAGAAGGACACTGAGTAACCGCTGCTGCACCTTCTTGGTGTGGTGGTTTGAGAAAGACACTGAGTACCCGTTATTGCGCTTCTTTCCCGTCAGGTCACACACTCGCTCTTGGAAGTCGGAAGGAAAAGGGATGGAGGGGCGCAAGGAAGGGGGAATGAAAGGAAGGAAAAGAGGGAGGGGGGAAGACGGTTGGAGAAGGAGACTGAATAGCTGTTGTTACGCCTCCTGCCTGTCAGATCGCACACTCGCTCTGACAAGTGGCAGGGGATGTGGGAGCGGAAAGAGGGAAGAGGGAGAGAATGAGACAGAGGGAAAGGGGAAAATGGTTGGAGAAGGGAGTCAAGTCCCTGTCGTTGAGCCCGTTGCCTGTGAGGTTAAACACTCGCTGCGGGGGGAAGTGAGGCGCGAAATGGCAAGGTGGGGGAGAAAACAGGAGAGTGTGTGGGAGGGGGACGGTTGAGGAAAAGGTAAGTGAAACGGGAGGTAAGGGTGGATGGAGCGCGTAGCAGCCATTGACTCGCCTCCAGCCTGTAAGATTGCACTCTCGTTGTGAAACGGGAAGGGGAGAGGGAGAGGGAGGTTGGAGCGTTGGGCTCACGAAGGGAACAGCGGGGGGAATACAAAGAAGAGGAGGGAGGCGGGAAGAAAGGGGGCCGAGTCAGGGTGGGTGGGAGGTCGGATGAACAGAGGGGAACGGGAGGTGGTAAGGGGGAACGGAAGAAAATCGACGGTGGGGAAAGGGAAGTGGTGGGAGCGAGGTGGCTACGCGGAAGATATGCGAAGACGACAACAACGCAATTGGAGAGAGCGTGAGGAGACGACGGCAGTCAGACGGCTGCTGCCACGCCAACTGAATTCACCCTTTCCAATTCCTCAAACCCTCTCACTCTTTCATCTCACTCTCACTCCCTCATCTCCTAACACTATCATCTCCTCCCACTCCCTCATTTCCACCCACCCTCTCAAATTGCCCCACCCCTTCATCTCCTTTCACCCCCCTTTGATTCCCTCCCTCGAGTTTTCTCCGTCTCGTGGCCAGGCCTGCCTTCCCTCCCTCGTCTGCACCGTCCCCCTCGTCTCCTGGTAGTCTGCTCCACTCCCTCCTTCCCTTTCGGTTGTTCCCCCCTCCTCGTCGTCTGCTCCACTTCCTCCTTCCCTTTCGGTTGTTCCCTCCTCCTCCCCATTTCTTCCCATCGCTCTCACGTTTCCCACTCTCATTCTCCACGTCTCACACGAAACTTCCTCTCACTTTCCTACTGCATCCTCCTCTATTCCTTGGTCTGTTGTTACCCCCATCCTCGCCTTTCAAAGAACAGAGGCCGTGACAATGAGCACTTTCATTGGTGGCTTGCACGTGCGCTTCACTGTACGTGCGCGTATGAATGAAGGCTTCCGTTTTTTCCACTTTTACAATGCGGCTAGCACGTGCGCCTTCACGACGAACGAACGGAAGTAACTCAGTGTCGGGTCGATATAAACGAGCTCAGCTGTCGGTACAGAACGTAAAGGACGCGTTTCAATAGGCTGATACCCGATACAGGGTTGTCCATTGCTGACTCGAGCAGAGCAATAAGTGTCAGCACTGCGTAGTAACGGTCGTTTTACTTAGATACCTGTTGAAGAGGCGGAAACCGGCTGCATAACCAGCCAGCAGAACCATGTGCTAAACCCGAGAGTAAACCCACGCCTGGTTCTCCTACGACTACGACTGAAAACGCGACTTACTTGCGACTGGCGTGACGACGCGGCTAACGGCAGGTTGTGCGGACGAACGAGAAAGCGACATATTCGCGAGGCCTTGCGAAAGTCCCGCGAGCTCGCTCTGCGCGGAGCTGAGGCGCGCCTGGGTCTTCCCTGCAAGCGGCGCTGCCGCGAGGCGAAGAGACGCGAAGGATGCGAGAGCCGCCATCGGTATTACAGTCTCACGTGGCCTAACGTGGCAGATTAACTACCTTCAAGCGGCTGAATGAGACCGAAGAGGGGAGACGCTCAAATGAGGGTGGTACTAAAATAAAGTGGTCCTTTTCACCAGAATCGACAGGTGCAGTCAAATTTTCCCAAGTTACTTGGGCTTTCACGTGATGCGACGAAGTTGTGGGAGGCGGGGGGAGCTGAAAGCAGGGGGGGCTGGGGAAATCTGGTGGTGTTCGCGGGACAACGGGGATCATGGAAAATAATAGCGGGAGAAGGCGGTGTGAGCTTCGGTGGGAAGGGGTTCATCAGTTTAGGGAAACCTTTAGTGCGGAAGGCGAGGGTGCGAACTAAGTTAGGCGCACGTGACATGTGGTTTTGCGACAGGCCAGGGGGAAGGCAATTGTGGCGCGAAATGCGGTGACGTGGAGGTGATGGTGATGTGGCGGGTTTCGGAACCAGTACAGCTCGAGGCGTATTATCCAGAATTCAAACAAATCCCTGAGCTGGCTTTATTATTGTACCAGTACATTGTAAGGTGAGAAAACATAATTTACATCCTAGTGATAGAGCTATGTTGAAACTAGGACATTAGGTTAAGGAGCCTTGGCAGATGCCTCTTTCTCCAACCGCTCAACTCGGTCAGCCTCAACACACAAGTCTTGAAAGATTGCTCTCATGCTAGTTGACATGATGCCATACACATAGGGCACTGCAAGAATCAATTCATGGAATGATGAATTTAGAATGCAAACAGAAACTGATACTGATTGCAGAGTGCGCATGCACAAGAATGATTTGTATTTTGTGCAATGCAACATGAATGAACACTCACAAAGTGGTCGAGGGGGGACCATTGCAGGCTGAGACAGCTGCCACATCTCAATCAGAGATCCGCCTGGCGAAATACCACTTGCTGCTCCTTCAGCAGCCCCAGGAGGTGCTTCTGCTTCAGCTGCGGAGGCAGCTGCAACTGGGAGTGCTGCAGCCAGCGATTTAAAGAAACTGACCTTCAGGGCTACCTTGGACGGTGGGGTGGACGGAGATGCAAGGGGCAGCGGCTTGGGAGGGCTCAGCTCGTGAATAGTCCAGCCTCCTTTGAACGCCTTCATAAAGCCAGGCTCAGCTCTGATAAGAGCAAGCATAACGAAAATAAGGGATGTGATTCGATATAGGGGGACACCATACGGTGAGAGGAGAGTACAGGGACATCAGGGCGGCATGTGAAGAGGAAATAACAAGAGGAGAAAGAGGGGGAGAGAGCGGGAGAGAGAGCGAGAGGGGGGGGGGGATAGTGAGAGTAGAGAGAGCAGGGTGAAGGAATTCGTACAGCTTGAAGTTGACTGATCTGGTAGCATCGTCCCGCTGGCAGATGAGTGTGGTGGCGAATGTGCCGGAAAGAAACAGGAACCGCCACTTGATGTGCTGTGTGACTCTAAAGGTGCCAGGCTCTTCCAGTGGGTCCACGTCACAGTGGGCGATGTTCTTATATACACGTGGAGCGTCCTCGAAGTTTCTGAGAAGGTTGTAGACGAGCGCGGGGGAGTAGCGTGTGCGCATGGAGCCGAGGTTCTCAAACTCCTCGGGATTGTCGGGCTGCGCAAGGGAGCGGGAAGGGAGGTAGGGAGAAAACCAAGAGTGGAGATTATCTGTAGGAAACTGAATTCCATGGAAGTGACGGAAATAAAGTGCTGGCTTTCCCCCCTTACCCCCCTTCCCCGCCCCCCTCCTCCTCCCCTCCCCTTTATACCGCAATGATAGCCAAGCATCAATCACCATTTGCCTGACTGAGATGGTCATGGGTGCGAGCAGGCCTGGAGTCTTCGCCACCTCCAGTTCGTCCTTCTCCTCTTGCGTTAACGGAGTTACCCTGAAACGGGTACAATAGAGCCAGAGGGTAGGGGTAGATAGGACGGGAAAAGATGATGAAGGGGGCAGAACATGGGAAACGTCAGAGGAAAGCCATTGGCGCCGGTCCCCACTTTAGAGGAGGAAACGAAGGCTTTTGATTAGCTGCAATGGTAAATGATGCACGCACCTAGTGGCCCATTTTGGTTTGTATTGGGAATGATGGTGATGGACATGATGACCATGTGTATGATGGGTTTGACCAGCGTGACCACGTTCCTTCGCCGCTTCGAAACCCTTCGACCTCGCAGTTTTTTCTTTTGCCACTGCTGCTGCAGTCGGAGTGCCGCTGGGTGATTTTTCGTGGCGACCTCGGGTGGGAGCTCGCCTGGAGCGACGGTTGCTGTCAAACTCGCGAATCGTCGCAGCCTTCAGCATTTTCGCGCGTTTGGACTAATGTCGCCAAAACAGCCGGAAAGACCTTTCAGGTTTCACATTCAAGCGAGTGACAGGCACAGTGTGAGCTGTGCGCTCCCTGCAAACCAATTGGCTATGGCTACCCGCTTAGTGGGATGGGAAATGGAATAGGAGGGGAAGGACGTGGTTGCTATGGCCGCGTTCTGCAGCCTTCTCCCTTGGGAGGGAGGTGGGGGGGCGAAGGGAAATGACGAGGGTTCCGAGGCAGTTTCTCCTTCGAATCCCCCCCCCCCCCCCCGCTACAACCAAAAGTTGGAAATTTCGGGTTTCGGGTGCGAAGCTGCTGAAGGTAAATGCCGAAAAAAACAGCTACAATTTCCTACGCACAGAAGTTGGGTAGAGAGAACTGGGCGAACACAGAAAAAGGGTTGAAGTCTACCAAAGGGCTACCACATCGAAAAACAAAAGCACCCAAGCTCTCCCTCCAGCAAACCCTATACTTCTCGGTTGGAGGAGGTTGATGGCTTCTGTTTTTTTAACCTCGGTTGACGCGTCCCTGGCAGGGCTACTGAAGGGAGGGGTTGTTTGCTAAGAAGGGTTGAACCGTGGTGTTCCCTACCCAGCGCCTCCCTCCCCCCTCCGTCCCACAACCAGGGCAGGAGCAGTTTTCGAAAGGGGGGAAGAAGGGGGCAAATTTTGCCAGAGAAGGAAGCTGCGGAGGGGAAATAGGCAGCTTCCTACGCCCTCATATCTTCCCTCGAGGGTAAATGGTTGTTCTGTTGCCATTTACCTTCGGAGGGTAAAAGGAGGCTCGGATCCATTTTCCGGGCTGACCGGGCGTTTGATCCAAAAAACGCAGTTGGGGGAAGGTTCCTATTTACCGCCTCCCCCCCCTCTGTCGTGCCTGCAGAACGCAGCCTATGTATGTGCCCATGTGCCATCATGCCGACCAGGTGGGACTGAGACGGCTGTGAGTGGGCCTCTAACGGGTGGACTGTGTTTCATCCCCACCAGGGAAATAAAGAACGACGGGGATTGGAAGAGAATGTTCTTTTACCGGATAGGTGGACCCCGCTTTTGCGAGCAATATTGGAGGGTGTACAGAGCGTGCCGTGTACCCAATTCTTTTATTCAACTCACACGATTATAACCACAGCCACATGTCCTGCCATTCTCTTGAATTTTTTTTTTTTTACTTTAAAATATTACAATGTAGCATAATTACGCAAGGAAAAGGAGTGGAAACGGGAAGAGAGGAGAAAAGGAGGAATAACGTGAGTAGAAAAAAGGAGAGAGGAAGAAAGAAGGAGGGGAATAGGGGAAAAATGATAGGAGGAAGAAAAACAGGGAAGAAGGAAGAAAAAGCAGCACACACAACCCCAAGAAAACCCCAATAGCACACACATTTAAAACACCATCAAGCCCTCCCATCAAAGCACCCCAACTGCACTCCCATCGAACCAAACCTCCCCCCCTAAACCCACTCCCTAAACCCGCATGTCTACCAAGTATGGTGCATCCGCCCACGGAGCATCCCATCCCATCTCCTCCTCAACATCCTCCCGCTCCACCCAAACAGCCTCTGGGCCTCTCATCATCGACGCAGCGCGTAACAAGATCACACGCGCCTGAGCCCGTTGCAAAGCCACACCCACAGCCGCTTTGAGCGATCCGAGCAAATAAGCCGAGAAACCCTTTCCCGTAGCTCGCGCCGCCCCTTTCGTCTTTGCTATCTCGATCTGCGCGTCACCCTGCTTCTTAAGCCACCGTCCAAAACTCCCCCCCAAGCATCCCCATGTCTCAGCAATGAGTGGTGTGAACTGCACTCCCCCATGCCGCTGTAGAAGCGATTTGTAGTCCGCCGTCTTCCGCTTTTCTCTCTCTCTCGCGGCAAAACCCACCTTGCGACCAATCTGTCCATGGTGCTGCGCGGATAGCGAGATAGGATCTACCACACTAACCTCCAGCGCGTGCTCCTCCCCCTCCCTCAGTTTCCGAACCGCCACATCAACCCTCTTCCCTGGGAGCAACGTGTCGTCTTCCATGGTCACAATCCCACCCGCACCCTTAGCTATCTTCGCCACCACAAATTTAACCGCATCGTGAACCCGAGAAGGTGCATACTGATACTTGCAGCGAAGGGCATGATGCGGGTCAGAGGGATCAGCAAACTCAAACCCACACGCGCACTTGCCGGCCACTATCAGCTGCTGAATAGGGAGGCCTAGGCGCATGGACGCGCAGATGCTCCACTCGGCTGCGGTGAAGGTAGCCTCCTCGTGCGAAGGAACGGCAGAAACCCACGCACAAGCCCCCGGGCCCTGAAGGGATGTCAAACGGGCCAGGGTGGCATCGTTGTGGGCCATGCCTCGAAGAGATTGGAGGCTCTCAACCGCCAGGCGACGGTGTTGTGTGGGGAAGAGCAGCATAGGCGGATCAGCGGTGCACAAGGCAAGGGGTGGCATCTCCTGCCGAACCGACTGTGGAAGCAGATCCACTGCTCTCGCAAACCAGGGGTCCAACAAGGTCGTAGCCTCGGGCGTGCGGAAAAACTCCTCAAACATCCGCTCCTCACCTGCCACCCCCAACCGAGCCACATCGCTCACTGCTTGGCACCAGCCACATGCATACGACAGAGGACTAAGGTCAGCCGCAGATCGAATGCCGAACCCCCCGAGTCTGGCAGGAAGGTGCAGCTGTAAACGAGCCATCTGGGACTTCCCCGAATCGTGATCCCAGGTACTATCTGGAAACAGCTCCTCGAAACAATCTTCCAGCTTCGTGTCCCAGTCCCGAAAAGCCTCCACAACCTCAGGTCGTGGAGGCATCGTCCGTGTGAGGTAGATCGGGCGCGCCGACACTGCGATCGCCAACAAATGGGACGCAATCTGTGGGTGGTCAAGCAGAGGAAGCCAGGGGACAGGTGCATGCAGCTCCGTCAGCCGGCGACGCAGGCTAGCCACCTCCCAGTCCTCCTCCCCAATGGGCACCCCTACCACAGTGAGCCCCGTCCATGTCTGCTGCATGCCGGGCGGGACAGTCTCATTTCTCTCCTCCCCATCCTGGTCCCTCCCTCGCTCCCATAGCTTACACTTATGCGGCTGCACCTCCAAACCCAGCCCGTCCAGTCGTTCCCGCAAGGCCTCATAGGCTGCTAGAACCCGTTCCCTAGGCCCCAGGATATACGTATCGTCAGCATAGCTGAGGAAGAGTAAGTCGGCGTACTCCGTTTTGGTTGGTTCCATAACCAGCTGCTGTGTGAACGCGAACAGAAACGGACCCAATGGATCCCCTTGCCTCGAGCCCCGCTCGGAAGCCAAAGCTTCGACAAAAGGGCCCGCTCGGAGATAGAGGTCGCTAGGAGTGCCGTAGAAGACACGCAGAAATGGAATCAATCCCTTGAAAGGCGACTGTCGAAGACCCTCAAACATTTCCCGCCGATGGAAGGAGTTGAAAGCGTTCGCCACGTCAATTTGCAGCGCGCACCACGACGGGTGAGTAGAGATGGCGGAGCGAAAGGCATGTGCGAGGACTTCCACTCCCGACCTGGACCCGACTCCAAACTGGTTACACGGAGCAAAGTGCGACATCATCTTCGGGCGAAGCACGATGCATATGGCCCGAGATAGTATGCGGGGGAGCACCTCGCCTATAGCCACCGGGCGAACGTCACCATTCGGCTTCGACAGGCCCACCAAGTTGGACGCAGTGAGCCAGGGTCGCACGCGCTCCGCTACCTCTCCCTTGGTCCACTGGGTGAAGACCTCTAGCAGGTGGGACAGATACGCGGGCTCAGAGAGAAAAGTGTCGCGCAGGTGCTCCGTCACCCACCCCGACGGTCCTGGTGCGGACGCCCTAGCCGCTGAGTGGATCGCCTGGCCGAGTACCTCCACTGAGAGCTGTGGGATAAGGGAAGGCTCGACTGTCTCCTCCTGCACCCACCCAGGAATGGCGGACTCGCACGATGGGTGTTTCGCTCGTAGCGCGTCCACCATGTGCTGAGAGGGCTGAGCGATGCTACCAGCCGTAAGGCACGCCAAACCCCGACTCCATTCTCCCACTTTGCACCTTGTACGGCAGCGGGATAGGCGCACGGCATCAGGATCATGCTCGGGTGGGGTGAAGGACAAGGGGCGAGCCGCAGGTTGCATCGCCGCCACCGCCAACTCAAACAGCTGCTGCCACTCCCCAGCCCAAAACTTCTCCAACCGCTCCCTAATTGCCGCCCTCTGCCCCTGGCCTTGCCCGGTTGGAATCCCCAAGAAAAGACGAGGGAAGGCCAAAAACACCAAGGATGCCGCCTCGTCTGCTGCCTTTGACTTGAGCCGCTTCAGGATACAAGCTAGTGCATCAAGCACCCCCAGTCTTGCGCGCTGTGGGATGCGACGCATGATTCTCCCTGGCACCAATTCGATCCCGAAAAACGACTCCCAGTCCCATGTGGGAACTGCGGCCCACACCTCTTCACTGATATCCCGTGGTGGCGGAGGTTCGCTGTCCGAGTCGTCTGTGACGTCGCGGGTCAACCCAAGCGCCTGTGCACGGCGCTTGGCGTCCGCTGCCCTGCAGGCCGACATATGACGCGTGGCCTTTCCTCTCTCCGTGAAAGTGCGATAACAGGTTTCGCACGGGATGCGGGGCGGGGGTGTCAGCATAGGGTCTGGGTGCTCCTCTCCACTCGAACACGCCGGCAAGACCTGTCTGCTCGACTCCATCTCCATCTCCCCCTCTGGCAGCCTCGCAAGCTGCACCCCATCGGGCAGCTCCTGCTGCCCTCCGCTCTGCAGCTGTTGCTGCCCTCCGCTCTGCAGCTGCTGCTGCCCTCCGCACTGCAGCTGCAGCTGCCCCCCACTCTGCAGCCGCTGCTGCCCTCCGCTCTGCAGCTGCTGCTGCCCTCCGCTCTGATTGGGCTGCTGCCCTCCACTCTGCAGCTGCTGCTGCCCTCCGCTCTGCAGCTGCTGCTGCCCTCCGCTCTGCAGCTGCTGCTGCCCTCCGCTCTGATTGGGCTGCTGCCCTCCACTCTGCAGCTGCTGCTGCCCTCCGCTCTGCAGCTGCTGCTGCCCTCCGCTCTGATTGGGCTGCTGCCCTCCGCCCTGCAGCTCATGCTGCCCTCCGCTCTGCAGCTGCTGCTGCCCTCCGCTCTGCAGTTGCTGCTGCCCTCCGCTCTGATTGGGCTGCTGCCCTCCGCTCTGCAGCTGCTGCTGCCCTCCGCTCTGATTGGGCTGCTGCCCTCCGCTCTGCAGCTGCTGCTGCCCTCCGCTCTGCAGCTCCTGCTGCCCTCCGCTCTGCAGCTGCTGCTGCCCTCCGCTCTGCAGCTGCTGCTGCCCTCCGCTCTGCAGTTGCTGCTGCCCTCCGCTCTGCAGCTGCTGCTGCCCTCCGCCCTGCAGCTCATGCTGCCCTCCGCTCTGCAGCTCGTGCTGCCCTCCGCTCTGCAGCAGTTGCTGCTGCCCTCCGCTCTGCAGCTGCTGCTGCCCTCCGCTCTGCAGCTCCTGCTGCCCTCCGCTCTGCAGCTGCTGCTGCCCTCCGCCCTGCAGCTCATGCTGCCCTCCGCTCTGCAGCAGTTGCTGCTGCCCCCCACTCTGCAGCTGCTGCTGCCCTCCGCCCTGCAGCTCATGCTGCCCTCCGCTCTGCAGCAGTTGCTGCTGCCCTCCGCTCTGATTGGGCTGCTGCCCTCCGCTCTGCAGCTGCTGCTGCCCTCTGCTCTGATTGGGCTGCTGCCCTCCGCTCTGCAGCTGCTGCTGCCCTCCGCTCTGCAGCTGCTGCTGCCCACCACTCTGATTGGGCTGCTGCCCTCCACTCTGCAGCTGCTGCTGCCCTCCCCTCTGCAGCTGCTGCTGCCCTCCGCTCTGATTGGGCTGCTGCCCTCCGCCCTGCAGCTCATGCTGCCCTCCGCTCTGCAGCTGCCGCTGCCATCCGCTCTGCAGTTGCTGCTGCCCTCCGCTCTGATTGGGCTGCTGCCCTCCGCTCTGCAGCTGCTGCTGCCATCCGCTCTGCAGCTGCTGCTGCCATCCGCTCTGCAGCTGCTGCTGCCCTCCGCTCTGCAGTTGCTGCTGCCCTCCGCTCTGCAGTTGCTGCTGCCCTCCGCTCTGATTGGGCTGCTGCCCTCCGCCCTGCAGCTCCTGCTGCCCTCCGCACTGCAGCTGCTGCTGCCCTCCGCTCTGATTGGGCTGCTGCCCTCCGCCCTGCAGCTCCTGCTGCCCTCCGCTCTGCAGCTGCTGCTGCCCTCCCCTCTGCAGCTGTAGTAGTTTGGTTGCCCGTCGCCTCCGGCCCCGCCCCCGCACTCGGGGCCTTTCCGCTTGGTCCGAGGAGTCGGGGTTGGCATTCTCACCCTCCATGGGGCTTGATTCCAGCTCGTCGGTGTATGCCTCGGCCTCTATCTCCACATCCAACTCCCCCAGTGGGTCTTGCTGCCCTCCGCTCTGCAGCTCCTCCTGCCCTCCACTCTGCAGCTGCTGCTGCTCTCCACTCCGCAGCTCTTGCTGCTCTCGGCTCTGCAGCTCCTGCTGCCCTCCACTCTGCAGCAGCTGCTGATCTCCTCTTTGCAGCTGCCGCTGCCCTCCGCTCTGCAGCTCCTGCTGCCTTCCGCTCTGCAGCTGCTGCTGCCCTCCCCTCTGCAGCAGTTGCTGCTGCCCTCCGCTCTGCAGCTGCTGCTGCCCTCCCCTCTGCAGCTGTAGCAGTTTGGTTGCCCGTCGCCTCCGGCCCCGCCCCCGCACTCGGGGCCTTTCCGCTTGGTCCGAGGAGTCGGGGTTGGCATTCTCCCCCTCCATGGGGCTTGATTCCAGCTCGTCGGTGCCTGCCTCGTCCACCATCTCCACATCGCTCACCCACAATGTCTCTTGCTGCCCCCCACTCTGCTCCTCCTGATGCCCTCCACTCTGCAGCTCCTGCTGCCCTCCACTCTGCAGCTCCTGCTGCTCTCCACTCTGCAGCTCCTGCTGCCCTCCACTCTGCAGCTCCTGCTGCTCTCCACTCTGCAGCTCCTGCTGCTCTCCACTCTGCAGCTCCTGCTGCTCTCCACTCCGCAGCTCATGCTGCCCTCCCCTCTGCAGCTCCTGCTGTGCTCTGCTTTGCAGCTGACGCTGCCCTCCACTCCGCAGCTGCTGCTGCCCTCCGCCCTGCAGCTGCTGCTGCCCTCCGCTCTGCAGCTGCTGCTGCCCTCCGCCCTGCAGCTCATGCTGCCCTCCGCTCTGCAGCAGTTGCTGCTGCCCTCCGCTCTGATTGGGCTGCTGCCCTCCGCTCTGCAGCTGCTGCTGCCCTCCGCTCTGCAGCTGCTGCTGCCCTCCGCTCTGCAGCTGCTGCTGCCCTCCGCACTGCAGCTGCTGCTGCCCTCCGCCCTGCAGCTCATGCTGCCCTCCGCTCTGCAGCAGTTGCTGCTGCCCTCCGCTCTGCAGCTGCCGCTGCCTTCCACTCTGCAGCTCCTGCTGCCCTCCGCTCTGCAGCTGCTGCTGCCCTCCGCCCTGCAGCTCATGCTGCCCTCCGCTCTGCAGCAGTTGCTGCTGCCCCCCACTCTGCAGCTGCTGCTGCCCTCCACTCTGCAGCTGCTGCTGCCCTCCGCTCTGCAGCTGCTGCTGCCCTCCGCTCTGCAGTTGCTGCTGCCCTCCGCTCTGCAGCTGCTGCTGCCCTCCGCCCTGCAGCTCATGCTGCCCTCCGCTCTGCAGTTGCTGCTGCCCTCCGCTCTGCAGCTGCTGCTGCCCCCCACTCTGCAGCTGCTGCTGCCCTCCGCTCTGCAGTTGCTGCTGCCCCCCACTCTGCAGCTGCTGCTGCCCTCCGCTCTGCAGCTGCTGCTGCCCTCCGCCCTGCAGCTCATGCTGCCCTCCGCTCTGCAGCCGCTGCTGCCTCGTCCCCTCCGGCGGCTGTCGGCCTCTTTCCCGGCTCCCCTGCTGTCCGCCCGCCTGCAGGTCCCACCGGCCCCCCACCGGCGGCTCCCGTTGCCTGTCTCTTCCTGCCGCCCTCCGACGCCGCCATTCCTCTTGGGAATTTTGATGGGCGAAGTACTATTCTGGCAAAGTCCAGCTGGAGACTATGTGCTCGCGATTCGTAACGAGCCTTTCTGCATGATGGATAACAACTGTGGGGCATCGAGCATGCACTGCTTCCGTGGTAGACTTTCATTTCGGAACTTCGTTGCCGAATGGACACGTTGCTCCTGCACTTACGTCTGACCACCAAAGCCCGTGTGGTGAACGGGCTCCACCCCCGGTTTGAGAAGCGGCACTCGCAGCGCAGCGAAGAGAGCGATACCGAACGTCCGGATGGACTGTGTGGTACCAAGCCGGATAGACCGACTGCTCCGAAATGGATGGCTGCTGGCATCCCGAAACGGGAAGACAAGGCCAGTCAGCAACCTGGAAAGCAGCAGAATTCGTGTTTTCACTTCCCGCTGGTTAATTTTGTGAGCCTGAACTCTGCACGACTTGCGCGTAATCACAGTTAGTCTCCTCCAGTAGACGATACACGATCTTCCGCCTGAGGGACGTAAGATCCGGTGAACTCGTGACCATGGCTGAACGAGTGAAACAGGAGCCACGCCCGGCGGCCAAGAAGGCAGAGGAACAGATCAAGTACGGTCCCGTCCGTTTTCTTTTGTTTTTTGTGAACTGTGTTGTCTTCCTGTAGGAAGGTATGAGTGCAAAAATTACGTTCGTCTGTTGCTGCTCGTAGTAATACGTATCTTACATATTCTCTGGTGCTGTTGTTTCGTATCTCTGGTGCACTGATGGCAGGTTGGACATGGAGTTTGAGACGGGGGAGAGACTAATCCAGCCAGGAGGCCAGGAATCTGGTGAACGAGCAGGAGGGAAGTTCGCTCCTTGGCTGGATAAGAGGGAGGAAGGGCAGAGCGAGACTCCTAAGAAGCATGAAACGGAATAATTAGTGATGCCTGCACAGAATGGAGTCAGGGTTGGGCAAGCAAGCATGGACCTGTACAGGGCCACCTCAGCACCGCTGGCTGTGCATAGAACGCAACGCAGTCTATTCTTGCAAAACAAGCTGAATGTAGATGAAGTTGTGGGGTATTATGCGGCCTTTTCTAGATTCACCATGCATTGTTGTTTTTTAACTTCGAACTTAGTCTGTAGTGTGCATGTGTACCTACTGTGATTGTATTCGACGTTTTTGTACTAGGACAGCTAAAGCCGCATTTCGAGCTTCGTGAATATCCACGTTCTTCTCGCTGATTGGCGCTCGTAATCCGTCTGTCATCCTATTTCAAAATCAATCCAGGCTGTGTTGCCTGAACTGAACCGAGACCGGAAAAGTGATACATAAAACAGGCGATTCGCACCTCGTGTTTAGTTGTGTCAGGCAAACTTACTGTCACACTGGATGGTGTAACGTACGCTACTTTCGTGCCATTCCACTCCAAAACACACCCTCGGCATACCTTGCTAAAAACATTACTTGCCTCGATGGCTTTCTGCTTTTTCTAGAATCAAGGCCCACATTCTCAGGCTCGAAACTGCCGCTGCCGTTGCTTGGTCGAGCCGCTCATCCGCACCCGAAACTCGCGTAGTTCCTTCTGAGGAATACGACATTTCGGGACTAAGCAGTTGGGCATTTGCACAGCCTTACCCCGTCACGATCCCCACATGGCCGTCTCGATGTCTCTCAGCCGACTTCCTCTCCACCAATCAACTGCATCCCTCTCCTCTTCAAAATGCCGCTTTCCCCTAACCGTACCGAACCCCGCTTCAAATCTCGCATTTCGGTCCAGACCAGCCAGGCCTCTAGGTATCCGAGCCTCCGCCGAGCCTGAACCGTCCGAAATCTCCGACTCATCCACGTCAGCAGTGAAGGAGCCAGCAGCCGGCAAGGCCGCGGCCGGCAAGGGGTTCGGGAAGGCGCCGCAGCAGCCGGCAGTGGTTCGGCGGCCAGCGCCATCCCAGCCGTTACTATCGACTCGGCCTGTAGGCGAGGAGGAGAAGAAAGCGGCGGAGATCGAGACGGCCGTGGTGGCTTCCTTGGGGTTCGTCTTCCTCCTCATCATTCTGGAAGGGTTGTTTCTCGCCGCTGCCGGTGAGTGCAATGCGGTGGAATGCGGTATGGGGGGTGATTGAGGGGCTGTCGACGAGACCGGTGGGTGAGGAGGAGAAGATTGCGGCGGAGATTGAGACGGCCGTGGTGGCTTTTTAGGGTTCGTCTTCCTCCTCATCATCCTCGAAGGGCGTGTGTGGGGAAAGGGGAGGAGGTGAGACTGGGAGGGGGAAGGGAAGAGGAGGGGGAGGGGGCGTGGGGGGTGCTTGTGGAGATGGCAGGGTTGGTCGGAAGGGCTGATGAGGGCTCGTATTGAGACGGCCGTGGTGGTGTCGCTAGGGTTTGTCTTCCCCCTCACCATCCACCGAAGTCTTTTCCTCGCTGCTGCTGGTGCGTGCAATGCGGGGGACTTGTGCGTGCGTGTGGGGGTGTGGGAGGAGGAGGTGGGGGAGGGGCTTGGGCGGAAGTTAGGGAACGGAGAGGAGAGGGAAGGCGATAGGGCGGTAGCTAGTGGGGGGGGAGATTGTGGGGGTGACGGGGTTGGTGGGGAGGGCTGATGAGGCTCACCTCCCTACTGCAACGGCCGTGGTGGCGTTGCTGGGGTTTGTCTTCGTCCTCATCATCCTTCAAGGACTATTCCTCACCGCTGCCGGTGCGTGCAGTGCGGTGGAATGGAACGCGGGAAGGCGGCTGGGGCGCAGGGGCGAGAGGAAAAGAGTGGGCGAAATGGGGTGGGTGAAGGAATGGGGTAGGTGGTGTGGAGGGTGAATTCTTGCTTCTTGTGCCCTTTCTCTCTTGCCACCTGTCTCACCCCTCTCACCCCTCTCCTCCCTCTCACCCCCACCAGGCTTCCTATCAGAGGAGCTGGATCAGCTGGCAATGGATATGGTCTATCTCTCCATTAGTTCACTCGACAGTTTCCCCTCACCCCTCTTCCCCTCACCCGTCTTCCCCTCACCCCTCTTCCCCTTGCCCTTCTCCCTCTCACACCTCCCAGGCTTCCTATCAGAGGAGCTGGATCAGCTGGCAATGGATTTGGTCTACCTCTCCATTAGTTCACTCGACAGTTTCCCCTCACCCCTCTTCCCCTCACCCGTCTTCCCCTCACCCCTCTTCCCCTTGCCCTTCTCCCTCTCACACCTCCCAGGCTTCCTATCAGAGGAGCTGGATCAGCTGGCAATGGATTTGGTCTATCCCGCCTTCTCCCCCACGGTGGCCGTTTTCCTCCTGGGTGCCACTGCCTATGGTGCCTTCAAGGTCATTGGCATTGGCGGCAAGAAGCAGTAGATAGATAAAGCACGCTTGACTAGAAAAGCACACTGACTTGACAGGCTGTGTGGCATCAATACGGTAGATTTTAGTCCCTCCCCCCTCCCCCACTGTGGCCGTGTTCCTCCTGGGTGCAACCGCCTATGGTGCCTTCAAGGTCATTGGCATCGGCGGCAAGAAGCAATGAAGCAGGCTAGACTTTTGACAAGATGTGCCATACAAATAACCGCAATAGCTGCCTTTCTAAATGGCACAGGGTGCTTGAAAGTTGAAACCCAAGTGCAGGTTGCAGGTTGTGAGTAATCTCAGGTACATGTTTCAAGTGTTTGAAAGATGGAATTCCATTGCTCAAAACTTTTTCAATGAGAATGAAATTACATGTGCTTCATAGCTTGTCCCCAGCATGGCATCAAATAGGGCAGTATGAAACAATGAAGTGTGGTGATGCATGCATGAATGCATGCCATGCTCCCACCAGACAGCAGCCATCAGCAATCCCATCCTATCCTACCATCCTACAACCACCCATCACCACCAGGCCGGACACGCATCGATCTGCATGTCCCCAGCAATACAACGAGCCGCATCCGCAAAAATGCACCGTGGCCAATCCACAAAGCCTACCGTAACCATCACCTCCCTTGCCTTCCGCCATACTTAGCTTCCTCCCACACGATGCAAGCAAGTTCTCCACGCACTGCTTAGAGCCATAGTAAAAGAAGTTGTAGTTACAGTTGACCACATACACACCCACCTCCCTCCCTGCATCTCATCCCACCTCACTCCCCACCCCCACCCTCCCTCTCTCCGCTACTTCTGCTTCTTACCCTGCCGCCTGACCATCGCCGTGAGCCTCCTTGAATTATCCAGACACTGCTTGAACCCAAAGTGGCTGTTGAGTCGGAACAACAATACACCTCAAACCACAGTGGTGGCAACGCCAGTCAACCGAGAACTTCCCCACCTCCTTCCCTCTTTCACCCCCTCCTCTACTTCTGCTTCTTCCCCTGCCGCCTGCCCACCTCCATAAGCCTCCTCGAATTCTCCAGACACTGCTTGAACCCAAAGTGCGGGAAAGCATCGAACCACGTGTCCATCCACTCCCGCACATCCCACCCTTCACCGCTGCTCGCGCCGCCCTTCTTATGCACCCATCCCGACCCATCATGCCCCTCACTCCACACCTTGTTCCACCGGGGAGCATCGTCCCCTCCCGACCCCTGCCACCAGGTCTCCCCCTGCCGGTACCCGGTCTTGTCTCGGTTGAATTTCTCGTCCCACTTGTCGCCCCACTTGGCCCACAGCTGGTTACCGTACCCATCGTGCCCCTCAAACCGCTCTGCCCACTTGTCACACCACTTTGACGCCGCTCCCCTGCCGTCGTACTCTTCCCCCCACCTGCAATAAGGGGGAAGACATGGGATACATATAAGAGCAGTGGATTCAAAGAGACACTCATTTCTCATCCCACTTGTCGTCCCACTTCGCCCACAGCTGGTTACCGTAACCGTCGTGCCCCTCAAAGCGTTCTTCCCACTTGTCACACCACTTCGAGGCCGCACCTCTCCCATCGTACTCCTCCCCCCACCTGGTGCATAAGGAAGACATGGCATATAGATCAGGGAAGTGACATGCATGGAATACATATACAGAAGGTCAACTCAGAGAGACACTCTTTGTCCCACTTGTCACACCATTTCGAGGCCGCACCCCTGCCATCGTACTCCTCCCCCCACCTGGTGCGCGGAAAGGGAGGAAGGGGGATGCAGGGGGGGAGAGTGAAAAGGGTGGAAGTAGGGGGCCCACCAAATCAGTTGGCAAGGCAACTACCAGCCACCAAACTTACGCTGCTCTCCACTCACGCACCTCTCCTGTCATCCTCCCATCCCTACGCACCTGCACCTTCCCCCTGTTCCTTCCCCACAACTCACCATAACCACCCCACTCTCTAGCCTGACCCGCTTTCGTTGCCTCACTCACCGCTCATGCCACGTGTGCGCATGCCCATCATGCAGCGGCGTGTACATGTCAATCTTGTGTTGCGCAGAATCGACAGGCCACTCAACTATTGTTTGGTTGTGCCTGCTTCGTTTCCCACTCACCGCTCATGCCACGTGTGCGCGTGCCCATCATGCAGCGGTGTATACATGTCAATCTTGCTCCACTTGTCCGCCCACTTCTCAGCCCGTCCCGTCGCATCATAGTGCTCCCACCACTTCTCATGCCACTCGCCTCCCATGCTGCTCATGCGAATGCGCAACACCCAGAGCCCTCTCTCCTTGATCCCTTGCCCATCAACTCACCAAAACCACCCCACCCACTCGCATGTCCTCCCCAGCTCGTCCCACTCACCTCTCGTGCCACGTGTGCGCATGCCCATCATGCAGCGGCGTATACATGTCAATCTTGCTCCACTTGTCAGCCCACTTCTCCGCCCGTCCCGTCGCGTCATAATGCTCCCACCACTTCTCATGCCACTCGCCGCCCTCCCCATTCTGCCCCCACTTATCAGCCGTCTTCTCAATATGCATCAACCCAGTCTTCGAGTCCTGCCAAGTCGCCTCCCTCCACGTTTCCCTCCACACCGCCCCATTCGCATCCCTGCCCGATTTCTCCGCTCCAAGTTCCTTAAAATCAAACTCATCGCTCGCTTCCCACCACTTCTCCTCCCACTCCACCGACCCATCCGCGCTCACCCCCCGAACCACCGTCCAATCGCAAACCTCCCCGCCCTCCCGAACCTCCGTGCCCGACTCCTTCCACCACCGCGACCCGTCCGCAGCCACGGTCGCGCCGTCAGGTTCCAAACCTGCAGTGGCAGGTTCGGCAGCGTCCGACGCAAAGACGGCCTGGAGAGCCTCTTTGATGCCGCGCTGGGCCTCAAGAGCGGACTGCAGGGGCGGCAGGCCCACGTCAGACGCCAGGAAAGGCGACGCGGAGGCGAGATCGAGCGCTGCTGCAGACGCAACAGCCGCAGAAGCAGCAGAACCAGCCGCACCAGCCGCACCAGCAGCACCGCCAGCACCGGCAGCACCACCAATGCCGCCAGCACCACCAGTAGTGGTAGCTGCTTCGCCAGCACTGGCGGGTTTGGTGGGCGCGACGGCGCTCTCAAAGGGCAGCAGCAGCGCCTCCAGCAGCTGCGGCTGGGGGTCCGCGATGGTCACTGTAGCGCGCTGGGCAGCTGAACGGGCAGCTTTCGCGGCCGCTGGCTGTAGCTGCGGGAGACCCGCGCCCCCTGCGCCCCCTGCGCCTCCTGCGCCCCCTGCGCTCCGCGAGGGGGTGGTGTCGGATGGGGGCGCCCACTCCCAGAAGCTGGGCCCCGGACTGCTGGAACCACCTGAAGAGACACTTGAAGAGGCGCCTGAGGAAGGCAGCTTCGCGGAACCAGAGGAGGAGGAAGAGGATGCGAAGGGAGCGGGCTTTGCTGCTGGTGCGGCGGCTACTGTTGCTGCTACGGCTGCTGAAGAGGAGGAAGAGGAGGGAGAGGAGGGCGATGTTTTCTTGGCACGGCTAGGAATGGCTTTCCACAGACCCCCTTGTCCTCCTGCTGCAGCAGCACCACCCACTGGTTTAGCCATTGCCGCTGCTCCTCCTGCCGGCCCCTTTCCTTCCCCGCCTTTCTTCCCGCCCTTCTCCTTCACTACAGACAAGGACTTGCCGCCCCAAACGCTACTCGCCGCCCCCTGGTCCCCCGAGCCCGCCAGCCGCCGCCCGCGCGAGGCCTGCCGGTCCTTGCGCGCGCGCTCCTCCGCCTCCACCAGCAGCGCCTGCGCCGCCGCCAGGGCGGCCGCCGCCCGGTCCACCACAGCCTTGCGCTCCGCCTCCTGCCGCACCTCCTTGGGCACCTGAAGAGGCGTGGGGGGGGGGGAAGAGGGAGGGGGGAAGCGGGGGGAGGGGTCGGGACGCTCCTCCGCCTCCACCAGCAGCGCCTGCGCCGCCGCCAGCGCCGCGGCTGCGCGGTCCACCACGGCCTTCCGCTCCGCCTCCTGCCGCACCTCTTTGGGCACCTGCGTGCGCGCGCGGGGGGACGGGCGGAAGGGCGGGCGGAAAGAGAGATACAAGATAGCAGCTTTGCTGGTGCGGTCAGCCCCAGACAGCCCGCGCGCAGCTGTGCGGTCAGCCCCAGACAGCCCGCGCGCAGCTGTGCGGTCAGCCCCTGACAACCCGCGCGCAGCTGTGCGGTCAGCACCGGACTGCCCTCCCTTCCGCCGCTCGGCGAGATTCCTTGGCGGCCTGACTCGTGCGAGCGCGTGAGCAAGAGTAGAAAGAGTATCGACCGCAGCAAGCCTACAGATCTCGCGCGTTTCGGCCGGAGCCTTCATCAGCGCGATCGTACGCTCCGCGAGATTCCTTGGCGGCCTGACTCGTGCGAGCGCGTGAGCGGCGGTCGCGGAACGGAGGCCGGGGCCTCCCAGTGCGGGAGAGCGGGATGGGCGGGCAAGAGGAACGGAAAACGAGGAAGCACCTGCAGGAATCAGACTGGGTACCCCGCCTTTGATTCTGAGAACGACATTTTTCTGTTTATCTCTTCGATTCCTGAAAAAAAAGAATGAAATAACGAAAGAAGAACAACTTGCGAAAGTCGACGCCCGTACGTAGATATCGTTACATCTCGAGATCGTCACGCCTCGTTATAGCATACCTGGATAGCACTCGATATTGCCACACCACGGTACCTCGAGCATTTGAAGGAACTGCGCCTCGCGCTTCTTCACCACATCCGCGCTCTCCCCCGATTGCTTCCCCTGCTCCTGCCCCGCCGCTTGCGCTGCCGCTGGCGCCGCGCCTTGCTCTTCCGCGCGCTTCCGCGCCTCGGCCTCGCGAACCGCCTCGCGCTCCCTCTCCTGCGCGCGCTTCCACATCCCCAGGAACGAGTCGCTCGTCGACGTTGCCGCCCCGCCCGACTCCCCCCCTCCCGCTCCGCCGGTATTCGCTGCGCGCGTTACCGTAGAACGAGCCGCCTGACGGTTGAAATTTGAGATCTTGCTATTCGGGATATTCTTCGCGTCCAATGAATCTCGGAATCCCCAAAACGTCGTTCTGCGACGGCCGTCCGGCAGCGTGCGACGGCTCTGAACGACTGCGATCGCTGAAGACGACGAGTGTGAACATTGCGAAGAAACGGGGTGCGGGCGAGCTGGAACGATGACGTCAGCGCCGCAAGCTGCAGCGAGAGATGACGCCATAGTGGCGAAATGAGTTCCGAGAGCGCAGCTCTATTCTCTCGCGCGAAGCCGCGCGCAGCCCCGCTTACTCTAACCCAAGTCGACGACCGACGAAGGGAAACGCCGCGCTGTGAGCGCAGCAGAAAAAGGCTACCAGAGTCGTGGATTAGACCGTCGCGGGAAACGCAGAGTGGTGACAGAATGATTGATCGAATTGGATCTGGTGAGTCGTATGTGAGGGAACCAAACATGTTCAGGACAGGAATATGTTAGGAACATTTCAAACTATTACCAACCGAACCAAAACTAGCCAAACCGATCACAACTCTTCTAGCTCATTTGAGCTTATTCCAGTCCCTTCTATCCACACAGCGCGTAGCTTGATTGAGAAAAAGTGCAGCGCGCCAGGTGGTGGTTGTGGTGGTTGGTGCTGTGCTGGCAGAGTTTTGCAGATGACCAACTAATTTGTCGCCCACCGACCTTGACGACTTCCAGTTACTGAGTTAGAGGTCTCGCTTTTCGTCGTGCGGTAGCACCATAGGATATAATGTTTCGTCAACTACGCTCTTGAGGATTCCTGACCCTTTCTTTCTCTTGCGTCCATTCGCCGAGTTACCCTGGCCGGTGTCGTTCGCTTTGGACGATGTTTTCTCATTCACACGTGGAAAGAGCACAGCCTGACGACGGTGGATGGCTGACACATGCTGTATTGGCGGCTAAAGCTGCCACGCTGTACCCGTCCATAATGCGCGGTAGCTACTGACAACACGCCGCTGATGTGGCACAAGCCTTGACCCAGGAAAGAACGGGATTTTTTTTTTTTGGCTCGATAACTTGCACTGCACTTGCCGTTACGTATTTTCATAACAAGACCTTCGTTTTCTACTTAGTACCAGCTTACATTAATATCTATCTCTCATCCTTACTCCGTCAGATCCTACTTGCAGGATTCCAGCCTGCTTCTCATTGGAAAAATCAGCAGCTCCCCACGTCGTTTCCGGGTCTTCACTAATTTGGTTCGCAGCGTCACCTGCAAAGCGCACCGACAAAAACTGCATCCCATTCGCACCTGGACCTTTCAACACCTCTCCATCATCCCCTTGCGGCTTCCACATACTGAAGTATCGATACTTAGCTGAGCGTGGTAGCTTCGCGCCTTGTGTAGGATGAAACGAGAGGCGCTGAGCTGGCTGGAAAGTCCCTCCAGATGCTGACGTGTCACTTGTGGACGGGGCAAACGGAGAAACCGAGAAAACGCACCACCCGGCGTCCGACCATGATGTGGTTCGGCATCGACGAGGCTGCAGCAAGCTCGATACATTGAACCTGGACAGGATCAGGAACAAGAGAAATAGAGCAGGTGGACATTGCAATGCAGGAAAACAAGGTCCGTGAAAGCTCTTCCCTTCCTTCCCATCCCCATCCCACCATTTCCCCTTCGCTCCACTTATCCTTCACTGTCCCTCCGACTCTCTTCCCCCAAGTGTCCTCCACTCAATCGCATATCCTGGCCCCCTCACACACACTCACACATGCATTCACCTCCACCCACTGCGTTGTGAAGCGGTCAGCCAGCCTGGCAGGCCTCTCACTAGTGATCCCACAGCACGGCACCGCCGCACATGCAGGGGTGGCCTCAAGAATCGCACGCAGGAACCACCTCAGTTACATGTGCAGGCCCTGTGCACTCCCACGCACACCTTCCACTCACCGGAAGGTGAAGCGGCCAGCAAGTCTTGCAGCCCTCTCACGGGCGATGCCACAACACGGCTCAGCCACACATGCAGATGAGGCCCAAGCCTCCCTGGGTGACTTGTATTGTCAGTCGACTCAAAAGTCACCTCACTCACACACACCCTCGTCCACTCACTGGGGGGTGAATCGGCCAGCCAATCTTGCAGCCCTCTCGCGAGTGATCCCACAACACGGCTCCGCTGCACATGCAGGAGTGGCCTCTGCATTCTCAGGGGCATGCCAACATGCATGGCGGGCGTACCATCCCAGCATGGTGGCGTCTGAGTAGTCCTGGAGGGCATGGGGGGAAAGGATGGCGGGTGGGAGAGGGAGACGGTGACAGCGGGAAAGCAGCACTCTCAGGAGTGTGCCAGCACGCATGGCGGGCGTACCATCCCAGCATGGTGGCGTCTGAGTAGTCCTGGGGGGGTCAATGGGAGTGGGCAACGGCGGGTGGGAGTGAATTTGAGTGAGGTGAGTCCACAACACGGCCGCATAAGGGCGGCCTCAGCGTTCTCAGGGGTGTGCCAGCACACATGGAGTGCGTACCATCCCAGCATGGTGGCGTCTGAGTAGTCCTGGGGAAGGGAGAGGAGGACGGTGGGTGGGAGTGGGAGGGAGTAGAGGTGAGCGTGATACCACAGCACGCCTCGGCCACATGCAGGAGAAGCCTCAGTGTTCGCAAGGGCGTGCCAGCATGCATGGCGGGCGTACCATCCCAGCATGGTGGCGTCTGAGTAGTCCTGAGGAAGGGAGAGAGGAGGATGGTGGGTGGAAGTGAGCTTGAGTGAGAGTGAGAGTGATCCCAAGGCTGTGCCAGCATGCATGGAGTGCGTACCATCCCAGCAAGGTGGCGTCTGAGTAGTCCTGGAGGCATAGAGGAGAGCTATGTTGCGGAAGACGCAGGGACCGTCCTGCGTCTAGCGTCTAGACGCAGCGCCTAGACGCTAGACGCAAGACGCACCTTTAGACGCTAGACGCATGGGGGGGAAATTTTCGGTCAGCCCGGAAAAAAATTCGCGCGCGCGAAATTTTAACCCCTCCCACCCATTTCGACCTTGATAACATCCCCCAAACCTAGCTGTTAGCCCCACCCCCCACAATAGTATAAGCAGCTAGGACTAAAGTGTTGCACGCCTCTGCTCTACAATGAGCCGGCCAAATAAAGACGTTCAAGAAGAAGCATCGGAGGAGGTGTGAGAGAAATTGAGAAACGGAAAGCTAGAAGAAGCATTGGAATTCATCCCCCGCAGCCAGCAGATTTTTGAACCATTTCGTGACCAACCAATTCCCCCTCCCGTTACCGATCTTCACCGCACTGAATTTAGAAAACCCAACCAATTTGAGGCATGAAATTGTGAGCGTCAATGTTAGATCTAGAAGTTCTAGATCTGGATGAATGTCCCAGCAGCCTAATTCGTCTGCTATACCCAGAGGTCGTCTTCATCCCATTACTCCTCCCCCTCCCCATAGCCTATAGAAGGTTTTTTAGGCTGCCCGTACTATTTTTTTTGGCCTGCCCGGGGTTTCGTCTAATATGCGTCTAATCTGGCCTGAAATGCGTCTAGCGTCTTAATCGCTGCGTCTAGACGGACGCGTCTAAGACGCTAGACGCGTCTTCCGCAACATAGGAGGAGAGGATGGAGGGTGGGAGTGAGTTTTAGCTGTTAATGAGAACATGCAGGGTTGGCATTGGCATTTCCAGGGGCATGCCAGCATGCATGGTGTGCGTACCAGCCCAGCATTATCGCCTCTGAGTAGTCATGGGGGGCATGGAGGGAGGATGGTTGGTGGTGGTTGGGAGTGAGTGTGGGTGGGACCGAGTGCGAGTGTGTGGGAGTGTAATTTGAGAGTGAGTGAGAGTGAGTGTGAGCCGGCAGCGGCGTGAGCAGCAGCTCAACCCACGTCCACGCAACTCACAGGGTTGTTTGTACGGACGCGCCAAAGTAGCACTCCACCCCAGCGCACCCCACTCAATTCTTCTCGAATTCTCATTTTCAAAACGCATTGCACCCCACCTCTGCAGGTTTCGACTCACCGGGTTTTTCAATCGCTCTGCAGCAGTGCCTTCCCCGCCTCCCAGGACCCCTTGCTCCACAAACACGCGCACGAATCTCAGGAAGTCTGCCAGTCCTTCTATCGACCACCCCGCTGTGTGCGCCTCGATGGGCGTGTGCGGGGGGAAGGTGGCGCGTCGAGGGGGCCGCGTGCCGGGGAAGGGCTGGGGGAGGAGTATGTGGCGCTCGTGGGGGAGGTACAGCTGGGGGCGGGGGAGGGAAGGGCGGAAGGGGAGAACGGGGAGGGGGGAATCGGAGGAGGGGAGGGGGATGAGGAGCATGTGGCGCTCGCGGGGGAGGTACAGCTGGGGGCGGGGAGAGGACGGGGAAAGGGAGGAAAGAGGAGGATTTGACGCTTGTGGGGAAGGTACAGCTGGGGGAGGGGGAAGAGAGATGGTGGAGGGGTCAAGTGAAGGGGGGAAAGTGAAGGGGGGAGAGTGAAGGGGGGAAAGTGAAGGGGGGAAAGTGAAGGGGGGAAAGTGAAGGGGGGAAAGTGAAGGGGGGAAAGTGAAGGGGGAAAGTGAAGGGGGGAAAGTGAAGGGGGGAAAGTGAAGGGGGGGAAGTGAAGGGGGGAAATTGAAGGGGGGAAAGTGAAGGGGGAAAGTGAAGGGGGGAAAGTGAAGGGGGGAAAGTGAAGGGGGGAAAGTGAAGGGGGGAAAGTGAAGGGGGGAAAGTGAAGGGGGGAAGGGGGGAAAGTGAAGGGGGGAAAGTGAAGGGGGGAAAGTGAAGGGGGGAAAGAGGAGGATAAGTCGGCAGTGGAGGTGGAGTGAGTAAGAGAGGAACAAGCGGGAGGTGGGGAGGGGACGGGGGATAAAACTGAGGGGATAATGTTTAAGGGTTTTGGGTCTGGGTGCGAAAGGTGGATGGTGGGTGGACTACGAAGCGAGATTCAGGTGCCGAACCTGGTTGATAGTTTCGGTGGCGTTGGCAAAGAGGAGGACGTCCGGCGAGAGGTAGAGGGCGTGGGAGAGGTTGTTGCGAGTCATGTAGGCATGCAGTACAAACCAGCGCACCTGGTGTGCATGGGGGGAGGGGAGGTGCAGATGCAAGAGGAAGGATAGGAGAGAGAAGAGCACTGGAGTATTGAAGGGAGAGGTAGAAGGCGTGAAAGAGGTTGTTGCGAGTCATGTAGGCGTGCAGCACGAACCAACGCACCTGCACAGAAAGAAATTGCAGAAACTCACCAGGTCGGTGCGGGGAGTGCCAAAGGAGGAGCGGAAGGCGGCGATGATTTGGTTGAAGAGCGCGTAGCGCGTGAACGCCACGCCCAGGGCGGCCGCTGCTGCTGCTGCTGCTGCTGCAAGCAAGGTGTTTTCGAGCATTCTCAGGCATACCCTGAACAGAAATTACAAAAAGACTCACAAGGTCGGTGCGAGGAGTGCCAAAGGAGGAGCGGAAGGCAGAAATGGTCTGGTTGAAGAGCGCGTAGCGCGTGAATGCCACGCCCAGGGCGGCTGTTGCTGATGCACACTCCCTTGGCCCCACCAGGTGCACTTGACTGTTGCGCTGCCGGGCTTGCTGTGAAGGCGGGAGGGGAAAATGGGTCAATTGAAGAGGGTGTAGGGCATGAATGCCACGCCCAGGGCGGCCGCGGCTGCTACACACTCGCGCGGCCCCACGAGATGCACTTGACTGTTTCGCTGCCGGGCTTTCTGCGGGGGAGGGAGGGGGAGAATGGAAGGGGAGCGAGGGGTGAGCGCATAGCGCATGAATGCCACACCCAGGGCGGCTGTTGCTGATGCACACTCCCTTGGCCCCACCAGGTGCACTTGGCTGTTGCGCTGCTGGGCTTGCTGTGAAGGTGAGAAGAGCGGGAATGGCGGAAGGATTGCATGGAGAGAAGGGGGAGGGTGGGGGGTGGGATGGTTGAAGAGCGCGTAGCACGTGAATGCCACACCCAGGGCGCCCGCTGCTGCTGCAAACTCATGCGGTCCCACCAGGTGCACTTGACTGTTGCGCTGCCGGGCTTGTTGTGGGGGAAGGAAGGGGGATGGAGGGGGGATTGCAAGGGGAGAAGGGGGAGAGAGAGGGGATGGAGGTGTTGAAGAGTGCATGGCGTGTGCACCCTGGGCGGCCGCTGCTGCTGCACACTTGCGCAGTCCCACCAGGTGTACTTGACTGTTGCGCTGCCGGGCTTGCTGTGAGGGAGGGGGAGGAATTGCGGCGGATGAAGATGGCAATGGGGATGGGGATGAGGATTTTGGGTGGCGACGGGATGGGGATAGGGATTTTGGGTGGGGATGGGGATGGGGATTTTAAATGGGATGGGATGGGATGGGGATGGGGATGGCCCCACTCACCTGCAGCACTCGGTGCAGTGCGGTGCCAGGAGCACACTTGCCCACGCGAGGCTTCAATAAAATCACAACCACCGGCACCTGCACGTCCCCCCTCTCCTCCTCCGCCTCTACCGCTTCAACTCCTGCTCTTGCTGCTTCTGCTGCGCCTTGCCCTGCTTCTGCTGCGCCCTGTCCTGCTTCTCCCCCTGCCATTGCTGCTCCTGCTGCTGCTCCTGTAGCCGTTCCTGCTGCTGTTCCTGTATCTTCTCTTCCTTCAGCAGCAGCAGCAGCAGCTGAGCCGTCAGTCCGACCTGCACCAGATAGAACCTCCTCGGGGCCTTTGCCATAGGTACCCCCTCCCCCACTGCTAAACGCCCCACTCGCCCTCATCGCACTCCACCCACCACCAACACCACTAATGCCACCTGCAGCAGCACCTCCCATTTGCCGGGCAGCCGTTTTCGTCTGTTGATGCAGCTGCAGCTGCAGCAAGTCTTGTTGTTGCTGCTGCTGCTGCTGTTGCTGCTGATGCTGCTGCTGCTGTGGCAGCACAAGTCCTCTCTCCTGCTGCACAAGCCCTGCCCCTCGCTGCACCTGAGGAGCACTCTCCTTCCTCGCCTTCAGAAACTCCCCTCGCAGCAGCATCCCATCCTCCTCATCCTCCCCTCCTCCCAAACCCCCTTCCCCCATACCCACTCCCCCCCCCGCCTCCTCTCCTCCCCCTCCTCCCCCTTCGTCTCCCTCCCCATCTCCTCCCCCTCCCCCTCCCTCCCCACCTGCAGCGGCAGCGGCAGCAGCAGCAGCAGCAGCGGCAGCAGCCTTGGCTTTCCTAGCCGCGCTCTCTAAGGCCTCTTCAGGTGTTTCTTCAGGTTCGCCCAGGAAGTCCTCTGGGTGGGCCAGGGAGATTGCTGGCCCTGGAGCAACACCTGCTGCCCCTGCAGCAACACCTGCTGCTAACCCCCCTGCCATCCCTGTCACTGCCCCTGCCCCGCCCCCTCCCCCTCCTCCTCCTCCTCCTCCTCCTGTCCCTGCTCCTATTCCTGTCTCTGCCACTCCAACACCACTACCCTGCCCATGCTGCTCCAGTGGCTGCAGCTGCTGCAACCGCTGCTGCTGCTGCTCTTGCTGCTGAAGCCGCTGCTGCTCGTCCTGCTGCTGCTGCCACTGCTGGTGCCGCTGCAGCCGCTGCTGCCGGTACGCCTGGTGCAGCAACTGTTGCCTCTCCCCCTCCACCGAATGCGCCCTCCCATGCTGCTGCAGCTCTGCCCTCCTCGCCTCCTCCTCATCCATACGAGCCGCCTCATAGATAGAATGTCTATCGCCCTTCTGCAGCACCTGTTGCCTCTCCCCCTCCTCCACCGAATGCCCCCGTCCATGCTGCTGTAGCTCCGCCCTCCTCTCCTCCTCCTCATCCACCCGGCCGCCTACAGATGAACCTGCCCCACTAACGGACAAACCTGCCCACCCAGACACGCCTTGCTGTCTTGTCTCTGCGTGTTCTGTTTGGCCTGTCTCTTGCTGTCTTGCCGTCACACTCACCCCAGTCAACCTTGCCCAAGTCGCACCTGCCCCAGTCGCACCTGCCCCAGTCACACCTGCTCCAGTCACACCTGCTCCAGTCACACCTGCTCCAGTCACACCTGCTCCAGTCACACCTGCTCCAGTCACACCTGCTCCAGTCACACCTGCTCCAGTCACACCTGCTCCAGTCACACCTGCCCCAGTCGCACCTGCCCCAGTCGCACCTGCCCCAGTCGCACCTGCCCAAGTCGCACCTGCCCCAGTCGCACCTGCTCCTACACGTGTCTCTGATAGCCCCCCCTCCTTGCGCAGGTTATCAGCTATTGAAACGCCCTCTCCTCTCGATAACCTGCCCCAGCCCGTCACTGCCTGCTTTGCTGTTCCCTCCCCTGCTGAACCTGCTGCTGCTGCTGCTGCCTCTGCTGCAGCTGCTCGTGTTTCTCCACTCGAGGATCCGTCCATTTCCCGTCCAGCACCCCCTACCAGCCCCACATCTCCTCCCATCCCTCTATATCCCACCTGCCCTGCGCCTGCCACCTGCCCTGCATGCCCTACCGCCCCTCTGTCTCCTACCTGTGCTGCCGCATCTGCTGCTGCGCCTCTATCTCCCACCTGCCCTGCTGCTGCTGCAGCTATTGCTGCCCCTCTGTAACCTGCCACTGGCAAGCTGCGGCGGGCAGCCTCTTGCTCCATCAGCTGCTTGCGCTGGTCCGACTGGCCCCTCTCCACTGCCACCGCTGTGCCCTCCTCCCCTGTCGCGCCTCTGTCTCCTGCCTGCTGTGCGCGTGCTGTTGCTGCTACTGCAGCAGCTGCTGCCGCCCCTCTGTAACCTGCCAGGGGCACGCTGCGGCGGGCAGCCTCTTGCTCCATTAACTGCTTGCGCTGGTCCGACTGGCCCCTCTCCACTGCCACGGACGTGCCCTCCTCCACTTCCCCCCCCTCCTCGTCTGATCCCTCCTCTTCTGCTCTGTCTCCCCCTACTCCTCCCCCCTCCCCTCTGTGCACACCATGCTCCTCAGGCAACTTTCCGCCCTCCTCAGGCTTCACACCAAAATGCTCTGTGCTTCCCTCGTGCAGCGAGTTGGTGCCACCAGCAGCACCAGCAGCACCAGCAGCACCAGCAGCGCGTCTCATGAGAATCATGAGCATCATGAGCATCAGCATCACCAGTAGTGTCATGAGCATCCTCCCCAACCGCATGTCCCATGGCTCTCAGCACGGTCGCTATCTCATCATGCTCACTCTCACTCTCACTCTCACTCTCACTCTCACTCTCACTCTCACTCTCACTCTCACTCTCACTCTCACTCTCACTCTCCCCCTCACTCCCACTCTTACTCCCCCCCTCCCCTTCTCGCCCCTCCTTCCCTCGTGCATCCTCACGCCCTATCTCCCTGCCGTCCCCTGTCTTCCTCGCACGCCCTGACTCTCGCCCTCGCCCATCCTCCGTGCCATGTGAGCGCGCCACTACCCCCTCCTCCTCCTCCCACTCGTCATACTTTCCTCCCCCATGCGCCCCACCACCATCTGCCCGTGTTGTTTCCCCACCCCCATGTGTCTGTGCAGTTCCCCCACCCCCACCCACTGCTGCCTCCTCTGTCGAATCTGATGCCATCTTGCCGCTGTACCTGCCACCACCACCATCCCCACCACCACCATCCACGCCATTATCCTTCGCACCTTCCCTCACGCTCCTCTCCCTCTCAGTTTCTTCCCCTGTTCCGCCCACTCGTTCTGCTCCCTCCCCCCATTGCTCCGTCTCATCCGGATCCTCCTCCTCCTCATCATCCCTTTCATTCCCACCTGAACCTTTCCCCTCGTTCCCCTCCTTCCCCTCCTTTCCCCCATGGCCCCCCTTCCCCTCACCACCATATCTCCCCCCACCCTGCGCGTCCATCTCCGCTTTAAGCAGCCCCTTTAGCAGCTCCAGCTCCCTCTGCTTCTCCTCCTCCGATTTCTCCTGCCCATGCCCTTCCTCCGCGTCATCCCCCTCCGCCCCGTCCCCTGCCCCCTCCTCCTGTTGCCCTTGCCCTTCATGCTTCCCTCCTCCCTCCTGCTGCCCAACCCCCTCCTGTTGCCCTGCGCCCTCCTCCCGCCCTCTGCTGTCATCCCACCCTCGGTCCCTGTGGTGAGCCCCATCACCCTCTTCCTCCTCCTCCACCTCAACCCCACTCCCGTCTTCTGCTCCTCGCCCTGCCTCCGCCCCTCCCCCACCTCTCAATTCATTCCCTCTACCTCCTCCCACTCCCCCTGCTACACCTCCCGCTGCCTCACCTGTCGTCTGCCCTCCCCCCAATTCCCCTCCCCCAAAATTTCCTCCTCCCAATCCTGCACCCCCCAATTCGCCGCCGCTCAATCCTCCTGCCCCAACCGCGCCCGCCATCCCCCCAGCGCCACCTGGGTCGCCATGGGCCGTCTGGACACCTGCTGTGATGCTCGTGGCTTCAGTGATCCTCGCACCTGGTGGGGGAGGGTCAGGCAAGACAGGCAGAGGAGTGAGGAAGAATTTCAGTTGGTTATAGGGAATTGATCTAGTGTTCTGAGAAGGCTTTTCAAAAGAATCTTTGGCGGGGAGCATTTTGGGGGAGCAGCTTGAGAGGGTTTGGGGAGGAGGGGTTTGAGCTGGTTCTCTGAAATCGCATCTTGGAAAGATTGGCGGTGCAATCACAGAGTGCAGAGCGGTTCCAAGAGGCAAACACACGGTGCAGAGTGCAGAGAGCGATCAGAGGTGTTGGAGGGAAACGAGGAATGAGAGGGGATGTGCGTGAGAGATGTGAAGGGGCGTGGAGCGCGTGAAGGGGCGTGGGGCGTGTGAAGGGGCGTGGGGCGTGTGAAGGAGCGTGGGGCGTGTGAAGGGCAATCATTGCGGGTGCGCCCATTGAACCCACTGAAATGGGACGGGACAGGAAAAACAGGGCACGCGACAAACGAGGACGAATTCAAAGGAGGCAGGGGAGAGGCGCCACTCACTGATTTCCTGTTGGATGGCCTGTGTTGCCGTGGCCAAACGGCTGCTCGCCCCGGCCTGAACGGAGCAACCAACCACACAGTCATGGCCACACGCAGCACACACGCAGCAACAAGATTTGAGTGGAGTGCGAGTCATTAAGCTGTTCTTCTAGCGGGTCTCAAGTGGTTGTAGAGAGGGTGAACGCAAAAAGGCCACGCGAGTGGACTTGACCCTTGGCCCTGGCGCACCTCAGGCAGTCGCTTGGTGAGGCTCTTGAGCTTGTTCACTGCCTGCGTTGACGCGGATCTCCTTGATGACGTGAACTGTGCACCATAACAGGACAGGAGAGCACATGTACTCGTTATAAACACATGAACGGGTTCAGTTCAGTACAAGTTACAGTGGCATCCTTGGATGCATGTCATGAATCAACCCCAACGCCATGTCAACGTTGACCTCAAAAGTCAACCAAACGTGACACGTGCCTCTTAAGCACCCGGTTGAGACGTGTATGTTACAGACACGCACTGGGACCCTCTGACACGTGTATGTTACAGACACGCACTGGGACCCTCTGACACGTGTATGTTACAGACACGCACTGGGACCCTCTGACACGAGTACAGGGGAAGTCGTCAAGGACACGTGCCTCTCGAGCACGTATCAGGAAAGAAGCAGCGAACGGGCCTGAGATACAAGACTAGTGCTTGTACTAGACTGAATAACAATTGAGCTTGTTACCAAGGCACACACCAGTTTGTAGCCAAGAGCAACGATGCTTCAGTTGGTAAACAGGCTGCTACGCATTGCAAATAACGCTCGAATCAAATCTACACGCTTCGAATTCGAAGTACACTTAAACACGACCGCGCGGTAGTTCGGCAAAACCACTACCCTCCATTGAAGCTTAACGCGTTACATTCGGGAATGCTTCGATCTTAATCACGCAAGAAAGGAAGGAAGACGACGCAGATCACTCTTCTAGGTCATGGTGGCTTACAATCACGTGAAGAACGAAGAAGATGAGAATGCAGAGGAGTATCGACTGGCACGCCTTGTACTTGGCCTGCTTCTTAAACGCGGCTCGGGAACCCCTGAAGCCTCTCCAATAACCCGGACCGCGATTCATCATCGACGAGTGTATGTAATAAGCTAGTAAAAGATCGCCATTCTAAAGGGCGCAAAACGATGTAACTGTGACATTTCACGTCGGCATAGATAGGCAGATGTGATTGTTTCGAAAGTCAAACGGTAGATTATGGATCGACGGTGGCAGTGGACCTAAAGACCTGAAGCGGAAGGTAGTATAGGTACTATTTTGGACGCTTGATTTTGATGGGACACCCGTTCGCAGGAGTTGAGTATGCCTTGGGAATGCGGCTCAATGGATTGTATTACGTCCTAGAGCGGTCAATAGAGAAATCATAAAGGTTGGGGAAGGTAGCAAGTAGAACACGCGGATACTGACGAGAAGGCACATACGAACGGTTTGGCGAACGCGAAGCACCAAGCATGAGCTATGGATATGATATGGGGAGGACGCCGTGTACCTTATCCCGCACTTCACCGCTTTGAAACGCTTATCACCTTTTGGAATCTTAACACTGGAGCTGCGCCATGGCACACCCCACCCCACCTTCAAAACTGCCACAGGGATGAACCACAGGGATTGGGTGGGATTCATGGCGGGATGGGGGTGATCCTCCGATTCGCCGGCTGAACCTGGCACAAATGAACAGTGAGTGTACTCGATAAGCGTACATTCTTTTAAGTTGCGACATATTCAGTCGTATTCTTTTCTCGTAAAACTGGGAACAAAAAAGGAGCGCACGAATTGATGACAGCGCAGCTGCTGCTTGTACACCTGAATTTCTTGGGCTTCGCACGATACGCCACGTGTTATTTCATCCCAACAATCGTTACGCAAATCCACGTGTACCACTTGAATGCCGCAATCCACACACTGCAACCTGGACGTGAGCGATAGACACGTCGTCAAATCCCCACGTAGACAGGGTTCTTTGCGGGTGACGCGGTTGCGTGTGCTCTAGCTGTTTCTCGAAATTTCGTTATCGTCGTCAATTTGTCTTCCACCAATCACCTGACACGGTTCCTGCCTCTTCCTCGTTCCGTTCTTTTTCCACAGTCGCACCTCCGTCTATATCCTCCGTTCCCTGTTCTTCCACTTTCATCGTCCGCCATTCTAGGAATCTCGCCTCGATTTGTCCTCGAATTCCGGACGAGTATTTCGACTATCAGGAAACTGTCAGCTCTCCTATACCGCGTTTATAAGGAGAGACTCCTCGTCCGATTCCACTAACTAGTTCCGACTACGAGGTCATTTCTTGGAACGCACGTCGAGCTCGTCGCGTCCTTTCTAACTGATACATTCCTATACCTGCTTAACCTCGTATAGTAGCATGGCGCACGCTTCATCCATGGCTGCTCAGCGGCTTCAGCCGCCAGCCGTTGCAGCCTACCTTAATGATGCTAGAACCACCCCTGCTCGCCGTCTACCGACCAAGGCGTCATGGCATTCTCTCAACTCAGAAATTGCAGGCTTGCGAATTTCGCGAGCTGCAGTAACTACCTCGTGCAGGAGCAACTCGTTTTACCGTCGCCGCATGTCGCAAATTTTCGCCATGTCGGCCGACTCCGGCTCCCCTTCTTCAGACAGCACTCCAGAGTCAAAGGAAGAAGCTGCTAAGGCGGCGCCGCTAAGTCCGGAGTCGCCTTCGGGAATTCTCCTTAAGCAGCTAATTCTGTCGCACCCGCACTTGGTGCCGGCAGCTGCGGAGCAGCAGCTGGAGCAACTAGCGGCGGAGGCGGAGGCGTCGGACGCGTCGAAGGAGAGCGGCGGGAAGAAGTCGAGCAGCGACCTCGTCCTGTACAAGTGAGTTAAGGTGCCACGCCGGTAACAACGGATAAAGATGGCACGTGCTGTGCACTTGGCAGCGTAGAACGAACAATGCGAGCAAGAGCACAGCAACAAGGGATTAACACTGAAGGAACAAAAAAAAGATGTGTCACTGGTGCAGCTGCGGTGGACCGCAAACACGCATTACGCCGGTTCGCCGCCTGTCCCCGTTCAATTCGAGCCTCAGTGGCTGCTAGCTCTACTGGGACCGTCGTCGTGTGTATTGAACGTTTAGCTTGAGTTTCCTCCATCTCGTCGAGCCTCCTTCATTTCTTTGAGCTTCTTCTATCACATCATTCTGAAATTCCTCCGATCTTTGAGCTTGCCTCCGCGCTCTGTTCGCCCTCTGTTCCTTTATCTTTCCCAAGTTCTCACCGTCATGCTCTTGTCGCTGCTGCTCCGACTCCCTACCTACTTCTTAACGCAGGCGAATGGCGGAGGTGCGGAACAGCGAGCGCATGCGCGCAATCAAGGAGGTCATGTACGCGTTAATAGTCCAAAAGTTTATCGAGTCCGGCGCGCCGCTCCTCCCGAAGGTGCCCTTCGTGACCGTCGACCCGTCGTCCACGCTCTTCCCATCCGCCGCCACGTCACCCTTTGGCCTGGACCTCGTTCCAACCGTACCCGTTAAAGAGCAAGAGCTCTCCAGCGTGCATTCCGAGGAGGCTCTAGACATGGTTAAGGAGCACTTGGCTACTATTCTCGGACCGCGTCCGACAGGGCCGATGGCGGCTTTAATTAACGACGACAGGGTGGTGGTGGGGACGAGCAAGCTGCGGTTAGGACAGGTGTACGCGGCGTCGATTATGTACGGGTATTTTCTGCGACGCGTGGACCAGCGATTCCAGCTGGAGAAGAGTATTGGGATGCTTAGGGGCTTCGTGGGGAGCGCAGCGGTGGGGAAGGGGGACGCGGAAGGGGAGGAGGGGGCGCAGCAGGTGGTGTTTCCGCCTGAGGAGGTAGTGGAGGAGGTGAAAGGGGATAGTGCGGGCGAGGGGGGGAAGGAAGGGGAGGGGGAGGGGGAGGGGGAGGGGGAGAAGGAGGGGGAAGGGGAAGGGAAGGAGGAGCGGACTTTGCGCGCGTATGTGCAGTCGTTTGATCCGGAGACTCTGCAGATGACGGCCACGATGAGAAGCAAGTGAGTAGGATGGGAGGGAAAGTGAGTGCGTGAGCTGTGAGAGTGCGTTTGAGAATGAGTAGCATGGGGAGTTAGCGGGTGAAACAGCTTGTGATTCAATTTTTTTACTGACAGCTGGGCATTCGGTGGTCGCAAGGCAATCCGGCCGTAATATTTGCGCTTATTGCCAGTAGACATGAGCATACGGAATTTTACTTGCGCCTCGTATGCCTCGTCCCCTTACACCGCCCTCCCTTTTTGGTGCCGCCCTCCCCTTGTTCCTCCTGTTAGGGAGAGCGTGGAGGTGATGTCAGCATACCCTTCTCTTTTCTCCTCCTTTCCCCCTTGTTTTGTCTCGTCAGGGAGAGCGTGAGGTGATTGAGAGGCACACGGAGGCGCTATTCGGCAAGCCCAGGCAGAAAACGCGACTCACGATTTCTTCTTTTCTCTCTTCCCCCTTCCCCCTGCTTGTATTGCCAGGGAGAGTGTGGAGGTGATCGAGAGACATACGGAGGCGCTGTTCGGCAAGCCCAAGGTGGAGACCAACGAGGAGGGCGTGACCGTCGTGAAGGACGATGCGGCGCGACTGACCGT